ATAGCAGATATAGATGGGTATACGGACCCGACAGGCAAAATGATCATGGATATGTGTGAAAGGCTTGATTTGATCATTTGCAACAGTACCGAGAAGTGTGAACGGCAAATAACATGGGAGGTAGGAAGGCTGCTGTCGAGGCTAGATTATGCACTGATGTCACATAGGATGTATGATAAGCTCAGGGGAACGCACATAGATGAATGTGGCTCCAGAAGTCTGGGTAGTGATCACAAACACATTTATTTATTTATTTATTTATTTTCAAATACTGCAGCCCCGTTATGGGGCTATCGCAGGAGTGGGTACACAGCAAGAAATAATAAAAAGGTACAAAACAAAACAGCTGAATACACAAGTACATTGGCAGATTATAGAAATACAAAAATTTTACAAACAGAGTTATACAAACAATGAAAGGTTTACAGCACACCGTCTTTTAATGCCTTCAAAAATTCATCTTTCTGCAAAGACCGAATGTGACCTGGTATGAGGTTCCACATTTCAATACATCGAGGAAAAAAGGTGTATTTGAAGAAATCAGTACGAGGATGAAACACAGATACATTAAGTGCGTGGCTGTTTCTGGTGGATGATGGTTTGGCAGGTGTTATGTAGTTGTTGTGTGGTGAATATTGCGGTGAATTAAATAAAGAGTGAAAAAGTTTCAGAGACTCGATGTCTCGTCTTTTAGAAAGTGATGATAGACCAAGCTGCGCTAGATGGCATGATGGTGAAAAATTACGATCATAGCGTCTGTAAATGAATCGAATAGCTTTTTTCTGGATGGATTCAACGCGTTTTATGTCAGTCATTTTATAAGGGTACCATACAGTAGCTCCATACTCAAGGATCGGTCGTACGAGGGTTTTGTATGTAAGCAGTTTTGTTTCCCTTGGGGCTAAACGTAGTGAGCGGTTAAGGTATCCAAGTTTCTTCAGAGCCTTGTTGCATGTTGTATCGATGTGACTAGACCAAGATAAGTTAGTAGTGAAAAGGAGACCAAGTCCTCATATTGTGAGACCCGCTGCACTACATAGTTATTAAAAGAATAATCAAACATCAAGCTAAGTTTTGGAAGAGCAGCGAAAGTGGGAAGGAGACAAGATAAGCAACTAGAGGAAAATTTTTATTCAGAAAGGCAAATAGAAATTGCTACTAAACAAATTGAGAAAGTAATCACTCAGGATAATGAAACAGTGTGGACATACACAAATCTAATTAGACTGTTTGGGCTAGAGCTTGCTAAGGCACGTGACAAGTCACCCCGAAAAAGAAGACACAAGCCCAAGAGTTGGTGGGATGAGGAAGTTAAGAGAGCCATAGCAAAACGTCGGGAAGCCTCTAGGGAACACAGACATGCTAAGCAGCGGGGTGAACCGACAGATGATGTTGAAAGAAAATGGGACATCTTTTTAAGCTCTAGAAGGGAAGCATCCCTCCTGATCAATGAAAAGAATAGAAGAAGGGGTGCTCAGTTGCTGGCAGAAGTACATAAAAAGGACAGAAAGGCAGCTGCAAAATTTTGGAACCATCTAAACTCCCTAAGAAACGAGACGAGCCTAGAGCAGAGTTTTATAACTACAGCCAAAGGTGCTAGGCTAGAAGGGGACGAAGCTATTGAATATATAAGAACAAGGTTGACAGAAAAATTTCAACAAAGAAGTGCCCTTATGCACCATAATAGACAAGGATGAATCAAGTGGCGCAATAGCTCCATTTTCACAACGAAAATGGGAAAGGGCTTAGAAGAGGGTTCCAAGTAGTACATCAACAGGCACAGATGGCATTCCAATTATGCTGATAAAGACATTGGTTCAGAAGTCTAAACAGACTTTGAGAGAGGCAGTGAGCACAACAATAATCGATGGTGAAGTCCCCACTTAACAGGATGAGCATGATCTATAAAGGAAAGGGGGACAAAGCTGACATAAACAACTACCGTCCTATAACAGTGACATCAGTGGTCTACAGGCTAGCCGTGAGGAAATACTGCAGGCATGGATAGATGATGAGGGGGTGCTGGGGGAATTGCAGAATGGGTTTCGGAAACACAGGAGGTTGGAAGACAAATGTTCTCACAGATACAGTGAATCGAAATAGCAGAAAAGGAACTCAGGCCCCTGTGGCTAGCATTTTTGGATATCAAGGGAGCGTACGATAGCGTGGTTCAAGAGGACTTGTGGGGAATACTGGACACACTAGGTGTGGAAGATGGAGTCACTAATCTTTTAAAGAAATCTATAAAAGTAACAAGGTAGTTATAAAGTGGGAAAAACAGATATCCAAGCCCACAGAGGTGAAACTGGGGCTTAGGCAGGGGTGTCCTCTGTCTATTTGTTATTCATGACGTACCTACAAAGATTAGAGGCCAAACTAGAGGACACTGTAGAAGTGGACTTGGCTTCAACCTCTCTTTCGTCAAACAAGGAAAACTCGTTGATCAGGCACTACCAGCATTAATGTACGCAGATGATATAGTGCTAATGGCCGACAACAAGGAAGATTTTCAGAGATTGATGGACATCTGCGATAATGAGGGAGATAGGTTAGCTTTCAGATTCAGTAAGGAAAATTCAGCAGTCATGATTTTTAAAGATAATGAAGGTAATGAGCTTAGGATACAGGAGGTCACGCTAGAGATAACAGATAAATACAAGTATCTGGGCGTATGGATAAGCAATGGGACCACGAAATATACGCAACGACTAAAGGTAACAGGAATGCAGCAGTGAAGAAAATTAGGACACTGTGGAATTACAATAGGTATGATGTTGTGAGAGGAACATGGAAAGGGGTCATGGTTCCTGGTCTGACGTGAGGCAATGCGGTCTTGTGCATGAGATCAGAAGTTCAAGCAGGATTAGAAATTAAGCAACGTGGAATAGGTAGGCTTGCTTTAGGAGCTCACGGGAATACACCAAATCACGGAGTACAAGGTGATATGGGATGGACATCATTTGAGGGCAGGGAAGCTAGCAGCAAGATAAAATTTGAGAAGCGATTGAGAGAAATGGGGGAGGAGCGTCGGTCTAGGTAGGTTTTTAGCTACTTGTACATGAAGAATGTCGATACAAAATGGAGGAAGCGAACCAGAAAATTGACGGGTAAATACTTAGAAAATAGCAGGAGGCCGAACTAAAAAGAACTATCGGGACTCGCTCGCTGGATTCCGTGCCGACCGGTTGTGCCCTCGCGATCTCCGACGTCAGCGTAGCTCTGGCCGACTGGGCTCGCCCTACGTCATCTCCTGACGCCGACCTCCGACGACAGCGTAGCCCTGACCGACTGGACTTGCTCTACGCCACCTACTGACGCCGACAAGAGCTCTCGCAAGTGGTGCCCCGTCCTCGGACTCCTGTGACCGTGTTTCATCTTTCCTATCTCTCCTATCCCCTCGATATGTCGTGGTGGTAGTGGTTCGTAAGGAAAGGAAGAAGGCACCTAATTCCTGTCTGCCTATAGGCGACACGGCGCAGTGCCTTATAGAGGTGGAGGGAAGGAGGGATAAAAAGAATAGAAGGATATAGATGAAGAAATAGAGAGGCAAGCGACGGAAAATAGAAGGCGATAGGAAAGTGGGGATCCGGTCGAAGCAGTCCAAGGGCGGCCCTTGGACTGCTTCGACCGGATCGCCACTTATGTCGTCGCTTCTGGTTTTCCTCATCTCTCTTTCTCTCTCTACACCTTTATTCCCATCCTTTTAATCCCTCCTCACTTCATTCATTGTGAGCTGCTGCTGAGGTGTCGCACCCTGATGCAGACAGTTGCGGGGCTCACTTTTCTCTTCTTTTCCTTCTTATACATAAACACTTCCCCCCCAAAAGAACTATCGGTTAAGAAGAAGGTGAAGGAAGCTGAGACCGATATGTGGAGAATTGGCATGATTAACAAATCTGCACTAGAGATCTATCAAACTTTTAAGCAGGAAATTGCCAAGGAAAGGACCTATATCATAATACTCGGGGTAGTTCTCTACTGTTTGAGGCTGAGAACGGGAGTATTGCGAACCAAGACATATCGGGCCAAACACGAAGGGGTAGACGCGGTATGCAGTGCGTGTGGAGAGGAAGAGGAAAGTGCCGAACACTTGATAATGTTCTGTAAAGGGCTTCACCCTATAGTTCAGGATGATGGCGCAGAGTTTTTCAAAGCACTGGGGTTTAGGGACAAGGAGGGCAAAATAGATTTAAACGGGTATAATTAACTATAAGAAGGTTCTTTGATTGGTGGCTAAAGCCAAGGCACGAGTGAAAATTAAACCTTTTACTGCAAAGTATTAAACTTCAACTTCGCTATTTAAAGGAAAAAAAAAGATAAATCAAGTTTTTAGTTCACTAAGTATTACGGCCAGATGGCGTTAGCCATGACCTACTACACTCCTGACCTGTTCAGATAGCGGGGTTCCTATGGGAGCGCGTGTCCCCGCTCTCGTTCAATCGCTCGCCGTAGGTGGCGCTACCTATAACCTGTTCGTCTGCTACTTTACGGCTGTTTGGACGGCGCTAGAGTAAGAACGGCTGCATTCCGTGATGAACAGCCGGCATATATGTGACTATTTTTTCACTTAGATGACTGGTCAAGTAAGCTGTTCAGTGTGACGAAAAATTTATTGCACACTGGTGGACAAATGCGAGAATCCGTAGACTTACATAGTGTAGGACAGCATATGTGATGTTGCGTCCATTTAATTGCAAAGAATTTGTGAATGACTTTTGAAATACTTGTTTCAAAATTATTTTTCATTAGTGCATAATAATTACGCAATATGAGTGCTCTGTTGGCCGAAATATGACCACGAACACTGAAGCTGACGTCAGCGAACAGGTGCTGACTAGCGCCACAGTGCTCGTAGGTGACGGCCCTAATTTAAAGGGTACAGCTTTATCAATCCATCTAATTATCTATCCATCCATTCATTATATCAAGTGCCTTCCTCTTTTAACCATACATAACCTTTTCTTTATTTCTCTATGTTTTAACAATTTCCACCACCACCACCACCACCAGAGATAAGAAGGAGGGAGATGCTGTAGATTCGAGTTAGTGGACCACGCGGCAGGTATGTAAAGGGCTTCAGAAATGAGGCACCTTCTTTTTTAATCCCTACCACCAAAATGGTAGGCTTTCTGTGCTACCACCATCTAGTAAAGGAGGCATTGCCACCACAGAACTCCTACGACCAAAAGGCGTGCTAAAAGTTGCCAGTGCTTTTAGCGTTCTGCCGCTGTTCTGGCCGACAAGTTTTGGCGCGTTCGAAGAAACGCGTACCATTTTAATCGCGTGGGAACGCGCCTTATTTTGATTGAGTACCGCGGCGTTTCGACACTGTGCACGCGCGCTATTTCGCCGGTGTGTTCGCAACAGGCGCTCTTCAGAAGAACGCGCTGCAACCCGCGCTCGCTAGCGAGTCGCGAGGCCGTTGTTGTGCGGTTGGATAACGTGAAGGGACACACGGGTGGCCCATGATTCTGTCGGCACGTTGGTCTTTGCGCGCAGATGGAGCCCAATCGAGGTGGTTTAGCTCGGCTGAGAACAACGCCGAGGCGCTCAACACTCTCGCAGCCGAACAATAGCAGCATTAGCCCGCCGCAGCCTTCGTCCAGCTCAGCCGAGCCACAGTGGACTGCGGGTGAAATCGACCAACTCGTGGAACTGATCTCGGGTCGCGCTTCTGTGCTGCTGGGCTCCGTCGACGGCACTTCGAAGCGCGTCGCTTGGGAAGAGGTTTCGCAGCGACTCAAAAGGAGCGAAGAGGAAGTCCGCCGCAAGTGGAAGAGCATTGTTGCCGATCTGCGTCAGGGAAAGCGCTCGACGCCGTTCAAGCCGTACGAACTGGCCGCGTTAAAAGCGCTCGACGTTGTGGAACGATCCGGCGAACGTTCGCGCCCGTCAGCGTCGCAGGAACCGCAACTTCAAATCGTACCCACAAGTGTGCGCTCTATTTCAGCAGACACCTTTTTGCACCAAAATACGTCGCACGTGCCTACCATGGCGTCCCCTCTCAGCGTCATCCAGCCAGTGGCTGGACTTAGCATCGTAGCCTTGAATCGGGAAGTGTCCATCACACCCGTGAAGCCACCCCAGCCTCAACACAGCAGCTCGCGGGATTCGTCGGAAGAGCTGCAGGTAAGTGCTGGAAAACTCCCCGCGTCCACATCGTGTTGTGTCCTTATCAAGAAAGGCGCACATTTAGGCACTACTAACTGCAAGACGAATGCTGTCTAAATGTTTCTTTCAAAATGCTTCACCAACTACCCCCCCCCCCCCCCCCTCAAATGAGCACTTCTGTGAAATCGCGCTGTGGCTTGCTTGCCACAACATGTTATGCAGAAAGCGTCCAGGAATTAATGTAGTGCTGCTGTGCTAGATAGGTATTTAAAGTACTCAGTCTAGTGCATACCATTACAGAATTTAGATTTGTTGGTAATTAGTTTTTTGAAATGTTCTACCAACTAGCCCAACAACAAATTCTTTCACAATAGTGCTTACATACTCATGTGTGTAGTTAGCTGCGAGAAATATGGGGTAAATAGTGCTCCAATGTGTGACTACAGCTTTTATATATGCAGTGCTATACTCCAGTTTGTCAGCATTGTCAACATTTTCGTGCAAGCATCATTTGCACAAAATATGATAAGTGAATCAACATATTTGCACAGCGCAAGACTACGAGTAGTTATGACATAACTACAGAAGAGACAAGGACAGAAAGAGCGCTGTTTCTGTCCTTGTCTCTTCTGTAGTTACGTCGTAACTACTCGTAGTCTTGCGCTGTGCAAATATGTTGATTCCCAATCACCAACTAGCCCAAGCACCTGTCTTATCATGCTAAGTGAGATGTGTACATCATAAGGATCTCTTTGCACTACATTCTCATGTGCCAGTCACAGTGAATATGCCGTAATTTAGGCATGGTTTACTGCACCTGTCTTGTATGATGAGATTGAAAGGTCTATTATTTCTCTTGGACATTGTGAACTGATTCATGGTGGCACTGCACTCTAGCATTCATTTCACGAGTTCAATGTAGTAGTGTCGGCACCAAGAGCATAACTGCCGTGCAAGACATGACCCTAGCAGAAGGCTTGTTCGAAATCTGCTCTATTTTACTGTTTTGACATCACATTTCTGCTGAACTTGCTGAAACGATCTTTGCACGATAACAGCTCCCAGACAACCTTACCATTAACAAGTTTAGTTAGTGCAGGGTGAATTGAATCAACCTGAAATGATAAAAAGAAAATAAATGAATGGTTCTGTTCATGCTTAGGCCTGCATTGAACATAACCTGAGGGTATCAAAAGCATGAATACTTGTGTGACGCTGAGAAAAGCTGTTTGAACTCCAACCAAAGTAAAGTAAGTGAAAATGAAAAACCCGATTTTTCGGAACCTAAGTGGAGGACAAGACTAATACTCCAGTCATGACATGACGGCTTGAAACATCAGTCGTTTCCTCTGAACCTTTCCCCCATTGTATCCACAGGAACTACGCTTCGCGGCAAAACGTGGAGTCGTTAACCGCTGCACAAGTGCCTTCAAGACGCTGCAGCAACGTTGCCACAGTCCCCCGTGGGAAGGAACCAAGTCGGTTCCGAAATGCCATGTTTTTGTGTGTTCATGTTGTGATGTTAACGTGGGTTCAGGATTCGCTCCAGAAAGAATAATGCAGCACGCAAGGTGGAAAAACACGCGTAAGACACCTTAACAGACACGACAGGACTCAACGAATAGAGAAAAACAGTTAAATTTGACATGAGGGCTGTTACGCGAAATAGTCAAGCAGTAGTGTACAGTTTTTTGTCGAAGCCGATGAAGTTGCCGAGTTGAAGGCGCCGTGCGTAGACCATCTGTCCGATGCCGTAGCTCGGTGTTTGGTATGGCCGCGTGAAGTCAAGAAGGTCCACTCTGTGGCCGTTGATGCCGGGACTCTGCGCCCAAGGGACCCACTCCACGGTGGACGCCCTCGGCCTGTGCGTGCTCGTGGGCTGAACCCTGAGTGTGCCTGTCTGCCCACAGCGTCAAGACCTTGGCCCGGCCTCGTGCACATTCCCCAGCCCGATCTCCTCGTAGCGGAACAGGCGGGAGCGCTCTAAGTCGAGGCAGCAGGAGGTAGAGCTCCGGGTTCTCCCATGGACCGGACGCCCAGCGAAAGAGAGCCCAGCCTTGCAATTCCGACTCTCGTGCATGGCCTACGCTGTCTCGAGACACGCCGCGCACACGATCGCCGTCCTCTTCGCCCCCGCACGGTGCACACATTCAAAAGGCCACACAAGTCGCCACCGCACGGCGTACTGTTTTGTTTTTGCACATTTCAACCCGTGCGCACCATATATTATGACACATGTGCTTTACTTTAGGTGGAGTTCAAAGCTTTTCTTAGTTTACTTACCCAACCAGACAGACTTCTGTATAATGTTTACATTCTGTGTCACTGCATCCTTCTTGCCTCAACTGCCCTTTGCAGGTGTTGCGGTGCTGCAATTCTGTGCACACACAGACACCACCTGTGCCAGATGAACCCAGTGCCAAGAAAGCACGCCACAGCTCTTCCTCCCACGCTGACACGACGGCCCTACTGCAGAGGTTGGTGTATCTGGAGGAACGTCGAGTCGCACTACAGCAGGAGCAGCTAACTGTGGACCGGGAAAAAGTGAAGTGCGTGCGTGATTTGTTAGCTGTTCTCGGCAGAAATGACCGGACAGTTTCTGTACCTAATGGAGACGTGGTTGGCGCTGTTGTGTCATCACTATCGTAGACTGATCGACCGGGTCGGTGATGACTTCGCTTCGACCACATTGTACCTGGTTACAAGTTGCTGGTGCATTGTTGGCAAATTGAGAAGAAATGCTGTGCAGGACAGAAACTAATATATCATGTGAGGTATCGACCAAGTTTAGGTGCCCTTATGCCAGCGTTCCTTTGTACAGGGTGGTTACAGCATCTGCTGTTTGACCGCATATGACATCACGCAACGCGATGACTCCACTGGACACCCATAATGGCGGCAGCATGGTCAGTGGTTTTCACCATACTGTGCGAAAGAACTCTGGCATCAAGACATCCTAAACAATGTTATGCTACGACACATAATGGTCCAGCGTTGGTGTTTTGAGGCTACACTTCACACATTAATTATTGACTCATAGTATTGACTGTCATCAAACATGTCGTGCTTTGCCAGGTGTCAGCATCCGATAAAAAACAAGATTGTTTCTTTCACTTAAGTCAAGAACGAGGTAATATCAAAAGAGCAGTATGCATTGCAACTTGTGTAAGCTTTGTTTGTTGTGGCAACATTCCACATGTACTACTGCTGGACTGTCCTTTTCCTGCTTCTGTGAGCTTGAAATCAGTGGCCTCAATATCGCAACTCGAGACCAGAAGTAGTACTAGGTAAGGCAGTAGAGCGATTTGGTTAGAACCGGGCGTAGTTCACACACTTTTGTCCCCTCTCACATATGCAATACATGGATGCACAATAGCTGTAACTGCAAGTAAAGTCACAAATCATTTTCTGTCTATTATTCACATAGTGCAGCTATTGACATCTGTGGCTACCTTTTGAGTGCTAGGCGGTATGTGCCGCCGCTTTCACTTTCGGTAGTACCTTTTGGCATCAGCGGCTAAGAATAGCGAGGATGCTCATGGTTATGGTGGTTGCTGTTTATAGCATAACTAGCTTATTGCTAAAACACCAATCATAATGGTGGAAGTATAAAGCCTGGCAGTTCCATCTATTTCGGAACTGTGATTCCAGTTTTCTGTTTTGTGTATGAGCACTCTTACCTGGCTTCCAGTGCCCCAGCACGATCAAGTGCAGTGGCACAGCATCCTAAAGTTGCATCAACTGATGCGCTATTGATGGGTTTAAACATTTTATTGGCACCAGCATTTTATGCCTTCGTTCAAGCACAGATTTTCTTTGTGGGTATTACTCATATGCAGTCTAAAAGAAATGAACTTTTTTGTACACAGAATGTTTCGGAAAAGAAGTCATATAGGACAAAACGTTCTGTCTTATCTGACTTCTTTTCTAAAACATTCTGCTCACAAAGAAAGTTTATTTATTCCTTTTAGAATGCAGTACTATCCAGCCTAAGTAGCAACCTTTTCCCAGTGTGACTCATTGAAAATGCTTGATGCATGACTGTGCTGCCTTTGTGCAGGGGTATGTTCACATGTGTCAATACTGTTGGGACTTGAAGAGCATTTGATAAATCATCATGCTTTAGCAGCCTCAAAAACATATATCTAAGACTGTCTTACAGAGAGGTTTGCTGAAATGACAGACCTATTCTTTTAAAAAAAAGGAGGGGGGAAGGGGCTAACCATTAGCGATTAAGTCATTACGGCTGTTATGCAAAGCTTGCATAACAGTTTGTGAGCAAAATCTGTCTGCTATATTAACACAGGTTGCTTGTCAAGTAAGTACTCTGAATTAAGGTGCTTATGATTTATATTTTGCATTTCATTGTTGATGTCACCTGGCTTGCTACCATTCACATGGGGATATGTATACAGTGTTGACGGATGGACATCTACAAATAATCCTAACAGTATTAGCGAGCAGTTCAGTTTTTCATCTTTAAGGTTATGCCAGATTCATCTATCAAAAATACTTGCATTGTTATCGGCTTATGTGGGAAAAAGGTAATTTCTCTCTAGAGAATGTGCTTGTAAAATATGCTTTGATGTGCCTTCAGTAGAACGCATCAGGCACCAGCAAGTTGAAAAATTCTGCGTGCCCAATTGACGGTAAAAGTTTGGGTTTCTCATTGATCTTCATAATGTAAAATACTGCATTGTCATTGCCACTGGTGGCCATATGTGAATACCGCCACTAACCTTAGGGCATGCACAGAGTTCATTGTGAATAAGTTGTACATTGAATGAATGCCAAACATATTGAAACTGCAGTACTGCAGTCGCTAGTCAACGGTGCTGTCGTGAGTGGAATATAAGAGCGCAGTGACAGCCTAGTTTTGTACCTCTTGTAGCTAGTGAATGTTCAGTGGTCTGCGACATCGTAACTGCATTTCATGATGAAAATTTTTCGGTGACTTCTTTTTTTGTAACAAGACTTCTAAGCAGCTTTTTCAGTTCAGGAACCACAAGTGCAGTGGTATTCACTCGAATGTACCACTGCCTGCACTGCCACGTTACAAAAGCTTACTCTGCTAGCTCAAATGAGCTTGCAGCTGAATTATAGGCTGTACCATATTCGTGCTATAGCCTAATTAATTTTCTGACCAGAAAAGCCTAAAAGGTTATGCTAACATCACAATCTTGATTTCCTTTTGGTTATAGCTGCATCCATATGATCTCATTCGAAGAGACGGCTTGCTAGCAGAAACACAAGACAGCAGTAACCCCACAAGACGTGTCGCCACTTCCGTCTTGTGTCTGTGTTTGCTCACCCCGTCTTTTAGAATGAATACTTACCAACCAGCTTCGCTCTCTGCTATTCTAAGATCTCACTTTGCAAGGGCTACTGTGCCTTTTCACTGTGACAGCATGTTCAATTGGCTATCTGTGGCATGTGTGTTTGTCCAGCTTTCCACAGTGCAGAAAACTGTCAGTGTGTAACTTGCCATGAATGTGTGTACCAAAGGTTATGGTACTACACTTTTGATGCATGAGGCTCATATAACAACCCGGAATGCTTCAATTGTTTCTTTTATTGAATATCTGTCAGTGTTTTTTATGTTTTTCCTTTCTTATATGTTCTGATATTTTACCCCACACTCTATTTTATTCCTTCGCACAGGATTTCGTACTAACTGTGTACTAGGAGCCCCGATTTTGTTTTTTACATTACCATATCTACTTGTTACTGTTAAGCACAGGGGCCGATATCCAAAATAATCTCTGTTATAGGTTTGCACATTTCTACGCTTTACTCATATTTTCGTCTTTTTGTGTGCAGACATAATAGCAATAACACTTGTTGTTCTTATTTGCAATTTGAAGCTAAGCACGCTTCAACAGTAACTTTAAAAGCAAGAACTGCTTAGCAGGAATCGGTATGATGATTTTGAGTGGTCACTAGTGTTTAGTCGTTTATGAGCATTTTGTCAGCTGTTTATCAATGTTTAGTTTGGTTTCTGGTATCTCTCCACCAGAATTTGCTGACATTTAAATGATTTGATTTGATTGATATGTGGGGTTTAACGTCCCAAAACCACCATACGATTATGAGAGACACCATAGTGGAAGGCTCCGGAAATTTTGACCACCTGGGCTTTTTAATGTGCACTCAAATCTCAGCACACAGGCCTACAGCGTTTTTCGCCTCCATCGAAAACGCAGCCGTCGCAGCCGGGATTCGATCCCGCGACCTGTGGGTCAGCAGCCGAGTACCTTAGCCACTAGACCACCGCGGCGGGGCGCCATTTAAGTGAGGTCATTCAGTTATAAAATTATCCGAGTGTGTTTTAAGGCTTTCGGTTTCCCTCTGTGAGCTGTGTTTTCCACCATTACTTTTTCTTATTTTCTTTATTTGCTCAGAACCATCTTGTGTTAGCTGCATGGTGGAGCTATGGAGAATAACGGGTATGGACTTTTTTTTTTTTTTTTTTTTGTTCTTGCTTCGCAGTAATGTTCTAGTGGCTAAGGTACTTGGCTGTTGACCCGCAGATTGCGGGATTGAATCCCAGCTGCGGCGGCTGCATTTTGGGATGGAGGCGAGAATGCTGTAGGCCCGTATGCTCCGATATGAGTGCACGTTAAAGAACCCCAGCTGGTCGAAATTTCCGAAGCCCTCCACTATGGTGTCTCTGATAATCATATGGTGGTTTTGGGACGTTAAACCTCACATATCAATCAATCAGTTTTTTTTTCCTAAGGTGTGGCAAATTACATTCGACATTTATGGTTTAAACTCTACAAAATTCTCCAGAATTGTGTTAAAAAAATGCTAAGGCTTTAACACATTTTTATGTAGTGACGATTGTTTCAATTGTAATTACGTTGTAATGAGACGTTCAAGAAAATTTTAACATAGATTTAAAGCAGATATCTGCAGCTTTCTCAAATTTAGTTGTAATATTGATTACAAGCATAGAGGCAAGTCATGTTATAAAGTTTAATGTTAGTATTGTGAGTTAATGAGCCTGTTTATATCTAGTGAATTCAAAAACTTTCATCGCAGCTCTTTTGCTTGATTACCGCTTTATGACTTGCTAGATGCGCTACTTGACTGTAGAAGTTGTGCAAATGTATGTATGTGTGTGTATGAGGGGGCATGGCAAACACAGCAAAATTACTTGGGTGTCTCATGCAAGACACTGGTTACCTGGTAGATCAGATACACTGCATAGGCAAAACCCTTATGAAAAAGGTTGGTTTAAACGGTAATAAAGGAAACAAACAGGACTTCCTTGATTATTCAAATACAAAAAGAAGATACACTGCGTTCCATGATCTCCAACACCATGGCAAGATCAACTTTGTGCAGAATATGCTTTGGCTTGTGATGAAATTTCGACAGTAGCAACCATCTCTGTAGTATCACCCCCCCCTGTCTGGAATGCAAATTCATACTCGGTGTGCTCAAATGATTGTTGTAATTGGTCATTGATTGGTCATTGCTAATTTATCTATGTGGTCATTGCTTTAATGACTTTCATTGATAGTATACTGAAAGTTTCGCTGAAAGTGCACTTTCAGGAAAGGTGTACTTTCACTGAAAATTGCTGAGTAATGAACTACAAATTTGCACATTGTATTGCATATGTAGTGTTCCTATTTTATAAAACGAAGTTTTTCGGGTCTTGTGAGGACCCCGTGCAGTTTTCGACAAAAGAACTGTAAGAAATGGGAATATTTTGTACTGCGCCATTCCTATGTTTTGAAAAGCTAGATGCATAATCCCTGGCCATCTGCCCGTGCATAAGTCATCTCAGCCCGTTGTACCTGTGGTGAAAGAGGCCTTAATTACAGCCACACCAGTACACTGCCGTGTAAAACTTTTCATTTTATGTGGTGTGCAATTCATCAGAAAATATTTTTTGGCCTGCCAACATGACTGCATTGCCACAAGAATATTAATACTGATGTTATTCATTTCATGTTCCTATTTATACTTACTCAAGAATATTTCAGAGAAAGTTTTTATGCTATGTTCAGCTTGATATTTTTTTTAACCCTGATTCTCTCAAAGACTTCGTGTTATTTCATGTTTCCAACATTAAGCCACACATTTCAGCAGAAAGTGTTGTGATAGTGTGGATTTATTTGAGATATGATTTGTGTTTTAAATAGAGTTTCTGATACAATTTCTCTAATAAATGAATAAATAAAATGTGCAACTAGCAAATGTTCGTAGCAGCATATTTTTGCCTTGAACTTGTTGGTTGCTTCAATGTGTGTGTGTTCATATATGATCTTTGTGCAATTTAAAAAAAAAGGTTCCTGTGTGAAGAGGCTTGGTAAATTGGAAAAGATGCAGAAGCAAAAAAAAAAAAAAGTGTGTCAACATTGCTTTGCAACATCCTTTTCCACCTTATTAAAGGGACACTAAAGGCAACTATTAAGTCAATGCTTATTGTTTAAATAGCGGTCCAGAAACCTCATAGTATTACTTTTCTGCCAAGAAAGTTCTTATTTTTAAATAAAATCGCGTTTTAGTAGTCCGCATTGGGTTATCACGCTTTTAATTACCCGCCTCAAGCGGAACATGTCACGTCACTGTTGCCGTGCACAACGTCGCCCAGCTTTACGGCACGGCCACCAACACTAGTAGCAGAAGAACAAAAGTAGTGGAAGCCACAGCAGCAACAATGGCCATTGAATAGGAGATGTGCTTGGTTCAACTGGGCGCTGCTAGATGGCACGACCTGTCCACTTTAATCAGGTGAAAATTGAATTTTTGAACCACTCGTGCCATGCCCCACAGTTACATCCAATGGTTCTTTTTTCCATCTATCAAACAGAAACAAACAAGCAGCATTGCATTACGTCTCTTGATGCAAGGAAGGTTGTTTATTTAGTGCTGCTAGTTTGATTACTAGAGATTAATTGTAGGCGGTACCACTCACGTCATCGGGCTCATTTGGGAATGCTTTACGCGAAACGCACATGTTCTTGTGCATTTATTTGAATTTCTGAGTAAGTAGGGCCCTGCTGTTGATAATACTGTCATTTTATATGTTGTCATACATTGAGCTTTCACTCTGACATAAATTGTTGACTTAAGTGTCCCTTTGATACATGGATTTTGAAAGCACCTGCCAAGGCTGAATAGCAACTATATAGAATGTGAAGTACTTTTGCCTCTTTGCTTAATATTTTTTATAGTTCTGAATGATGGCCAATATTTCAAATCACTTTAATATCACTGAAACATAAGTGAACTGAACATTTCAGTGGACCACAATGTTATTTGATGGCAGCATAAATTGAAAAAGATACATATGTGCAATGTGTCATTTAGGGACACATAGACAGATATACATAGACAGTTTACATTGACAAAATTCAATTTGAGAATTCGTTATATTGGGTTACTTTGACGATAAGTTTATTATTACAAGAAAATATCGGTTAGACTTGAATTTTTTTGTTTCACACCCAGAATCCTTTTTTCTATACCTCAGTTTTTTTTTATCATTATTCATGTCTTGGTTGCATTGGCTCAGTTCTTGAAGTTTGCTACGTGCAGTTTCTGGCACCTTGAGAACACAATGCATTTCAGTTTTACCGACAGACATTTGGCTAAGCCTTAGCAGATTCATTTCAAAGTTCATAATCACATCATAGTGAGCTCATGCAAAATCCTCTTGCTGGTGGTTTTACCAGTGTTTTTTACTTTTTATGGCTTACAAGACCCCTTTCTATGGAGAGAGAAGAGCTCTTGATAGGATGGCAGTTTATTGATGCAACTGAACCCTTTCCTCTTTGCCCCTTTAATGCCCCTTTAACCTTTTAGACTGGACATTAGCGTCAAAAAGTGTTCTTATACAAGCTAAACCCATCCAAAAATTATCACATGCCTAAACTCTTCAAGACCTTTATTAAAATTCTCGACTGACTGACTGACCTAACCCTGGTTAGATTTGTAGATTTGTTTTTAAAAACTGAAATGAGCAACCAGCACAAGTCAATGCCTTTAATCCATTGCAATGCTCTATTATGATCTACTATGTGTAAATGCATCAAATTCACATAATCTGATGGAAAGATTCAAAAGACCCTAATTAAAATGAGCGGTAATATTACAATAAATTAGCAGCAACTTGTAAATAGTAGCAACTTGTAAATAGCAGCAACTTGTAATTAGTCATTCATTATCTAATTATTGTACAGTCATGCCATATTTCTTCATAAAAAAAATTCAACTACCCCTCAAATTACGTGCAGTAGTTATCTGATGGCTGTTAATTCCGGCAAAGTTAAAGGAAATACTTCGAAATTTCTGTGAAAATGTTTGCTCCACATATAGTGTCTCAATAAACGAAGTGCTGCCTTCACCATAGCATCATGTGTAGCAGAATATATCAATACGTAGTGGTATAAAAAATACTTTCGGTAATGCAAATATTTACTTTATTGTACAGTCAGTGTTTGTAATCTCTTCCTTGCTAACATTGCACAAAAATGACAAAATCATGTCGCATCTCCTAATCGGGACACCATATTGCAAAAGGTTATTTTGCGTTCTTTGTGCGGAACAAATTCAAACTTGGCAGTTGGACGACTCCTTGCCTTATGACGGGTATATTCTGTCATAATATAGTACAGTCATTGCAGAGATGGTGATTCCTATCTACAGTAAAATTTCTTTGTAACAAAGTCCACCTGTCATAAAAATAGCTTCTTTATATCAGAAAATGCTTTATGAGCATATATTCATAACACCGTAATAATGCATAGTACAATATCGTATAGCGCAGTCATTGCAGAGATGCTGACTTCAATCTACAGTGAAACCTTTTCATAACTAAGTCCGACTGTCGAAAAAATAGCTTCTTTATATCAGAAAATGCTTTATGAGTATATATTCATAACACTGTAATAATGTCAGCACATTGCCTTAATTTCTGATGTTGACTATATGCACCTGAATGGGTGTAGTCCTTCAATTTTCCTGAAATGTTTTTCCTGATTCGCAGTGCCTTGCGCGGTGTTGCTCCTCAATCGGAGGTGGTGGCATGCTGGCAGGTTTTCACCTTAAGGCCACATATGGCCTCCAAATTAGTGTTTTGTTTAGTGGTACATTGGTATTTACCAGCTCGGACTCTGCATATCTCAAGATCGGGACAAGAGCCAAGAAGGTCATTCATGGGTGCACAACACAGGACAACTGAGTTGAGCGTAAGTCGTCAGTTTCACTTTATTGTGAAATAAATAAATAGTGCAAGAATATACAAAGGCAGTCTGCTAAGTGTGAGCCGGGCAGCCTGAGCAAAAGAGCCGAGTTGTGGAAAAGAAAAATACACAAGAGTTAGAAACCCCCCCCCCCCCCCCTTTTTTAAGCTGCCAAATACTGTACATCTGCATTTTGTGAACAATGATAAGTAAGCAGTTATCTAAAGTCATAGCTTCCAAACTACGGGTGGGCTTCGTGCATTGGAATCTTGCCCTCATATCGATCAAAATTGCATGTTTGCTGATTGTGACGCCGCCTGCAGGAGAAAAAAACTACGTAATATTGCTGTTGCACATTGCACTGCTGATCGCAATAAAGCCAGATTTGGAATAAATTGCTCCATGGTGATTCACTCCCCTCTGCAGCTTTTGTAAAAAGCCAATCGTGATTAACCCTTTTGCAACCAAAAGAAAAAAAAAAACACCAAAATCACCGAAAACTTTATTCCACTCAATTTGTAAGCCTTTTCTGAATATAATAATACCATTCTTAAAATTCACTATGGTTCCTTCATTTCACCAATTGTATATAAAAAGACAACTCAAAGGTGGCTTCAGCACATAGTATTACAATGAAAAATGGCAATAAAATGGAAGCTGAGACACGTGCATGTCCCAACATGAACAAATGTGACTATCTAGCATAAAAAAAACAAGCATGACGAGTATTGTTTTCATGCAGGAGCAAATTTTGATGACGAGTATAGTTGCCATCGGCCAATCGGTTAGATAATCTCATGACAGCTACACTGATCAACAGTCACAAAAGAGTTAAGAAATTTAACCCAGACTATACCAGATCGCGATCAAAAGTGGCCGTTTGACATCGGTGTAATATATGGCAATTCGTTGTATTCTGTGTAGTAGAGGATCTCGTGCTTGGTAAAGTGAGCACTGTTCTTGTCATTGTTTCTTGAAGGCACCTTGCCCAATTCTTGCTATAGTAGCTTGCAACATTATTGAAAACTGTAGTGGTGCAGCACATTTTCTTCCTGGTTGTTTGTCGATTTGCTAGCCTCCGCAAATTCATCCATGCAAATGTCTGGGTTTTGAAACTGAGTTTCATTATAGGTATGATTGAAGAATGCTGTCATAATGCCTTGCTTCACAGGTGTTGGCCTAACGCTTTCCACTTGTATCGAGGTCAGCGGAACATGAATGCACTGCACGAATTATTGTATTTTCTGCCTGTGACAAAGAGCACACAATCTGCGCCACATCCTCGTGCATCTTGTAAAACACAAAAGTTAAATTACAAATAGCCTTCAGCTGAGATATGCCCCCAACGCATAATCTTACCAATGGTATGCATTGGTACAGAACCAGAACAGGTTCAATGATTTAGGCTGTTTCTACATGTTGTTGTGTGTGACAAAGCGATGCCATTACACTGGAGAAAACTGAATGGGACATAAGCTGCAGACACGGAGGCGGCAAACACTGGTCTACATATTCATAGTACCATGATGGTGGTGTCAGAGTTTACTCCTCTTGTTCGGTTCAATTTACTCTGATTACCATCTTCATGGTTCAAGCAACCAATTAATCTGCCTAACAACATTGGTTACCCAGAATGAAGTCTAAATGCCTTTATATGTCCTTTCATGTACTTGTGAATATCTTAAAAATTTCTGTGCCTTTTGTGCACCATACGGCCTAGCCCTATGGTGCACAAGTGAAATGATTGATGACAAGAGGTTGTCCAAGACGGCACTCTTGTTTGTGCTAATTTAAATAGCATGAGAAGCACAAAATCAGTGTTACGTAGGTATTGAGTATTCCTTAGAAATAGATACATATGTAACTTCCACAATGCTTTGGTAAAGTGTTCACGAAATATTGTTCACCACCTATGATAACAGTGAATCAAGTTCAGCCACAGCAGTTCACATTGTTTTATGTTATCGATTATGCTGCAGCATTTGAAGTCTAGGCTTGGACTCAGCTGTTTTGATAAGAATAGTACAAAGCCTTTAAGCATTTGAAAGCGTACAACAGGCCCAACCACTTAAGTGCTCTGCGCCAAGAACACCCACAGAGCTTCACTAACACAAACACGTCTGTATTGCCTGTACCGCTTGATTGCTTTAAAAGGCGAGCGATCCGAGGAAAAGTGGAGATGGTTGCGCTCGATCAATGTGTTCGAGCCTGTTCATGCCAGCTCAGTCGCAAGAGCTGACTTCATAAGGGAGCTAAAAGTTGCTGTGAAAGTTGCACTTGAGCACCGAAAATGTGGGCATTCCTGTGACACACCCACTCTATGTACAGGAATGAGGTCATTGCATTACTCATTTCTCATAGCGCTGACTGTTAGGAATGACATCCAGGATTACGGAGAGCTTAAGTTTTGAGTAGAGACTCATTTGGTCTGAAATAATCTGATCTCACATTCACTGAGAGCAGATGACACTACAGACCTACGGCAAAAACTTCATCATAATGAAAAGTTGGGCAAGTTGATTTTGACTCAGGGCGTGAAAAGGCGTGAAAAATGTGACAACACACAATAGAAAACACAGTACATCCTGAAGGTGCAGTTGCAATATTTATGCTCTCAATGTGAAAGCTACACATACTGTTTCAACATTTGGGCAGAGGTGGCAAGAAAATTGAACTCCTCTTGCTGCCTGAGTGGTGCTGTGTAAGCTTTTTTCGTAGAGGTATACAGAGCCACCAAAACGAAGCATGCACGTAGTTGCTAGATATAATTGCATCTAGACTTCTAATTTTAGTGGAAGTGCCTTGACTGCACACAGTTACAATAGCTGCCTTGTAGAGGCAGCCTATTCACACAGTAGCGCAACATCGACTTTTCCAAGTAAAGCATTTCCATATACTGCCTTTCTTATGCAACAAAAGCCACATCAAAATTGCAAAATCCCCTGTTCTGTTAGTTGTCATTAGAAACACTACATATGGATTGCGCATTCTGATAACATGATGCAAGCTTTTCGTAAACTTCCAGTGATCTTTTCCATGTTGACAAGGTCTTCTACAAAGAAGCCTCGAAATTCAAAATCAACAACGGTAACAAATTTTAATTTGTTACCGTTGTGACTTTAATTTGTGACTGTTGTAAATGTTGTAGTTTTGTCAGACATCACCAGTTGCGAAATTGTACACAAGCGCAGTGCATCAGAGACATCACAAGCCAGCGGGTCTGAAACTTCTGGCCGTGCTGTTGACGAGTAACTCAGTAAACCTTGTGTCTACGTGTTCTTCAGAAACTACGTGAATGAAATAATATATATTATGTTGGGCCCATAAATATAGGAATGCAGCAGCCACTGCTGCCATGCCTTTAGGCGTAACTTGCTTGCAGTCTACAATCACTTGTATGCAGATCATCAGCATAGTTGACCGTTTTGTGCGCCTTGCATAAAGTCTGTGACCATCATAACAGATTATGTTTGATCAGTCCTTGGAAAAACCTCAGTAGACCATCAACTGGAGCTCTCCCAGGGTCACTCGTGAGTTTCGTGACAGTCGGTTTGATAACAGTCGCTCAGGGGTCTGAAGCAGCACTGCCATTGGAGAGCAGGTCTGATCGGTCCAGAAACTGCTCACAAGGGCCCTCTTCATGTTCCTCGGGAGCTTCTCCTGATTGGACCACTGCCAACCACTGGATACAAAGGGCATACGTAAGTCACATTGTCAAAGCTCGCAGTGCACATAGACAACACATTTTCTGCTCATGTTAAGCGGACTATGATCACGATTTATTTACTAATTACATATCGCAGACCTTTCGGTCCAAACAGGTAGCCAGCATAGAATTAGAAGCTATTGACGTAAGGAATTAAAAAAAATAAACTCAGGGGAAGGTTACACTGCCAAAGAGTAGAGGTGCAATTAACGAACATGAAAGCTTTGATTACAGCAATCGCCACAAACCTGAATTTCTTTTTTACAACATGCAGTATGTTGTATGACCGCTCTGAATGGAAATTTGTGAGCGTGGCATTAAATCATCATTGTGTTTACCTGCTCTCATGTTCATCAAAATGGTTCTTGTGTTGGTTCTTGAAGTTATCATGAATTTTTTTTCATGCACGGGTATTTAGACATTTTTTGTGGCTCCCTTCTTGTAGAGAATCGGTAACCGACTATACCTTGCACAAAAGGCCAAATTTCAATAGTATAATGATGCTTCTATGCATTAATATTGAGTGCTGATCCTGTTGATTTTGTTGTACCATAGTGAGGTTTAACTTGAATCTTTTTAGTACCATACTATAGGTTCACTGTACCTTCATGTTTAAGCACCGAGAGGTCTCCAGTAGCTCACCTGCGCATTGTGCCAGCAGAAGCGTGCTTCGCGCAGCCGACGGTCCCACTCCGGATAATAGTGGGCCAATACCGACAGTGCATGACTGCAGACACGCCCCACCTCTGCGTTGCGGTCGTGAAGAAGGTCTAGCAGGTATGCTGGCACCTCCTGTGCACCTCGCACTAGTGTTTCGCGCACAGCAGTACCGCTGCTGGCAATTAAAGCATCGAAGACATATGCCACCTGCAAAGCCAAGACGAATGATACCAGTTGGTTAATCACTCCAGCTCACCTGTGCAATGCACATATTTACTGTGCAATCTCTTGCCTGCTGTTTCTGTTAGCCTCTGCTTTTTATACAGCTGCAATCAATTAGCAGTAAACTGCTGATGCTGATGTCGCCGCTACTGGTTGCCACAGATGGAGGTTTAGTGTCCACCTTATGGCTAGCATGTAGACAACACTCCTCACTCTGTCAAATAAGGTTGCACTACCATGATCTTCATTTACCAGCACTGAAAACAGACGAGGAACTTAGCAAGACACAGACAGCATAAATATCCTTTATGACTTGCTTGGTTACACCCTTTATATCAAAGAATAATTGGCTCGTATGGGGAAGTTATAAGATTAACAAATGTGAAGGTATAGAGTCCCTCTAACATGGGGCTAGGCATTGTAGATATCAAAACAGGGCTTTCTGTCATATGATACTTAACCAGGCAAATGATATTGATGATGATAAGGGAGTCATGTTCATGTCATTTCTTAACAGGTGTCATAAAAGCCTTGAACGGCTGGCAAATGGTACGGAGTGAATCAATAATAACAGCAAAAGCTTAAGCATTTATCTAGAGCATAGGTAATAATTATCTGCTGTGTTTTTAGGAAAGATGAGCTTACTTCTTGTCTAATTTCTGTGCTCAGCTCCCATTCATACAAGTCACTTGCCTGGCCTGAGCTTTTCACAGTTTTACTTACAAGCACACTGGAGAGGGACGCATGCCTGCACTAAGGATTCAGGTGAAATGGGCATGCTGATGAGAGTACAAAAAAAGCACATGGGATTGTTGCCTAGTGAAATGCTGCTCAAATGACACAAAGGCACGCTCACCTGCAGCACTAGTTGGTCATCCTCCTGCCTGGCTCTGAGCAGGCCCGTCAGGTCAACAACCAGACCCTGCTGCACAATGGCCCGGGCACAAGTCTCATTGCTTCGTGCCACCGTGGCCACCAGCTGAACCAAAGGCACAAGCAGCTCGTCAGGCCCTTCAGCAAGGCGACTACGAATCCACGGTAGCAGCCGATCCAGTAGTTTCCCAAAAGGTCCTCCTTCCAGCTGCGCTAGTGTGGAGGCACACTCTACAGCAAAGTCACTCTCCGTTGAGGAATGCTGCAAGAGTGCAGTACAGAGGGCCTCCGCATTGGATGCAAGAGCTGCTCCACAAGCTGCACCGCTGTGCTGTGCCACGGTCCGTACAAGCCGCAAGTAAAGGGCATCGGCGTCTCGCAAAGCGCGCTCCAGCAGCTTTTCGAGAGCCCCTGAAAAGAGCTGGGCATTGCAGTCGATAGGTGGCCAGACTTATGGCTAGTGCCAGCGGAGCTGGCTGCGGACTCTGGCTTGCCAGGAGGGATCTGACCAGCCACGGCATGCAGTCCTGTGTAGGGAAACTGGGACTTGCAACGATCGTCCAGACTCAGGTGATACAAGATGCACAGGGCCGGAGTCTCGTCGGATGCCGCACGTCCTTCCTTGACGAGGAGCTGAACGAGTTTTGGGATGAGCCCCGCTGCCGACATGGCGGCACGATGGCTGCGGTCGAAAGACAGGTTGAGCAGTAGGCGTAGTACAGCCGACGCGAGCGGCTCCTGAGACAGCAGTGGCGCTAGCCGTTCGATGGTTGGTAGCCGAGCCATCTCGGCCTGGGATGAAGTATGAGAGCCAGTTACTTCCTGAGCAATACAATATTGTCCAAAAATGCCAGGCTCACAAATCACCGCTATTCACAAAGCCATGCCTTCTCAGCACAGTGCGCTTTTGTAAATCCATATATTTACAATGCTGCATATTGATTTCAGCCATCAGTAACGAAAAGGTCCTTTATCTCTTTTGGCACAACTCTCATTCACTATTCAAACGCATTCTGGGATCAAATTTTCGCTTTGGCTAGAAAGAGACAGAATTATTCAGCATAAGTAGATAAAAATAGAAAAAAAATATGTGCATAGACTAAAGCAGCTCATTCTGTTTTTTGAACTAAGTTCATTTCAGAACAGGAGGTATACAAACTAAGTCGTTACAAACCTCACTAGGACACCATTGTACTTGCAATTACTTTACCGCTAACAGAAGCTCCGTTCTCAACACTAGTGATGCTTCAAACTTTCCGGTGGGTAATGAATTTTTTTCTTTACTTTATAACGTATGAATGGCCTCAGATGGCACTCGATAGAAGCAAACAGAAAACAAGCGAAATAATTTTGTGCACATACTGTTGACCAAGATCATTAAAGTAAGCAAACTACTTCAATAAAGCGATTCACTCAGTTAAGAGAATGATGTGTCTGAAAGTGTATATTTGCTGCAGTGAGGATATTCAGGCACTGGTCGTTATTTTACAGAATAACTAAGCAATGTGTAAAGCTGTCAACCAGCTCGTGTATCGCATAAATGCGAGTGGCTACTGTGTGTTCATCTCGAAGGTTAACATTCGGCAAAAAATGCACCCTGAAACTTCACTGTGAGCACACATACCCTTTGTGTCAGTGCCTTTGTGCCAGTCTTGTATTTGGTGGCAAAAGTCCATTTGCAAGCTCAGTGCTTATCAGCCATAACAGAACTACAACAACTCGTGTAAGATTTACTAGCACCGCACAACCACCTGTGCATGCAGACAAGCAAGTGGGCACTTCAGCACATTGGGTACAGACTTTTTCACTCAGGAAAAACAGCTGCCTTGTATTCATGTGCTGATAGCTGTTAGCGGGAGGCCAATGGGATATTATTTAATGATTAGGAACCTCTATTCGGTGCCATTTATAGTAATACTAATAGTTCTTCTGCAACAATTCAAGTGAAGTGTATGAGTATTTCTGTGTACGAGTATCTTTTTATTCATATTCAGGGCTGCTAGATACCTATCACGGCTGTCTAGCTGTTAAGGCACTATACTGCTGAACCGCAGGTCACGGGATTCCAGCCGTGGCAGCCACAATGTACTTAGAGTTATATGCATGATAAAGAACCACAGGTGGTCAAAATTTCTGGAGCCTTCCACTGCGGCATCTTCATAATTGTATTGTTGTTTTGGGACATTAATACAGTTAATATAAAAGCCAGTAATTTCTGAAATTCCAAATAAATGCCTAAATCATAACATATTATGGCATATTTATTTAGCATACCATCATAAGCTTTTTCCATAAAGAAATGTGAAGTTATCAAACAAGGAACGTTGCTGGAGCCAACATTTGAAAAAGTAGACCTGCCTTCATCAGGTTGTAGTTTCCCTGATGAAGGCAAATCCCGATGTAAAAATATTAGCTTCACAAATTCTCAGTCTTTATGAAACATCGACTTTCCTACTTTTGAACAAATGCTGAAGCTGTATTTAGACGAAAGAGTGAGCAAGCCTATAAATGGCTCTAGGGCATGACAGCAGTTGCATTGAAATTGAATTTAATATTACTAACTAAATAGGTAAACAATGAGGATGGTAAGATAAAAGCTGCATAATGGCAGCTAGACTAGTCCCACCTCTCTGCTTGAACAGATCCCCGGAAAAAGATCTAGATGTGTCGGACCTGATTTTCATAGTAGATGGACAGCTTTTTCAAGAAGCAGACTGCCAGCAAAAGCAGGTCCGTCTGTTCCCGGTCAAGGCACTCAACAAGCATGGGCACGAGTCCACGATTAACCATCTTGATCTCGCTGCGTGCCTCCTCGGCCACGTTGAGGAGCAGGTAAAGGCACACGCGTAGCAGCTGGTCCTGTCGGCGCGTCAACCCCACAAACTTGCGTCGACTACGCTCGTCGTCTGGTGTTCGCGACAGCTCCTCTTTCCAGTGAGCAGTGCCGTCGCAGTTCATACTCCACCAAATCAAGGCAGATGGAGCCAACCTGGGTTGGATGGATGCAATGATTGCCCCTCGCAAAATATCTTTGACCTGATCTTTCCTACGTGCCCTACACTACATTGGCTTTGTGAAAGTGCAACATCTCGTTTTAATATTGGTGCTACATTCAAACCTCATTATAACAAAGCCAAATATGCCACAAAAATAACTTTGTTATATCTGAAAGTTTGTTATAAGTGTTTGTTTGTAACACTGTATCTATGACAAGACTATCCTTCTTTACTTCATTATATGGTGTTCAATAGGTTTGAGTATATTTTATTGCAATATTTACGTACTTATACAAATGTTCAGGCATATTTTCAAGACGTGCTCAAGATATCTCATTGCTTGATGATGATGTCAACTGTTGCTCAAAGGGTGGTCCAACACAAGTCAAGTAAACTGTATTTATGTATATATATGCGCATGTATTACTGCTGTATACCATGCAAAGGGTGGGGGAAGATACACCATCTGTTTTCATAAATTTTGGTGGAGAAGCAGGGCTCCTTTGACTTCAAGACTCCTATTATGGGCTGAGGATTGATGCACTGCTCAGAACATTTTGAAATGCACACAATGAATGCACACTACAGCTCTAATACTTCTGCATTCCTCCAGCATTAAAACGCAGTCATTTCAGTGGGGAATTGAAACTTGCAGCCTCGCACTTGACAGCAAAATACTGTAACCATTGAGCCACTTCAGTAACCCTTCTTGACAACCTCAGCTCATAGCAAGTGTTAGTAACTTTTTGGCTTGTGACAAGCCCACAAAGGGTGTTCTGCCGCTGAGTGTGTGCATGTACACACATGCACACACATAAAACAAGAATAAATAAAAATAATTTTCTGCCAGGCACTCTCTTTAGAATGAACAAGGAACTTCTAAAGTGGGCTAGTTGGTTCATGACCACCAGGTGGTGCCAGCGGGGAGCATGGAGAGGGGTGGGAATGCCCCACCTCATATGCCTCTCAAGAGCAAACGGGCACCGCCCCTGGTGAACATTTTGTCAGAACAGCACAATGGGACAGCGAACACATGAGACACAGTACTGAGTGTTCACTGTCCCGTTTATTTTTTGTCCTGTTCTGCCACAATGTTATAAAATGAGTTTTGTTATTCTATCGCAGTAAAAAAATCCACACATCTCAATGAAATGAATTATGACGAGTGGGCGAAGCACTGGGAGTTAAATCACTGCCCACTCACATATGTAAATGTGTAAAACCGCATATGTAAGTACATGCAATGTTTTATTGGTTAAAACTCGTATGTTGTGTTGTGTTCTGCATTCCGTATTGCCATCATTATCACTGCTTTGTGGTCCACGAGATGTAGATCCAATGGTTCTCTGATGGGATCTAGCCTGAAGTTGGCAAAGACGAGGTCTGTGCACAACTTCTTAATATTTAGGTCGAGGGGCAAGTCTCCTAGGTACTTCAACCATTCATGAATGTTTCGTTTCTTGACTAGGCCGGACTTGTACGAGGGCTTGCTTATCAGCTTCCGCTTTACGTGTACCCCAATGGCTGCATTGTCGAGTAGGTTTCTAGGCAGGCATTGCACCGTTTTCTGAACATCTATTGGTATGTTGACCACTTGACTTTTGATTCCGTACTGCCCATTGCTGTGCATTAAGAGGGGACGAGGGTCTTAAAAAAAAACTTTTTTATTCATTATCCTACTGTCATGAAAATTACCATGCATGTGTAACATTGAATGGATATTTAAAATTACAAACATATTTCCAATATTTCATTTAAAAAAGAAGCAATGACAAATTTCTACATTATATTTAGGTAATTTCTTACGGGTCGTTATGGTAAGTCGCAATAAAAAAAGTTAGTTTTCAAAACTACATGTTTCCTCTAAAAGCTTCATTCCACAGGCTAAAGCAAACTAGATGTCAAAACGGTTAATTCTTTGATCAGAAATAATTTTTAAACCAGGAAGGTAAAAATTAGCTTCCAGTAATTAGCTGGTATTTGTCATATGATTACAATTACATTAAGGTTGAGAGAAAAGGAAAAGCTTTAGCCTGTAGTTAAAGTGCTGCTGAAAATAATGGTACCAAGTTTATTCAGATATCTTCACAGAAACTCGCTCAAAACTTCCGTAAGGCACATTCACTTCATAAAAATAACAATGCCAAGATTATTATGTTATTATTTTTAAAAAGATTTGTAATTTCATATATTAAACTTTTAAACAAAAATAAATGGTATTTTTCCATTATATAAAATTTTCCCAAAACATACTTTTGACTATAAATACCTCAAATTGCAATTTTCGAAAGACACTTTTTACAATTTGTGCTATTTTAAGACCTTCGTCCCCCTTAACTGCCCTTAACTGCTCATAACTCATAAAGTTATGGTGGGCGTATAGTGAGTACCTTGCATGTGCTGTGTTGGAGAACGGACAAGCCTAGACCCTAAGGTGCTTCAACCCTAGAAAAGGGATTCCTTGCAGTCAACGTGTGCCGTCCAAAGCTATGATCCATTTTGTGTGAAGCTAAGCAACCGAGAAAAGACTGGACCTACCTTGTACTCGGCAATGACTGGATGGAACTGTGAAAATGTCGAGAGGCAGAAGAAGACATAGGCCAAGTTTGTGGCCAGCTGGGTGTCCCTCCGACCGTCCTCCCGCAGCACCCGCGCCAGGGCACACAACAGGGTGTCATTGGCCGCCAGCTCGCCCAAGTTGTCTGGACTGCGTGCCAGCTGCAGTACCATGGCCGATCCACGCACCTTGTCCTCTCCTTCCTCGTACAGCATGTCCACGTAGGACTCGAGGCAGGCCATGCTGGCCGTTGATGCTGCTCGACCCCCCGATGGTGACGAACCTCCATGCTGAGATCCTGTCTGAGGCTGAGAGATCACATGAGTGGCACACGCTGTCGTCATGTCCAATGAAATAATGTTTAAAAGTGCTTCAACTGGAGCTAGCTGGTATGGCGTTACTGAAATTTAACTATGCGCTGCATAGATGCACATGGATGAACGACACAAGGTTTTTGTCTTTTTCGTGCTTCTGGTGTCATTCTCCTTTGTACATTTATTGCAGCATATTGTACACTTCACCTGTATGAAGAAAAAGAAATGACACTATCTGGCATAAAGTAAGCTGTTCCTCACTCATCATCATGGCTATAAATGGTGATGTCTAACACTCCCAGGTTTCATGCACATGAATACCCGATAGTGTGCATGAGGGGAAGAAAGACTGCTGCGGTAGAGCATCGGACACATAAATCTAAAGGTTGCAGGTTCGGTCTATGCTGGCGGCAAGTTGCCTTTTTGTATATTACAATTACTGCAATACACTTAAAGCAGTACAGTAAACGGCTCTTACACCTTCCTTGGCTTCATTATATGCTTGTTTTCATTAAGATCTTCATGCGCTGCAGAATGCAGAATAATATGCTCACAAAAGTCCAAGTTAAAAGTGCCCTCCAACATTCTTTGAACGTTGTGAGAAAACGCTGCTGTTCGATAGTAGAGGCTGCTTTGAACGTGAGAGCCAAATATTACCACACATGCACATGAGAGGGTACACACAGCTATGTTTCAAACGAAGAGATCATTTGCAAATTATGTCACTGATGGGCCTGACTACGTCAACGTAAGAAAAGGATGTGGCCGATGGCCGACTTTAATTTTGAGAACATGCTCAAGGCCATGACTAACGTTGACGTAACCTTTTGCCCCTTTGTCAACTCCTAGGTGTAGTTTCAAGCATGCTTGTCAGGACGGAAGCTGAGAAAGTGTGTAAAGTGCTTATTTCTTGTGAGTTAGTGATAGTGTATATAATTAAATACTATTATTATATAGCTCAGTGCTTCAATAAATACAAGGCTTTGTGTACCGTTGAAAGAATTCAGTCGCGCAAAATGCTCGACAAATACAAAGAGCACATACACCACTAAAATTTAAGAAAAACTGCACCAGTTGCATACACTTTCCAGAAAAGATCGATATTGCTTATACCATAATCGTAGGTGCGATCTTGAAGGCTATTCGCCAGCAAAAAGAGCCGGCTTACGTAACACAGTTTAAACCCATTTCAAGGCAGGCAGCTGACAATCGTCAAGAATAGAGCGCAGTACCCTGCTGGCGGTCCCGTTGTCCTTACGCTGCTGTAGGTACGACAGCAGCCGCTCCACACGTGTCGTCTGGGATTCGTTCAAGGAGGTCGCATTTGACAACGATTTCGCGAGCCAGCGCAGCCACATCGGTCGAGGCGTTGAGACTCTTGACGCGTATGAGCTTCTGGCACGAGCGGCTCTGCTCGATCGCCGGCCCGTCGTCTCCCAGGACGACCGCTTCCACCTCGTACCGAACCACCAGAGCCTTCTCGGTGGGGTGGACGTCCAGTTCGCAGTTGCGGACGTTCCGCTGAACGGTCACGTCGTCGGGCTGCATGTCGATCATGCAGTGATCTCAATTACGTACGCTAATTCCCGATCGATGCTCACATCCCTGCTAACATCGCGTTAAGACACGATTGCCAGGGCTCCACAGGAGCAGTGTCGCAGCCGCCGAAGGTTGTCTGCTGCATCTTTGCGATGTGAAGTAGAGGTGTGACCCGCTTCCGGAGACCGTTCGGGTAATTCCAGCCCAAACAATTTATCGATCTTTAGTCACGGCCCCACGGTAGACGCGTCCGTGAGGCGTTCTCCGACTATCGTGGCAGGTCGTGGCGTTGCCACTTGCGCGATTAATGGACGCACAATGTTAGAGACACGTCCGAGATCTAAACGCTGCCCAAACTGAGACAAATAAACAGCTGTTTTCATCCCTAAGTTGGTACAGCGCAAGTTAACTGGGTGTAGCAGACGCACAAAAGAAACAAGAACTGCATGTATACGGCTAGTGTAGAGAAATGCAGAACTAGTGCTTATAGGCAGAAGCGGCAGAAGGTATGTTCATCGACACCTACTGGCCAGTTTGGACGGTTCGAACATAAATTATGGCCTCCAAAACAGCGCGTTGACAAACACAAAGTCTTGGAGGCTAGGTATAAACGCACAAAAAAAATGTAGTTTTTATTACTAATGTTCTATTTCAACGTACTTCTCAATAACTAGACAAAAACATACAAAAAAAAATTAAATATAAATATTATAAACGTACAAGTTGTATTTTTAATGTTGATACAACATGATGGAAGACGAAGTTATGCATTTATAAAAAATAAATGTAACGCATGACAATATGAAGAAACAAGTGTCTTTAAATTGCGCTCAAACTGCTTAAACATTTTCGTGCAGCTTGTCTCTCTGGAAATCACGCTGAATTTACTAGGTAAAATACGCCACAGCCGCCATGATCAGTGCAGACCGCATTATACGTCTAGAATACTATTATGTTGGGCTGGCTTGGACGTGTAGCAGACGACGACGCGGAGGCTAAAATGTGCTTATATTTTGTTTGTTAACGATACACCATAGTCCTTAAAATGATCTCAGGCATATAAATCAATATATTGACTAAAAACAGCATTTTCATATGCTTGTTTAAGCACCACCGACACAGCAGCCCACAACTATCGCTTTATCTTCGCGTCAATTAATACAAATTATTATAGTTGCTCAAAAGATATTGATGGGCTAGTTAGCCGCTCATCATACTTTGAACGATAGTTCTTATTGAGGTATACATGTGCGGAGTAATGTGCCTAAACAAGGATTAACACGTCCGTGAGGTTTAGATCGTAACGCGCCAGCACTGACATTTGATATCGTGCTTAAAAATGAAATTCTAGGTGCCTACACAAGGCTGTATTATTCGATATGCACTGAATACACCCAAAAGTGAAACCCTATGTGCGCGCACGTAATCATGTAAGGACTCGCGCGTGCCTACACGCAAGAACGCGTTTACTTTTTTTTTTTCAGAACGGCTGCGTGTTAAGAAAATAAATGCAGCATAAATAGTAGAAAATAAAATATAACATAGATTTCTTACAGTTCTTAGGAAATGGATAAATAACACTTAACAAATTATACGGCGCGCGCGACTGCGTGCTTACTTTCGTAACTTTGAAATGATTGTGCACGCGCGCATTTTGAGAAAAGCGTGGTTAAATGTGCTTTCTTTGTGCAGTGCAACGACAATGGAGGACGTCAAGCGCAGCCTTGTCAAAGAAGATATTCGCTCGGATGTTTCCAACGCGAGCTTTCTTCGTCGATTTTGTCCGTCGGGATCTTCCGATGGCGCGCCGCTGCGCGCGCCAGCACTCAAGGCCGCCGCGGTGAGCCGCTAAGCCCCGCCCTCCGGGAGGAGGGCACACGGTGCCGCGCATGCGCTTTGCGAGCACTGGGAAAGCGGGCATTTATCGCTGGTGCTGGCTGCTATGGCGGCGACAAAATTCTGTACGTATGCCGCTTTTTGTTGCAGTCCCGAGAAAACAGAGCGTTATTGTCGATGGGAAAACCGTGCCGATCGAGACTTTAGTATCGGCCACGAATTTAGCGCCGTGTTTCGTCGCGATTCGAGGTGCCGTGCTGGTGCAAAACTCGGGTGACTAACACCCAGACTTTCTTTGCAGCTATTCTCTTGCGCTTTATTTCGTACGACGAAAAAACATCTGGGAGAAAATCAGGTGTGCTGTTGGAAGACGGTAATTCGCTCGCGCACGGCCGAACTGACTGCTACACCGGGGCAGCGTTTGTAAAAATAGTTGTTTGCGCCCGAGATGACTCCGTTGGTGTCAGGAAACTTTTTTTTTTTTTTCGCGTGGAGTGGGGGAGAGGAGTGCTGTAATGCTTAGCTCCACGAAGGGAGAACATTGTCCAACCGAACTGGTATCCGTGTCTGCCGAAAATTGCCCATTAATTTCCCCAAAGAGATTTGTCACCATCAACGGCGTGTACGCTATCACGGTACGCATATTTATCAAACGATGAATGCGTGATACTCGAATCAATCCGTGTGTGTTATAGGCTCATACTCCGCGATTTAGTAGCACACAACATGACATATGCACTTCAGCGTTGTGTGAATTAATAATATAGTACGGCCTGAAATCTCAAGCTGTTCAAGGCGGCCGTTATACTTTATGTGTGAACTTGCGTTTGAGTAAACTCGTATTTTTTATGCAGATTGTAATCTGTATCGGGGCGAAATGAAACTACATCACGTGGTCTGCGAGTTTGTTTTTCACCGATAACTGGTAATGACAATACCTAAATGCGCGTTTAATTTTTTATTATTTTTTACGCACAGGTGCACAGTATGGACGGCCTTATGTATTAGCAAGAGCGTGGAAGAAGCATTGCGGGTGGGTTTAGTGTTACCCGAACATTAACGTAAAGATAGCTTGCATGTCCTTTTAAAGTGTTATGTTGCTACGCGTGGTTGTTCTGGTATTTTGTTACTGTCTATCGACTATTGTGTGCCTTTTTGATCAGCCTGTTGGATCCTGTAGATCACTGCTGTAGGTTTACGGTTATTGTTGATGATGCAGCAACCTGCGCGATAAATTCAAGTAATTGCTTGAACACCCATACATGGAACCTCTAGAAGAGAGAAAAATGCAGAAAAATGTCTTGCTAAAAATATATGTATTCTACTTTACAATTATGACCCAATCTACTATGTCAATCTAGTTAGAAGCTTACGAGATCTCATGCATGTACTATGCAATATTAGGTTGCCCTGCTTGGAATATGTAAATATTTAAATTATATTTCAAATGACAATTTCGTGCTTCAACTGTTATTTTTCTCTGCTTGAAAGGGGTCTGTGCGGTATTCTGCTTACTTTATTTACATATATGTTATGGCATTTAAATAATTTATGCTACAAAAACACTAGTAATGATCAGTTATCAGCATGCTTGCAAGTATGCAAAATAAAATTCTGATGGTTCTGAAGCTTTTAACTGTAATGGTAATGATGGTGATTGCACATATAAGAATTATCTAACTGTCAAATTTTGACAGAAAATAATCAAAAATAGTTTTTTATTCTGCCTGCTTTTCAAATTTTTGTTATGTTAGCCACTGGCATCAACTACTCTTTAGGTATTTATTTATTTTTATTTGCTTAAAAATAATGCCAGTCTCATATGATATCAAGACAGGAAAAGGGGTTACAGCAGCAAGAACCATAAGAAAATGAAATCAATAACAGTAGTTCACAAAGTACCATGAAATCACGACTTAAATAGAAATAGTTTACTTGACTCTGTGGCGTTTTGTGTGACATGAAGAGTTGTCACTTCACATCACACACTTTTGAGCAGTATATAAAAGTTTAGGATGACTGCCAGTTGTGCGCATTGGTAAAGGTTCATGATGAAACAAGCGCAAAAATACACACACTCAGAGAGGACACAGACAAGCGCTTACTAGCAACTGAAAATTTGATTTCGAAGCGAACACTAATAAATACATCACACGCATGTACGTCATTCCCGACATCCCCTGTCATCATCAACAACGTGATATAACAAAATATGCACGCGCCCACAACCGGAAACAAACACGTGTCAAGAACTAAGAAAAGAAAACGTGAAAAAAAAAAAAAAGGCAAAAGAAATAAAAAAACAAAAAAAGTAACACAGAGAAAAACACTGGGTTATGTGACGTCCAAAAAAGCAAATTCCGCATCTGTTAGTAGAACTGACGCAACTGCCCCCTCATTTCCTTATTCTATACGCTTCCATTATTTCTCTCATCGTCCACTTGTTGTGCCTGTCAATTATTCGTGTGTCGGAAAATTTCGGTTGACAGGTGCACTCTTCGCAGTGCATCGCTAAGTGTGAGTAAGGGGGCCCCTTTAGTGAACTCTCATGTTCACGAAGGCGCACATTTATGCACCGACCCGTCTGACCAACGTATTCCTTTCCACATGTGAAAGGAGTTCCGTATACAACATCTTTTTTGCACTCATCGTACCTCCTGCCATGCTTTATGCTACATCTGTTCGATTCTCCAGTTCCTTTCTTGTTGAGTAGCCTTTCTACTGCTGGACAAATCTTTGATAATTTGTTTTCATCTGAAAAAACAACCCGCACGCCATACCTTAATGCAACTTTTTTCAACCTATGTGAAATATTGTGCAGATACGGGATGACCACTGTCCGCTCTCTTTCACCCTCAACTTGTCTCCTCTCTTCGCTTGTGCCAATGATTGCATTTTTTACTTCCCGACGATTCTTTTCACATGCCAAAAGGATACATTCATCCTGGTAACCAGCTCCGCTCAAGCGCTTGATCTGCGCGGAAACACTCTCATTCATTGAGTGTACGCACGATTTCATGAGGGCAGCTTTGATGCAAGAAGTTGCAATCCAGTTCTTTACTATCTTCGAATGTGCCGAATGATAGCTCAGCAATGGTTTTTCCGATCTAGGGTGATACATAAAAGTCGGTGCCCCTATTTTCTGCCGTCGTATTATATGCGACAAACTGCACCAAATGTATACCAAAAGAGCTTGAGCTTGGCCTAGTTGGTGCTTACTGTTAGACATCTTGACCGCATACAACAGACGAAGATGGCGGTAGGTACGACGGCACAGCCGATTAGAAACAAAAGTTGTTACCATGTGAGCTACACAACTATTACATAATTTCAATTCAAGGTGTGTTTTGTTTTTATATGAGTGACTGCACTGCTAATGCTGATGAGTGGATATATTGGTTTCTGCACATGTCGTAAGTCCCTATATATTTATGGATGAACAAGTTGGAAGTTTACTGCCCGTGTTGTCGTCTTTTGTGTGCGATCAAGATGTCCAACATATTGCGTACCACTTTTGAGCAAGGTTACGCACCTTATATTATGACATCATCTATTCTTTCATTGAGACCATTAGACAAATTCTAATCATTGCCATTATCCTAATTTTAATACTTTGCTTGTGGAAAAATGCTAATAGATACTTAGTTGTCAGCAAAAAAAAGTAAGCTACATTCTATGTAGTAGCTATAATGATTTTGGCAAGCATTTAATTGTATGCTGTAGATGTATTCGAACAGTGAAATTTCTTGATGAATTACAAATGTCCAAGAGAAATAATTTCCGAAATATTGAATATAACATGTTTTAACTGATAGACGAAGTGAACTGCAAGGTTTTACTGAATCGATATGGTAACAGGAAGTAAAGCTCCTATACACAGTTTTACTTATGTGTGTAACACAGTTTGCAGTGAAAAAGTGTAAATTTAAGGGCCTTCTTTTTTTACACAATATTAATGGTATTATTAGACATTCATTTAAAGAAAAGTATAGGGGATGCACATATATAACCTGCACATGTACATATATACCCTACCCCTGTTGCCGTAGCACATTGGTAAATTATCAGACGCGTTATTCGAAGGGGTCAGGTTTGGTCTCTGTCAGCAGCGAGTTATTTTTTCGTCCACTTTTCTTTCTTCATATTTAGATTACAATTACTTATAATAAAATCTCCTATACTTTCCTGCACATCATTGTGTGTTAGTCTTATTAATACAGTTTGCAGTCGTATATCTGGACAATTTAGGAACTTGTAAGTGGAAGGAACCATTCTCAGCTGCATAGCTTGTCAAGAGATTTAGGTGCAGCTTTGGGTTTGTTGGAGGATAAAGGTAATGGAGGTTTTTCATAGAACATAAGTACATTTTTCTATGGAAGGTGTCATCGAAACATGAGCAGTCTGAGGGGAGTTAATCTTAAAATGCAATTACCTTGCGTGTATCATCGCAGTAAGCTGTACTCAAGATCGTCTCAAAGGGAAATTGACCATTGTGGCCTTAGCAGGCACATGGCAGGCTACAATCAGTTGGAAACTTTAGAAGGCGGCAGAATTTATGCTTCGAAGGTGGGTGAATATGACGAGGTTGCATCAATGGGCACACTCTCTATACTGACATAGTGAACCTGATGGCTGATGACTTCGCTTTCTGGCTCGTGAGTGGGACTATTTCTTTTCTCGTGAAGATAGTTGCACTTTTCTTATCTCGACGTGTCTTCTGCTTTTCTAAGTTGTACACGACTACGTATCCTGTATATAACCATATCCGACTATACGGGCTAGAGAAAAATTGGCCATTCTGGTGCAGTATCTGGCCACTACCTCCCATATGTATACACCCTAAGACTCGGAGAACATGGGAGAGGCCTTTGTCCTGCAGGGGGCATGGTCAGGATGATGATAATGATATATAGTTGAGTTGCAAAAGATTATTTATCTTGGCTGTCAACAATGCGATTGAAAAAGTTGAACAGTCCTTTCATGTTCATTTTTTTCTTTTTCTTTTCTATGTATATTTGTTAGACTGACGCATATTGAAGGGCGAACAGTGCCATGGCCGGGCGTATGGTGCAGACGGTTGCTCCCGGCAACTGCCCATCTCAGCCAGGGAGTCCACCAGCCGAAACGCCCATAGCAGCTCCGAGTCTTATCAACTTGGCGTTTGCCACGCCCGACATGCTGCAGACAAGGGGCCCACCTCCTATGACTACCATCACCCGTGAGTCGCCTGTTATGACAGTGATACAAGGTAATCGGAAGCGCACGTGACCAGAAGTTACAGTTGGGGTGATAGGTTTGCAATATAGGGACGAAAATAACTCTCGTCACAAAAATCCATTCTCGAATACAGACGTACATATGATTAGAGCAATGCATTTCCTTGAACCAGAATCACTTTGTGTCATGACTGAATGAAGATCTTGATAAACAGAATGCACATATATCCATTTTAGAAGTGCACTTCTAAAATGGCTATGTGCAAGCTTGTCTATTCGCAAGCTTGTCTTTCAAGAACAGAAGCTGAAGTATAGAGGGCGCTAGATCAACATTAACTTTGTATGTCTGACTGATTCGGATAAGGCAGATGCTCAGGGGAACATGGAAGCATAAAGCGATGCAAAATTTCTGAACAAGAGCATTCTTTTGGTTTATGATCTCTCTTTCTGTCTACCTTACTATTTTTTCTTCTCTTTTTTTCTGATGTGTTTCCCTGTATCCTTTTACTTACCGAGTGCACAACGTCCGCTTATCCCAATATTTCTCTGTCTTTCTGCTCTTCTCCCCCGAATACTTCATGTACCCCGGCCCGTTTTCGAACTTACCATCTCCTCCTCATCTGTTTTGGTTGTGGAAGAGGGTGCGAAGGCATGCACATGCCAAGGTAGGCAGATGCTTCCTTAAAGGGGACGTGCGACGCTATTGGAGCACATATTTTTCATCGGTTCTGCTGCTGCTGTGGAACCCGCCGATATCGTTGCGTACATGGCACCACCGTAATCGACGTTATCATTTTAACTCGCGGCACAAACTACCTTGATTTCGGACTACGTCGACACACATTGGCTATTTTTGTTATGGGAACTGACGTCGTGTCATGTGACGTGATGATAAACACCGTTCGCTTTTGATTGGCTTGACGCGAGAAATAACGTTCAATATTCACATGGTGGTAGCTAGGATATACGAGTGAGTGCTAAAAACAGCTAAAACCTTTTTCTGCACTTTTTCAGAAAGGTAATCGTTCCTGTTTCAAAATGACGTATTTTCAGAACAACTAACGCAACACAGCTTGCGAACGAGGCTATGGTACTGCCAGCAAGCAACTAAAAGTCCGAAAGGCATGCCGCGTTTTTAGTGCAGCCGAAAAATGCGACGAGCGGTGGGTGGCAGCGTTGCCAGTAGAACGAGTCTTGCATGCGAGCCGCGAAGTGATCCAGCCCAAAGTGTATGTGTGTATCTTACACAATGTGACCATGCGAACGTCTTCTACTTGACGCACTGTGGTTCGTAGTAACCATGCTAACCACACTGTCAACAAGAGCGGTAGCGAGGTATTGTGTGAAAGCCACCATGAGGTGACATTTTCGGTATGTCTTTATGAGACACGCACTGTGATTGGAAGCGGCTTTTGACATCAGCAGGCGAGTGAAATGCGAAAGAGAACTGTTTCTCGTTGTTGTCTGCTTAAGTTTTGAACTTTGAGGACTCATGACTTTACTTTCCATGCACCAATTTCCATCATTCTTGTTGCATTCATCTCAGTAATCATTGCTACACACGTTCCAGTGTTAAATAAGACTTTCTCGAAAGTGTCGCAGGGCCCCTTTAAGAACACAAGACCGTTTGTTGAAAAGTAAGCTCCAGTGATGCTCTGCATTCAGGGACTTTTCATAAAATTCACGATTATGTTTCTGCACTGAAGCCTGACCTTGTTAGAATCAAGATGGAAGCTTAAGTGATACTTTACCAGCATGCCAGTTGCACTGATAAATACTGTCCACCTTAATAGATGTTCCTTGAATATGCAGAAGCACAGATGCACATTGTTGTTCCACCTAAGAACTGAAACCAAAGCCAGGCAAAAAAATGTGCTGGATACAACAGGAACTGTAGTATGATGGCTTCTTTAAAAGCGAGAGACAAATAAGCTGCCACAGCAGGGGGTGTACTCTGAAATGACCACTTTTGGTCACACTTCTGTAAGATTTCACAAAGCTACAAAGGGAAAAATTTTGCTGCAAGTGGAACCACTTGGTGTGATTTATCTAAGAGGGACCACTTGGCTAGTACCGATTTGAAAATGTTCCCATTATCACCCCCCCCCTTTCTTTCTTCATGGAATAACTTCCTGTTGGTATCTTATTACCAGCTGGAATTCTCAGGATGATTGTCCACGTCAAGTAGAAGTCCAACTGGCCAGATTTCATGCAGACATCAGCTGGGTGCTATTGCATGCACCAGACTTGTTCAGTTATCTGCGAATCACAGCAATTTGGCATTGCACTGGGACAGTGGACCAGAAATGTGGTCGCTCATAGATGACAACATAAGAGGTGCTAATCTCGCGAAAGCTGTCACCGAAGGTCATTGTTTCAGAATATGACCTCGTCACCCTTGGTAAGTTGCATAGCTCCTAAGGAAGAGGAAACATCTTTATTCTAAATTCGGCAAGTTGGTGGGGTGGGCCAACTCGTTTGCCAGGAGTCTTGAATTTTGGCAGCATCCTCGACCCGCTGGACGGCCCACATCTGATCTTCAAATGCGAGGCTAGGCAGTGCAGCTTCCCAGCGCTTGCGAGGGCTGTCACTGGAGGTTGTGAACTCGTTATGGCCACTGATTTTTCGGCATTCCCATAACTTATACTCTGAAGTGGCCTTGGAGTCACAGCGCCTGCACTTGTCCGTTTCGTAGATATCCATGGTATATAATCGGTGAGAACGCAGGATTCAGATAAGTCCTAGGTTGTAATGGCCGCCATTCGACAGACTTTTTTTTGTTAATTTTGGACTAGGGGCTGGCAGTATGTCCCTCTGTAATTTATATTTAAAAAATACAAGAGTTCTAAAAAATACACTAGTTTTCAATTTCTGGCTCTTGGGACCACATGAGTGCAAAAGCCGAAGACTAGCTTGTGTTTGGGCCCTAACGGCTTGCAAATTTCTTGGGTCTCCAATTTTAAAACTGTAGTGTTTTGCCAGAGTTTGGATGTGCCCCAACAACTTATGCTTTGACATACAAGAGACGTGGCTGCCCGTGCTTGTGCACTAATCTCTTGAGGTGGAGCGTTGTATATTTTGTGCTCTCACCGCAAGCCTTGTGTTGAAGCTATAGACTGCACGATGATCACTACACTCGCTGCTACGACTGTTCTTGTGAAAGAGTGAGCAACTAGCAAGTAAAGCCAAAGTAAGGGCCAGTTGAAGTAACTTGTAGTGTGACAGCTATAGTTCACTACTTGTCCTGTGTATACATATACGCTCTTTTCATGCATTCTGTTTAGTTTTGGATCAGCACGCATCAAGTTTTGAGCAGCTTGCTACCCTTCGTTTGACATTCCAGTTAGTGGTTATCATATTCATTGCTTTGCTTTTGCGGTGCAACTATAATTTATTTTTCAAAAGTTTTTTTCCCTGGTGATAATTATCATTTCAGTCTTCCAGTTTTCTTGAAAAGATAATCTATGCACAGGCTTGCAAAAAACGGCTTATCAATAAGTTATGTGTAAATTTGTGCATTTTATAATATCACTCTCATATAGGAAATGTAATGTCACTTACAACAAATGACATTTGTTTGTAATGCCATTTGAGTGCTGTCTCAACACAGGTGCTAAACACTATGCGAAGGGGAAACAATGCAACATCGGCTCAACTTCCCTGCTGCCTTCCAGCTTTGCAATCTGCCACCGTAGAGAATGCTGGAGGCTATGGTCTAGCTCACCCGATTTCTTGAGCTTGTGATGCACTGCTTCGCTGTACAGCTCTCGGATCGCACAATCATTCCTATCAAATAGGATAAAGCCACCAGGCTGGCTTAGGTGCCCTAACAGCCACACGACAGCCTCCTCTGGATATTTTGCATAAAGTCATTCTCACTCACTCTTGGCTGTCACACAAGAAATGTAGGTGACATTCCATGAAAATGACACTTTCAGCATGTTCTGCATTTAAGTGCATCCCATGTTTCATGAGTAAAAAGGTGTCCATCTTACTTGATAGGTATAGTTGGGCTATCCAAGATTTGCTCAGTGGAGTAGTGTATTACAAGCTCAAGAAACGCTAGGCCTTAGCCTCCAGCATTCTTTGTGGTTGCAGATTACAAAGCTGAAAGGCAATGCATTCTGATGGGCAGCTGTTGCATCGTGTTCATCTTACCGTTCAACAACAAACGAAGATGCAAAGAGAGTTTGTCGTGTGTATATTTCACTGTGTCTTCACATTAAAATGTAGAAGCTTTGTCTGAGATGGGAAGTACAGTTGAGGGCAAAGTAAATGTCATTAAAAGGTATACGTTTGCTAAATGTCCTTGATGTTTGCATTAAAGAATGTCCACTAAGTAGAAGTGCACTGTTCCTCTTGGCTGCATTGTTGACTTTCCTTTACACCTGCAGTCACACGTGACCTGCGGACAGACGGTCAGCTGAACCCTGGCGTGCAGAAGCCCATCCTGGTGACTGTCTCTGGCCTGCCCGGCATGGTGGCCGGTTCCAAGCCACAGGTCAGTTAGTCAAAAGTCACTACCTTGACCTTTAAGGAAGTTTTGCCCCACCCCAACAGTGTTATTATAATAGTTAAAGAAAATCGAAGAAAGATGCTCAGTGGGGGATCTTGGCATTATTGGAAATGTTCCAGGAAGTGCTCCAACTATACGACAAGAGGTGGATGACATTAAAAAAACACCTTTAGAATGTTAATGAGAAGTAGCAGACAACCAAACCAAGGAAAGTAGTAGACGTCATTTGTAGTATTTAATTTAAAGTTGTGCAAATAAGCGAATTCATATGTTAAATTTTTAGTGTGAATCAAATTAAATAATTTTCAAGTATTTCTCAGGTACTTTAAAGCAAAATTAGATAAAAGAAGTTGCAAAGAATCCCTAAGCATATTGTAACAAGATGTGGGGTCTCGACAGAAGTGACCTAGAAGGTCTAGAAAGGAGGTCTAGAAAAAGTGATCGCCACACTTTCGGAACACACGGACACAGTGGATACGGGTGAGCAAAACAAACTCGTGTACATTTATTCACTTGCTTTCACATTAACGAGCTCAATAGCTGAATCGAATACATCACTTGGTGACACACTAAGTAACCTTATACAATACAGTAGAATCCCTTAAGATAATCCCAGTAGAATCCCAGTAGAATCCCAGTAGAATCCCTTATGATAATTTGTTCGTCTTATCAGGAGTTCATCTTATCAGAAGTGCCCCTCAAATGCTCTTATCAAAGTGCCCCTCAAATGCATCTTATCAAAGTGCCCCTCAAAACCAAATGCTAACATGCCAAGTGCTCCCAAATATGTTGCTTGAAAACAATGAATGAAGTATAGTTACAATGGGCCGGTAAGGAACAAGAAAAAGCATTTATTTGGCTCAGCTTCATAAAACGATGCTTTCAAGTAGAGTATTTACACTAATCTTACGAGTACTCTACTTCGCAAGTTCATAATAAAAATGCCCGTGAATAAATTGCTACCACATTTTAACAATAGAACTGTAGTAGCACGACCCTGTTTTCATGATTAGGAAATGATGAAAAGGGAGAGACAAGCTCAATTTTTATTCAAAAGATAGAAAAATTATTCTTCTGGCTGTTCCCCTTGTGAGAGGCTGTTTTACTGGCTTTGCTATCACTTTTAGATAAGGCTTCATTGCATACCATTACCTTGACAAAGCCAGTATGTGCCATGTTGCTTAGGAAAGTTTCCTTGAGGTTTGGATATTCTCTTATTTTCAGCTTGCGGTAACTTTTCTTGAACAAGGTGCAGCTGAAGATCTCCATTTATGCTACTCATGATCGGAAGCCTTGGGCACACAAAACAGAGACGACACAGCTATATTTAGTGTGCAAATTGACCTTTCTTTGTCGTGCACTTTCATAATGAAAGTGGCACATCAGAATTTGCTGCATTTCATTGTGAACAGATACGATGCACACAGGTCCTATGCAAAACAACACAAACTGACCACATATATGCTCAGGTGCCATTGTGTGATGGCAATGACAATGCATCTGACTGCTCTGGTGGGAGTGCTAGTGCTGGTCATGTGATTGTAATGCACAATCATTTGTTCCTGTTTTCACTTTCATTTGGCTTCCCCCCCCCCTCCTTCGCTTGCATTTTTCGCTCTAGCGAAGCTCATGTGTTTTTTCGTTTTCCACTGTACTCCTGTTGGGGAACTGAAGAAGGCGAGGAGAATACAAGAGGATGAACACTTTTTGTTGCTTTCTTTGCTGATAAAGCCGGCTCTTTCTTCACCAACAGGCTAGCGGTGAGGGAGATACCAGTTTTATGCACTGACCTTTTTTTTCTACTTATCTCACTTTCTCCCTCCTCGTAGCAATTTGCTTTTGACTTGCCTTGAGTCTTTGCATCAGGCTGTTTGCCTGAACGCCCCATCAAGACTCTAATATTCGTTGTGCAGAATTTCCCATCGTCAGTCGCTGTGAGAGTTCGTCTTAACAGAAGAGGCATGTTACACGGTTCATCTTAAGCAGGTTTTTTTGGGCATTTAGTCTATGGGAAACCGAACAAGCAGTCCTGAGTTGTTTGTTTTAAGCATGAATTCGTCTTAACAGAGTTTGTCTTGAAGGGTGTTGACTGTATTCCAATACAACGCACAAGCAGACAACCTAACAAACAGAAGGTACTGCGAACGCAGCATTGTTGATGTTCGACTCACCGTGAGAGGTCCATGGGAAATGTCCCATTGTGTCATCCCTCATGGATCCACCACAGGAGACATCTTTCGCCACAGGCCACCAACCCCTTAAGAGACCCACTACTGCTTCCCGTGCATCGGCCTAGCTTGTCTACTGTCGGCAGCGTTGCTGGTTCCTCCACGCTAACCCTAACTCGCACGAGCACAGCATCATAAATCACTAGGCTATCAATAAACCAAACCGCGGCTAATCCGCAAGACGCACATGCACGATGAGGTGGAAACAACCAGAGGGTAATAGCATTACCACTAAGATAGCACCATGAAACTGTTTCTTTTGGCTAAGTTGGTGAAGCGCTAGGAGGGGTGGTTTTCTCTAGTTGTCTTATCAAGGAGGAGGCAATGTGGAGGCTGAACTGTATTGGTTTACATGATTTGGGGAAACCAGTGTGGTGCAGACGACACTTTAGACGTGAAAGGAAAAATGATAGTTTCTCAGCCTCATCTTCTCGTGCAACTTTTGTGGAGGCCCAACTCATGTGATGGACAAGTGCACGCTCCTTTCCTGTCCTGTTCCCAATTTGCCCTTTAGGTGTCATTGTGTAAAAGCGCCTGAAATTCCAGATGCTGAAAGTCTTTAACCAATTTTTTTATACTAGGTGGTCCATAACAGCATTAATCAAAGCTGCCACTTTTTGCCACGTAGGTTAGAACCGGTGCTTTCATGAGTCAATCCGTTTGCAGCAGTAGCAGAGCTTGAAAGCCAGCTTTGTCACAATGCTAGAATGTGATGCCGTGATGCATAGAAAAAAAATACAAAGGGGTCATTGTAACGACACAGTGCAGCGATGTCTTTACGGATAAACACCAGAAATGTATGGAGGCATCAGGTTGCAAACTGTGCCAGTGCGGCTTAATCGCTGATGTCCCTTCTATTAAGCATCTTCAGCTAACAGCAAAGTATTGCATGTAGCCTAGCGCTACTGACGCGCTGCACTGTTGTTCATGCTGCCTCTTAGTGCGAGAGGGCTAAGTGCGCCGTACAGGCACGCTGCCTTCACGAACGTAAGCAGCTCGCAATCTCCGCACCCATGTGTAGTTAAGAACATAGTGAGTATTATGAACACTTTCAGGACAAATCTGTGTGTATGGTGCAGCAAGCGCTCAGGCATGCATTGACAGGGTCAGCTTAGTTGGCCCACAACTAGGAATAATCGGCGGTAGGCTGCAGCAAACGCTGCATTTCGGCGGAAATGCAGCCAGAGGAGTGGTCCGCATCGTTTCCTAATGCTCCATCTGAGAGAGCCGTAATTTATTCCACGCATTGCCGGTATCAGTGGTGCCCCGCCGCGGTGGTCTAGTGGCTAAGGTACTCGGCTGCTGACCCGCAGGTCGCGGGTTCGATTCCCGGCTGCGGCGGCTGCATTTCTGATGGAGGCGGAAATGTTGAGGCCCGTGTGCTCATATTTGGGTGCACGTTAAAGAACCCCAGGTGGTCGAAATTTCTGGAGCCCTCCACTACGGCGTCTCTCATAATCATGTAGTGGTTTTGGGACGTTAAACCCCACATATCAATCAATCATCACGAGGTGCGTATTTACGTTGTTAAGTGGGCTTTGCGGCAGGCATCGAATGTACTCATGAGAGCTTGGGCATGCACCAAGATGCCTAATAAGTGTACTAGGAGGCATTAAAGCTGTTTTGGACACAGCTGTGGTGATTTGACCTCTTGAGTGGAATAGAAATGCATGAGTTTGTTTTTTTCAGACTGGCTGATTTTTCAAATGAGTTCGCGGTTGGTTGGAAGATAAAATAATTCGAATAGTAAAGTTTTTAAAGTTTTGGTGCAAATTAAATCGAATAGCAACCATATTAGGAAAATATTTAAAAATTTGAATAGTTGCACATCCTGAGTATTTATGATATAAAAACTAAGAAATCCAAGCAGACAAAGTGACAGTGTGCTACCTGCAGCCTGCAAATAATGCATCCAGTGCTCTACCAATTGGGCTACAATTCTCTTGTAAACATCAGAGGGTATATCTTTCTATATTAAATCTGGGAGTTGTTTTTTCATCCACTAGAATATGTTCCCATTTATATGATAATTACTTAATATTTATTATTTATCTATTTAATGTTTAGTAACTACACATAATGTCCCCTATACTTTTCTTGACTTGACTGTGTTAGTTCTTGTTAATTCTGTAACAAAGAAGATGGGCCCTTAATGCCCCCTTTTTCTCATTCACCTATAGAATGTTGTTACCTTTAAGGCCGCTGATGTGGGATGGTCACTAGTACTGCATCAAGTATATATTCATAAAATGCAAGGCAGATAGCAAAGGGTATCTTAGAGACTTTAGTTTTAACAATCTGGAAGCACTGTACATGCCTAATATTTTTTCAAATCAGCTGGACTTTAATCCTCACTGTGAAACATCGTCTATATTAGACATTGCAGGGAGGGGCCACTGCGATGGAGGGCTGTGTACAGCTGGCACCACTGTCACTGGCACCGGACGCGGATGGCTCTGGGCCGACGTTGGGATCTACACCCACGGTCAGCTCGGCCACGCAGGCGGTGCTCGTGGGGAAGCCTGGTGGGGGATTGGCAGTGATTCCCGGAGGCACACAGGGTGCGGCGTTTGGCACACTCTTAGCCGGGGTGCTCACATCTACACCTAGCGGGCAGCCTCCCTTGCTCACGGTGTCGTCAGTTGCGACACCTATTCCAGTAGTGCTGCCATCGTCTGTCACTGTGGCGCAGCTTCCAGCTCCTTCGGGGGTGACGGCGACGGCTTCAATGGCAGCTCCTACCCTGATGGCGACGAGCGTAGCAAACAGTGTGCCAGCATCCTTGCACGGCTCTGTGCCGGGATCGATTTCGGGTTCTCTCCATGGCTCTATTCAAGGCTCGATTCCTGGCTCAATTTCTAGCTCAATGCCCTGCTCAATGCCATGCTCGATGCCATGCTCGATGCCATGCTCGATTCCAGTTACCATGTCAGCCTCCACACTGGTTTCAGTGTCGGCTGCCATGCCAGTGCCCATGCCGTCGTCGGTGTCAACCTCCATGCCTACTTCCATGCCAACCTCCATTTCTGCATCAGGGCCAGCTCCAATAATGGTATCTGTACCAACTTCAGCACCGACTTCTGTACAAGCCTCCTTAGCATCTTCTGTGCCGATGTCAGCACCAACATCCATAGCAGCGACAGTGCTGGCCACAGTGCCAGCCACGGCGGCAGCTCCTGTAACGGCCATGGCATCTGTTCCGGCAGCTGTGACAACCATGCCTGCTTCCATTACCGCCTCAGCACCTATAATTGTGTCGACTATACCCCTTACCCCTTCTGTGCCAGCTGCACCATCTACGCCTATTGCGACACCAGTGGCTGCAACGGTGGCTGAAGGGTCAGCACAGGAACCAGAGTTTGATCCCATTCAGGCCATGGAATGGAACGATGGCATCGCCACACTCCCCGGTAGCAGCCTCAAGGTCAGTGCCCAGCATTCACATTATTGTGCTACAAGCAACAACTGAATAATCAGTTAATGGCTGAGTCAGTATAATGAGAGACATGCAGAGGTCATATACTACATTCCACCACCAAAATAGCTTACAGAGCCTTTGTGATTTTGCAGTGTACCAATTACAGAAGAACCCGCATATATCACGCTCTAAAAAAATTTAAAAAAAGGTAATTTTATATACTATAAGACAAATCAATATACAACATTTAATTAATTTATTACATTTTTCATGCTAATTTCAGTGTACAAGTTAGCTTAAGAGCACTTAAACAGTAGTGCTTACAGTAGTGTAAAAAACATGCCTTCACAGTAGTATGCAAGCAGTAATGTAAAAACATGCCTTTACGACAGTGCGCGTCATCGAGATGGATGTGGTGATAAAACCGCCAGCAGTGTTCTCTAGCGGTTTCACCACCACATCCACGCCGTTGTCGCGTGATTCTGGAAAAAGGAGGGAACCCTCGCCGGCTGCTCCTTCTTGAATCCTGGCACATTCAGCAGACAGCGGCAGGCATCAGCTGTTCCACGGCGACATTGTCCTTGCTCTACTGCCCGGGCTTGTGACGAGTCACGGCAAGCCTCTCACACACGGCAAGCAACCGTATATAAGCGCAGCACATCTCGGGCCCTTTCAATTTTGAAAAAGAGGCCAGTCCGGCTTCGAGACGTGTCCTTTTTCTACAAAAATTTTTTGGTCGTAGTTTTTTTATTCATCCAGTTTCTATCCCAACCAGGCAGACCTCTGCCTGGTTCACCTTGAATCGATATATGTTCACCTTTGAATCGATATAGTCGACTGAACTTTCTATCAAGTGCGTTTGCTTCCAAATCGTGTGTCTAGAGTATTTGAGGCTTTTGCAGTTGTAGCTGTTGCTGGCAATATGCATGCCTTGCGCACAAGGCTTGTTGAAGAGGGGTCCGATTGACTGTACTAATGTCATTGTAGTGGAAAGCTCCTGGTAGTTTCTACCACCTAATTTCTTTTAACATGCACGGAAATCACACAATAAGCAGGCCTCAGTAGGACTGATTGTTGGGCGAGTCGGTATGGATCTATTGTTTAAGAAAACAGCAGAACAATAAAGATGAATATACCTTTTAAGCACACGAAGGCTAGTTCCGACTCACAACTTAAGCTTTATTCATAGTCGCTGAACGAATACATACACTCTCATGGCTACACACTAGCACACACATGTTATTCATTAATGTACAAGATTTCTTTACCCTGCAATGCAATCGAAGGAAAGCTGATACATGAATTATTAAAAATTTTGACCCAGTTCAACCTAACAGCCATTACTATTTCAAAACATTACGACAAGACAACTCGAGAGGTAATCAATGCATGGCATATTCAAAATAAAAGAGCATTCATGTATCAACTTTCCTTCAGTCAGGTTGCAGGATAAAAAATCTTGGGCTTGAAGATAACCTTTTTTTTTTTTTGCTGCTTTCTTGGTACTTTTGCTTGTTCTGTGTGTATCTACGCAAGTGTATTTGTTCTGTAGCTTTGAATAAAACTTCAGCTGTGAGTCGGCGCTTGTGTTCATGGGGTTGAAAAGTCTTTTCGTCTTCTTTGTTGCACCACTTTCGTAAATAATTCCTCTAGCATTCGTTTCCACAGAAATGCGGCTTCTGCTGCCAGAATCAGACCTGCATATTTCAAATGGGCAGCCTACTAATGATGACTTGTAGAAATGAAACGGGTTTCAAGTGAGTGATGTCTCGCCCTTGTGTATGGTTCTTCTGGTGTCCAGTTTCGTCTGACTGAGTTTGGCACCCTGGAGGTGGTGACCACAGATGAAGTGGCCTCCGAAAGCAAGCCCCTTGATCCACAAGACAGCCCCTTGAAGGCATTTGTGGTACCCCAATATTCTCTCCAGCAGCAGGAACCTCTTAATCACAAAGGTCAGTACTGATTACGCTGCTCATTATCATATCCACTATATTAGCCAAGTGAGATTCAAATTTGTGCAAAAAAAAAAAAAATGCGTGGTGAGTAAGTGCTTTGCATCTTTTTTCATCTTCTGTACCACCAATTAGGAACCCAAAAAAGCAACTAGTAGGGGTGGGTGAATATTCAAGTTTTGTATTAGAATTAAATACCTAGTTGAATAGTTTGATTTGGCTTTTGAACTAATAGTAGTATTATTAATTAATAGTAGTACCCCCCGTAACCGCTACGATTGGGGGGTTTCACTGTAGTGTGAGGCTGCTATGCAGTCAAACGATCTGATCAGGGGAAGTCCACACTGCTGCTGCACTATAATGTAAAGTCGCTTTTCCTTCAATGATCAGCACTACTAGTGTGTGCATGCTTTAGTATTTTATATTCAGTAATTTTGGCTACTAATTTGCCACTATACAATGTTAGATAAAGTTTCACTGTTTGCTCATGAATATGCAGTGAGACATAAATATTTGTGCATGCTGTTTTAAATGTGATGCAGAATTAGAGGCTTATATCTTTTTCTGTGCTTATGCATGTAGTATTTAAACAATTAGTGTTCACTACTGCGCATTGACATAAAAGTATGCGTGAGGCTGCCATTAACAAAATGCAATTGATGGTATCTATGTGCTTTGTGGCAGTTGTTTAATTAGCTTGACCCATGTTAACTCAGAGTGTGTTTGTGTGCGTGCATGCATGCATGTGTGGGCTCATGCATGCCTACAGGAGAAGAGTGAGAATTTCCTGGTATAGTTGGTGGACCAGCTGGTCGATTACCAATACCTTCGTCAGATTAATACCAACCAATACAGCTCACACAAAATTTTCCATCATTTCATTGGCATGAAAAAGGTAATGAGGTTTTTTACAGAAAGGTCACTGCGTAGCAAAGGTACAGTGTGGCTACAAGACTAATCTGACACATATTAGAATGCAGCTCTTAGGCGCCATTCACGCTTTGAGCAGTGTCACTGTCATAACCGATAGACATGAAAAAATTAAATACGCAGGATCTATTGGTATGTGAACCCCCAAGCCCTCGGCGAGGCAGTCAAGGGTTTTACCACAGAGCCACAGTGGTGCTCAAAACTCATTTGCAAGACCCTCTACATGCGTCCTGTCGGGCAAGGAATGGCATTAACCCTACGAAATATAGCGTGGCACCAGCACACAATGCTAATTGTGCGACGAGCATGTAGTTTAATGCTTCCCACACACTGCAAAGTACTCAACTGAAATTCTTCGTCATCAGCCACGTGCAGCATCAACATGGGGCACATAATAGTTTACAGATGTGTAGCGGGTAGCTCACTTATGCGCAGAAGGATGAATAATCTGACTTCACAAAAATTACGGTTTGTGGCGTAGTCAATACCTTTCAGAAAGTGAGAACTTCAAACACAATGCCCTAAGGTCAAGCTGTGCTCAGAATTTGCATGAAGCAGTATCGTAATCGTCAGTGACTTTTTTTTCTTTTCTCTCTATAGGTATAGCTCGAAACACAGATGAGGCATCCAAGCCAGGAGCAATTGCAACCTCTGCCGTGACTCCTGCTTCAGCACCGATGAGGAAGGCGCTGCCTGAGGTGATCATCTGCTGCCAATTTTGTGGGTGCCATGGTCTTCGAAGCGAGTTTGTTCGTGATGGTCTCTTCTGCAGCCAGCTCTGCTATGTAAACTTTGCCAGTCGGTGAGTCTACTGAACTATTGTTCCCACCTAGATATACATATGTGACCAACACACAAAGAAAATAATCAGACTCGCAGAACCTCTGCCTTGTGCACTCGTTAAAGGACAAGTATTTTGCGTATTAGTAAAACATGATTTCACGATTTTGAAAACACTACTTTTACCTGTGACACAACGCTTAGTAAAAGAGTAAACACGCGAAAAGAAAATGCGTTTGGCGACGCCACCTTGAAATTCCCACACCTAACACCATGACGTAAGAAATTTCGAAGGCGCTTACATGGGGTCCTACATAGCTTCGAGTGGATAAAAATTAAGTACATTGTAATCTATGGGTTCCGTAGAGTTAGCATACGAAGTTTCAGAAAGTTCAATTGAACTAATGCCAAGAAAATACCGAAATTAAAATTTTGAAATTGCTTACATCACGTGGAGAAATTTTGGCAAGAAAATTAAAAGTGACACTTCAACCTTGATTTTCTTCGTTAATAATAAACTTATGATAGTGGCACATATAGCATTAGAGTTCTCAGAGGGCAGTTTGTCAATCTAAACTTAGTCATTGTTCCTCTTTAGTGTGCCTTTAAGAATACGAACCGCACACCTGGGCTTCTAGTTAAGTGTTTTATTGAACAAGCATGCATTCATTGTTTTCATTTGCCCTTGTGGGGTGAATAACAACAGAGAATTAAACAGTGAAAATGGTGGAAATGGAGAAAGGGCTGCTTATTTGAAATATTTTGAAGAAGGGAGGGGGTGCTTGCTTCGGGATTCCACAGTAATGTATGCAGGTGCATGAGCATTATATCTCTTTTTTTCTTTAAGGGAGCGGATAAAGCGGAAAGAGGAGCACCTCAAGCAGAGGAAACGCAAGGCTAGTCCCAGTGGAGAAGACTCGGATGATGAGGTCAGTCTCTCAGTGCGGCTACACTGGTTATAAAGTATGTGGCCAACTGAACAGTCGACATGAACAGACATGTTTATTAGCATCCGAATGAGCTCAGAACATAAAAAAGGGCTCCTCGTTTTCTTCGAATGAGCTCGCGCGCTTGCTGGCATGCTGGTGCAAAGCTTGTCATTTTCTTCTCTCAGGCTGAACGTGGGAAATTAAACACTGGTGTCAATGCCTCAAGGAGAAGTTGTTAGTGATTAGCTGTTTATTAATAAGCATTTAAACAGCATACATTAAGGTCACAGAGCAAGGAATATTCCGGAGGCAAGACAGAGTTTGCAGGTACATACAAATAAAGTAGCTGTGCCTTGCTTGTTTCTCACATGTGTTCTCTCATGTGAGTGGCCTGCTGTGTGCGGAGGCTCTCCGTTTCATATCTATTCAGTGGCAACTCATTGGCAAATGTTGTCTGCCCTGGAATTGCACCTGATTGTTTCAAACGCTTGTATTTAGGGCAAAATGTTTTGATGAATAATCAGAACATACAGTTGAACCCCTTTATGAGATATATTCATATAAGAGACAAATGGGTATAATAGACACCAGTGTGCCTGCAGTAAAATACAAGTTGGTAAGAAAATGTGTACAAGGTACTCTGTTTATAAGAGACATTTCATATAAAGTACAAGAACTACTGCCCGGAGCATGCCTCTTATAAAGTGGTTTAACTGTATTAATTCAATCAATAATATCTACCAAAGTGTTCGTCACTTCTGTTTAATGACATTACCCGATCAAATCTTGGCATGTTGCATCCATAGAAAAGCATGTTGTAAGCACTGTTTTGTGATTAAACCTGCGTTTTCTTTCCTGTCACCGAGCCAACACTTTATCGCACTGCCCGCATCAGCTGTAATGGCCCAACAGATTCTTCTCCTCAAGTACATCCTTCTCTGTGGTTTAAACTTTCTCTTGGATGCTTGATTCTATGGGTGGTGATGCCTCGTCTAATGTGATAAATGGAACCTTTGACTGCATCAGTGCGTAAACTTCACTTATGTACACGCATCTGCTAATGTGAAGATGGTCTTCATGCAGCCATCATTTTGGCTAGTTAATTTTGTAATTTTAATACAGTTTACCTATTAAACTCATAGCTATTCTTTCCTTGTGCATGGTTAGTTTTCAGCAAACATTACTTTTGTGTCACAAAAGGGTGGTTGTCTATTTTCTCTTTCTTAACCCTTTTGCCACCTTGCGGGTTTCCGCAGAACTCATTTGCATTACTTGTGTCCATGTGCTTCAAGTTGTCGATGCATGTGCCCTTGCGCTGCCAATTACTGGCTTCCTGGTTAGAGCAACCACCCCAGAAAGGCAATGGTCCAGGCTTCGATACTCAGATCAAGGCGAATATTTCGGCAGACAAAATGCTTTTCTTTCTGAGAAATTCTTACGGGATTACTTGTGGCTTCTTGCCACAAACGGGTTGTTGTCCATTTTTCCTCTTAATCCTTGCGTCGTCTCGTGGGTCTCCCCAGAATTCATTTTGAAAAGGACAGCACCCTTTTCGAAATGAGTACTATGAACTAGCTTGCCCAAACCAAAGTACTTATCCCCAGAACTCATTTGCATAACTTTTATGTTTTCTGAAACGTCAGAACCTTCCCCTTTGATTTGTATTCTGGTCACTCCTGTGGAAACCAGACTGTTCAGTAGTGTTGGTTCTGAACTGAGCTCTCATTTTCGCAGGAGCCGCGTGACAGCCGGCCAAGTCCCCCGGTACCTCAGAGGGAGCCATTTTCGTGGAACGAGTACCTTGAGCGCCTTGGCGCACAGGCAGCGCCATCGAGGCTTTTTCGTGAGGCAAGTGACTATTCGCCACTGCATGCAATATACACTCCAACCTCGGTATAACGATCCTGGACAAAACGAATTGTCGCTTATAGCGAAGTGACTGACGAATAGGTTTGTCATAGATACAGTGCTACAAATATATGTTTATAATGAGTTTTTAGATATAACAAATTGTTTTCATGGCAGCTGTGACTTGATTCTAGTGAGGTTCAAGTGTACTTAAATTCAGCAGGATTGGAAAGAGGCGTAGTAAATGTTAGAGATAGGTGAACGAGCTAACGTAACGACGAAAGAGGTACATGGTAAAATGATGTTGGGGGAGTCAGCTGAAGTTTTAACAATAGAATGTTCAGCCTAAAGTGGGGTGGAAGATTAAACAGCTGTCTGAGTGGCTCCAAAAAAAGTCTAAAGTGAAACATATTTAAAGTGCTATTCAAATTTGCAGCTTTCACGATGCCTCATAAAAAACAATGGTGTTGCGATTTCAAAGTGGGGCCAAATGAGAAACACAGAAAAACACACACGGCAGTGCTCATTTAGTTTTCTTCAGGATACGCAATGTTATTAGCTGTTACGATGAACCACCAACAAAGCCAACGGTCCACATTAGTTCATGATGCTACTGCGATGTTTACAAGATGTAAAAAAACCTACTCCCAAAGTAGTAGTGGTCTTTAAAGCAGCACTTATGATATGTAAATTCTTTTTTAGTTCAGATGTGTAAAGTGGTGTTTGGTATAGTTTTTCATTGCCAAGTTACAATATCGTAAACTTCATACTGTCACTTTGCAAATATTATTCTCATCAATTTTTAAATACCTTTATGATCTAGATAAGGAAACATGCTTACTTTAGTTGCTAGATATTAGCTTTTGCTTGCAACAAAGCAAATTAAAATTGGTACAGTTGTTGCAGAGAAAAACAATTTCTGCATTTCCATCAGGATGGCATGTTTTAAACAATGACTCATGCATTCCACACCTTGTGCCACTGCATGACATAAAAGTATGTGTTTTGGGTTCAATTATTGTGAATAACCAAGGGGTTGAAGATGGTATTCAGGCTCTTCATAAGCATACTATCATCACCAGGCTCAATTGTGAATATTGATTACTAATTGGAACTCATAAAGTGCAATCTGGGATAAGTGTTACAGAAATATTGTTCAACTTAGCAAACATGTTTGCCACCAACTGATCTACACATTATGCTTGCTTTTTCGACATGCTGAAAACTGGTCAAGGGCCGTCAACACCGAGTCCTCAATGAAGCTGAGAGCTTGGCATTGTTAATGTAAAACTGGTGTCAGGCGGGCACTTTTGATTGTGACGAGGGCTGATCCAGATTGTATTTCTTAATCACGATAACTAATTCATTGCTGTTGCATGGTGCAGGTTAATCAGGATTGAGGTTTTCGCTGACGTCACCCAAGTTGTGATCGCAGAGCCAGATTGTGATGCGCAGGTCACAATCGTCTCAATTCCGATCAGGCATGATTGCAAATAAAAGTGAGCGTGTAGCAGTGACCGATCCATATTAAGTCTAATCCGAGTCAACCCTGATCATGATCATAATTACCCATGCGACATTGGTAATTGTAGTAAATTAATTGAATAGCTACTTTACAGTTGATAATAAATTCCTTTCCGACAGCTCTGAAGTGACGCTTGAGCAGCAACCACAGTCACTTTTTTATACTCGACCATTCCAGAAGAGGTTCATGATGTCATGAAGCAAATAAAGTGATCAAGTGCGGGTCTTGATGCCATTCAGCCAATCCATTTAAGATATGTTGTCAATATTATTGCAGACTCTTTTTAGCATGTAATCAACCATGTGTTGTAAAATGTATATTTCCTTCGGAATTAAAAAGAGCCAAAATAGTTCCTGTATCTTTAAAAAGTTGACAGAGGTTTGATTTTTAACTATCAGCTTATTGCAATACTGTCCATGCTCAGCAAAGTTATAAAGAAGTGTTTTGAAAAATGCTTAACAAAGTATTAACAAAATTGAACATTCTTTGTGCCATGCAGTTTGGCTTTCGTGCAGGCTACTCTACAAATCTTGCACTTATTTCATTCACTGATAAGATTGAACACTGCATTGATGCAGGTAACTATGCGATAGCTGTATTTATAGACCTCATAAAAGCATTCAGCTCTATTCTATTATTTTAATTACTAAATTAAAAGCGGTTGGTCTAGTAGGACCTGCTATGTCCTTCATTTGCAGTTACTTAGTTAACAGAGAACAGGCTATTAATATTTCTAATTACCTTTCTAACTTCAAATTGATTGACAAAGAAGTTCCTCATCAGTCTATACTAGGCCAATTACTCTTCACTATATACATTAATGATCTTACGTCCCATCTGTCACATTGTCTACCTTACCTTTATGCAGACAATACTACTATTCTAACTTCTTCTACATCAATCAATACTGTTCTAAGCTAAATGGAGATCTGGAAAATATAACTTGCTGGTATTGTCAAAATATTGAAAGTTAACCCCAGTAAAATGGTGTTTATGCTCTTTCACCCTACTCAAAAGAAGATACTCGAATCTTCCTCAATAGCAGTCAGTAACCACCTCATCAAGGCATCCAATCATTGTTGCGTTTTGGGAGGAATCATCGATTCAAGCTTAAAGTACATTTGCCATGTCTCACACCTCATGCAAAAATCTGCTTACGGCATCAGGATCCTAATAAAAGCGCACCCATACTTAAGTCTAAATACCTTGCTCTTTGTGTATTATGCCTTCATTCACAGTCACTTCACCTACTGCATCGCATCCTGGGGTAACACATATAGCACTCATCTATCTCCTTTACAATATATTTTCAAGACCAGGCCATATGCATTATTACATTTCAGTCACCACGGTGCAGTTCCTCTGCACTTTTACACGAGCTTGGAATTATAATCATTCACAAACTTTTAATTTTGACATGGAAATCCTTACCTACAATTTCCTTCACCCAAACATTCCCTCAATAATTTTTGACGAAGGACAACTCACTAATCAACTTAAACCCGATTTGCATCAAATAATAACTTCCTATTACCAAAAATTAGAATCAATTATGGTAGATTCACCTCTGGGTTCACAGCTATGTCCTTCTGGAATAGTATTTAAAGAGCCTTTAAGCTTTGAAGTTGTCTGGGCTGTTTTAAAAAGCAGTTGTTTTCCTATTTAGTTTACATGTAACTAATGTAGTTTATATTGTACTATTTTCTCTGTCTTGCTGTCATTGATGTTAGTTCAATATGATAAATATTTCACTCGTTTTTATGTGTTCGAAGCTTTAGTTATTTTGCCGTTTTGTGGTGTATCACTTTGTTTTATTCATTATCATTTATGTGCATAGCAGATTTTCAGTATAGTCAGTACTCCGTTTATATGCTCTATGTTTTTTGCGTTACTTCAAGTCAGTGTTAGGACTGATTTGCTGCTTTTTCATTTGTGTCAACCTATTTGTCTTGATAGTTCGAATTCTTACAACATGTAAGGCAGAGTATTTTGCCATCATGTTTTATTTCATTTGCTGTCAAGTGTTATTGCTTTTTTTTTAACTTTTCCTGTTAGCAAGTCGCTAGTAATTGATGTTTTATTTGTCTATTTAGTACAGGACCCGCCTTTGTAACCTAAAGCTTTTGGACCTCCTTCTGTATATTATTTTGTGATGTAACATTTTCTTTTTTTGAGTGAAGAATTTTTAGCCTTTGACTCAAGGAATTACAATGTCATTCACAATGTTGGCGGTGGCTAAATTGAATATCTGCAGCACCAAGTGGCTCCCACCGTGGTTAATGGTTTCCGAGTGGGCATGAAGTTGGAAGCCGTGGACCCTGCACATCCGAGCATGTTCTGTGTGGTGACAGTGGCACAGGTGGTTGGCTACCGGCTACGGCTTCACCTGGATGGCTATGCCGATGTGTACGACTTCTGGGTGAATGCCGACTGCCCCGACATGTACCCGGCTGGCTGGTGCGAGCGGACCCATAGGAAGCTGCACCCACCCAAGGGTAAGTTCTCTGGGTACTGCTTTTGGTTGGGACTGGCTGCTATATCGACGATTTGCCAAGTTGTGCAGCCTAGGTGTGTCGTGGTGTTATTGATTAATTTGAAAACCACGATCCGCAAGGTGAGTATTGATAGTAGGCGTAACTTACGTTAGAGTAAGCAGTAGACACAAGGTGTTTGGATTTCTTGACAGTTTTTCACAAGGGAGGTGTTTAATTCCAGGGACAACCAAAATCTTCCCACCCAAGTAATTTTCTCTAACGGAGATGAAATCAGTAAAAATATACATGAGCAGGTCACAAACAAAATTAGCAAGTTTTTTTTTTTTTTTTCATGAAACTTGACCAGGGACTTTCAACTCATCTCTATCTTCAAAGCTGGGGGCTGGACGCATGAACCATTGCATCACCAGAAGTACACGAAGTGGCACGGATCTGCCTTATATCCTTTGGTAACACCATCTCACTCCACACTTGGTACAGGGTGGTGCGTCCATCTTGGTATGGTGAAACAAAGTACTGTGTCATAACACTAACAAAAGCTGAGTGCTGACAGTTGCACCTGCTTCTGCTGTCTTGCAGATTCAATGCCCTGTTTGACAACACCTTCCCTAAAGGTGCTGTTTTGTCAGCATCAATATTTCCAGTGACGCAAGTGATCACGGGACATTCGGGAGAGGTGCAATTATAGGGGTGCGTCATGAGGTTGATACATATAATCTCGAGGTGAATGGGAGTAATCTATGTGTGTAATATAGGGTTATGTGAAATTTTAAAGAGAGCATTTCCGCTGTTCAAAATTGCAAAAAGTTTGACTGTACATATAGGGTGCAGAATGCTTTTATGAGATAACTGCGTGAGCAGATTGAATAACATTTGTTGCTTGTATAAAAAGAAAGTTCAATTGCAGTTGCTCTAGAAAGCGATACACTTGCTCAGGAACCAAACTTTCTTTACAAGAATAACGTTTGAAAAACAAAAGCAGGAACTTAACTAGTTCGTAACTGCTCGCCAAAGAGAGACATCATAGTTCTACAATGTTGAGTCATTACGGTATCTAAGCTCGAAGAATCTTGTGTATGCTAAATTTAGAGCAGATTTAGATCTCTTGTGATGTTTATAATTGTTTCATGTAACTTCTACTTACTAATTATTGGTTCACTGTAATAGCGTATAAACGCGTGTAAGGGCCGCACTTTTTTTTCAGGAAGTGAGGGCCAATTTTCAGGTTGCGGCCCATAGACGGAACTTTTTTTTGGGGGAACTATAAACAACGTACCAGTTAGTGAACGAAGAGCGTTTATTGCAGTATGCCGCGTGTGCGCTTAATCGTCGTCACTCGACGAGTCCTCTAACTCGGAGTCCGAGATAGTGTGTTGCGGAGCACCATCATTCCACAAACAGTCATCTTCGGTGCCATCCAGGCTGTTGGATATCTCAGTGACCTTAAAACTTCGGGACACAATGTCCATCGACACCGAGCTCCACGCCGACAATACCCAACCGAGAACAGTAGCAAGCGGTGCCCTGTGCGGTGCCCTCTTCAGCCGTCCGGTCGGCGTCTGCTCATGGTTGCCGGTTGCCATCCATTCCATGTAGAGTCTTCGGAATTAAACTTTGAATGGTCGATTCACGCTCACATCCAATGGTTGCAACATTCCTGTGAGGCCACCTGGAATCACGGCCATGTCTGTGCCGACACGGCGCAGCTGCTCCTTCACCTTATCGGTAAGGTGGCCGTGGAAACTATCCAATACTGAAAGTGAATGTTTGGCCAACAAAGCTCCCGGTCTGTTCTGCCAAACACTTTTCACCCAGTCTAGCACCAAATCATCGTTCATCCATCCCTTCTCTTCGGCTCTAACTATGATGCCCTTGGGGAAAACTTCGTTGGGAATTCTTTTCCTTTTCAAAACAACGTACGGGGGTAGCTTCCGCCCGTCCGCGGTCGCACAAAGCGTCACGGTGCAGCGTTGGCGCTCAGCGCCGGTGGTTCGCACGGCGACACTCTTCCTGCCTTTTACTTCGACTGTGTAGTTCTCGGGAGAGTCAAACCACACAGGAGTTTGATCAGCATTCGCTATTTGCGACAACAAATAACTGTGCTGATGGCGCAGGCCGATGACATGCTTGTGAAAACTAAGCACCTTGTCGATATAGTCTTCTGGCAGCCGCTGGCACAGCGTGGTCCTTCGCCAAAAAGAGAGTCCCTTTCTTTTCAGAAACCTTCGCACCCAGCCAGCACTAGCCTTGAAATCCCCGGCCGGTATATTTTTCGCACGTGCCAAGGCTAGTGCCTTCATGCGCAGCATGTCTGTAGTGAGCGCAAAACCATCGTTCCGCACCTCAGTCACATAGCGGAGCAACTCCTCTTCCAAATCAGGATACTTGCACTGTTTTCCTCGGAAAGCGCGCTTTTTGATATTGGTGTTCTGCAAGGCTTTCTTCTGGACGCACCAACGTCGAACACACTTCTCCTCAACGTCGAATTTTCTGCCGGCGGCCCGTTTCCCGTGCTCGAGGGCAAACTCGATCACTTTCAACTTATAGCCAGCTGTATAGCTATTTAGCTGCTTGCCCATCGTGCCAAAACGTAAACGTCCCGCAGAAAACTAGCTAGAGTCCCAGAGTCATTCAACGGTGTGCAAAACTCGGGCACATGGCAGGCTGAACAGCACAGTGATTGAACAACGCACTAATACTAAAGTTGGTGATGCTAATGCCGATATGAAGAGCGCGTTTGTATAGAAGTGTCGAAGTTAAAGATAAAATCCCGCTTTAACCTTTAGTTGGCGGGTGTACGAACACTACTGAAAAAACTTAAAATTTTTAGCCAACTTCATGAACATATTAGCACGAAGAAAACCAACAAATTATTCTAATGATGTACTATAAGTTGATGAGAATTGCGTTCTCTAGCGCCATCTAGTGACAACACCTAGTAGCTCACACACGCACGCGCATTTTGAATACGCATGGGTCAAGGAAAGTGCGGATGCGGCCCTTACACACAACTTTTTTTTTTAATATGTGCTTCTTAAAAACGGGATGCGGCCCTTACACGGGTGCGGCCCTTACACGCGTGTATACGGTAATGTGTGTGCTGATAGATCATTCACTGTAGAATATTAGATGAGGTTGAAGAAGAGATCGAAACTGCAGCAGCCTGTCATTGCACTAGTGTTGCTTTGGTCTTCCTTTCGTCCTTGTACAGTGTCGTGCAGTCAATGACGAATCAGTACCAACTTTCCCAGTTCTCGGCTCATTTACTAACAGATAATTTTTGTCTTTTTTATGCATGTTATTAAGAGCACTTTACAAAATTGGGACATTGTTTTAACAGCAGAGCTCTTTGAGATCGAAGCATGCTACGAGGTGTTAACACAATAACTATCATCATCATCTACTTTCTCTACCTAATAAGGCATCTCGCATCACCTAGCACCTGGCACAGGTGCGCCTATCGGGTGCAATGCAATAACTCGGCCAGGGCGGCCTCTCTTGATCCCCTTTTCGATCTTCTGCTTCGCTGTCCGAACGTGTGCACCTGGAGTGCTCTTCCACTGTGCTGATTTGTCGAGCGTGAAATGCAATAACTGATGGGGGAGAGAATGAGTTTTGAAAAGAGGGAGAAGAGGTAGAAAGAGAAATAGGAAGATGGCTGGAAGAAAGATAGAAACGTGCATAAAAATGAAACAACAAGAAAGAAGGCCAGAGTGAGAGAAAGAGGTTGAAAAAAAAAGAAAGTCAGGAAAACAGATGAAAGGAAGGGACGAAGATAAAGAGCAAGAACTAAATAAGAAGAAACAGACACAAAACAAATGGGAACAAAGAAAAAGCCCAGCTCTACTAGTATTTCTTCATGCTTGGAGTGCCAAGCCGCCTTCACCTTTTCTTTTTCTGTACTTTGTTATGGGTTTATAAGATTCACAGTTGCAAGTCGTGGAATTTCACAGCATAAGGGAACTATTATTGTTACTTGAAAATACAAGTTTCATTCTGTAGTTCTGTATGCCCCTAATCAAATTTATGTGTTTACTATAAGTTATGTACATTCCCTTTTTTTTTCCTTTGTTCTTTCTAATTCAAGTGACTGTTGTTAGCAGGTAAACATTATTTCTTGTACGATTATATCAAACTTGAATTTGTTTGCTTCTGTTTACATGAATTATAACTACCGTAATTACTCAAATCTAACGCGCACCTTTTTTCCGGTTAAGCAAGTTCATAAATCGCATGCGCGTTAGAATCGAGTACGAACAAAAAAATTACGGTCAATCTATTGCCATCGCAAATCCAAAATGGCCGCCCCCTACGTGCGTCGGCATGGTGCGTCGGCTATTTCTGCCTATGTGTTTACCATGTGCGGCACTTCGTACGTGTGCTGAGGAGTTCGTCATTTAGTAGTGCATTAGCATCGACGACGTGGAAGGGCCGACTCCAAAAACTCGAGTGCACCACGATGCCGCTTTTAAAAGAAAAGTCATCGCGTGTGCAGAAACGGACGGAAATCGGGCCGCATCGCGGTCCTTCTCGAAACGTGCGTGCGGGACCGGCGGAAACAAAAGCAGAAGATTGTCGACAGCAAAGCTTCACGCAAAGGCTTCAGTGAACCACAGCAGGGTCGGTTTCCGCAAATTGAAGAGCTGCTCCGCGAGTATTTGCTTGAGGAGCAAGCGGCACAGCGGCCCATGACGACAGAACTGCTCCAAGTGCGGGCTATGCAATTAGTCTTAGAAAAAAGTCTAATGCGGAGCCTGTTTAAAGCGAGCAGGTGCTGGCTAATTAACTATATGAAGAGGAAAGGCTCTTCCCTCCGAAGGGGAACATGCATATGCGAAAACTTTTGCGGAGAAGTACGATGAAAAGCTTTACAGTTTTCAGAGGTTCGTCCTAAACTTGCGGCGCAACAACGGCTACCTGCTTGGGCAAATCTGGAATGCCGATCAGACGCCTCTTTACTTCGACATGCCTGGCACCACAACTGTCGAGAAGAAGGGGGCGAAGCAAGTTCGCGTGCTGACATCGGTCCACGGTAAAACTACAGTGACGGCAATGCTCTGTTACACGTCAGATGGGCACAAGCTTCGCCCGTACCTTATATTTAAATGGAAGACAATCCCGAAAGGAATCGTTTTTTCGAGTGGTGTGATCGTGCGGGCCAGCAAAAAAAAAATGGGTGCGCGTTGCAATCGATGTCTTACGTTTTTTTTTTTTTTCGCGGTGGAAATTGGGTGCACGTTACAATCGAGGGCGCGGTAGAATCGAGTAAATACGGTATTACAGTTTCTGTAGTGTTATACTTCCAATGGGACCTGCACTAGCCTTTGGCCGTGGGATCATCGGTTTGTGCGTATTTCAATTAAGATATGTGTGCAACAAAGAACATTCATTCATTCATTTTCATTTTTTAATAAAGGTTGAATGAAATTTCATTCTAGCTTCATTGAGAGGTTTCGTCTTTTCTGTTCAGGCTACACTGCAGAGCAATTCAACTGGGCCAACTACCTGCGCGCATCGCGGTCCCAAGCAGCACCGAGGCAAGTGTTTGCAAACCGTAGCTCCACTCAGCCGGGTGCCCCGTTGCGAATGGGCATGAAGCTGGAGGCAGCTGATCCGAACACTGGAGTGGCCTGTGTGGCCACCCTCACCGACATCACCGACAGTGGCCGGTTTCTTGTTACACCCGATGGACGCGACAAGAGCGGCGCTTTCTGGACCGATGCTGGCTCTCCGCTTCTTCGGCCTCCCAACTGGAGTCGTGAGCATGGAGAGACACTCAATGCACCCACTACGGGTGAGCATGCCTGGACTTTGTGGCTAGCTGAAGCTGTCAGAGAACTGATTGGCAAATTGGCGCATAATTATGCTAGGCAGTCACAGCACTGCGCTGTGCTGTTGGTACTGTACCATTTCAAAGTCTGGGCAGAAGGCAGTCTCACTGTAAAAAAGAGAAACCATTAAACAAAATAGTTGCATTATTTTGTAGCCCAGGGCAATGAAATGTTTGCTGCGTATACAGGCTTATATGCTGATTTCAAATATGTAATTAGTTTTATAGTAAGTTGCACAGTTTTAGTTTTATGCCACTGAACATTTGTGGCTTTCAGTCATTAATGACTGATATTTCTCTGTATTACGGGTAACTGTAGAACGCAAATAATTATGAAGAAAGTAAGTATAAGGCATTTTAATGGACAAGAAAAATTGTAGTAATGTGACAATTCTTGGAATCGTCAGCCCATACCGATTGTTTACTTTAGGTTTGTAATAATTTGCAGGTTATATAAAGTTTTAAAAAAGATAGTTGCACCCTTCACATGTTAAGGGATATGTAGGCAAAATTTCATCGCGATTGTGCTTTCAGAAATGCCAAATACATAGGTTTCCAAACTCATGAAGTTACCCAAAAATGGATCTTGAGAAAAATACATTTTTGAAGGCATAAGTGGAAGCTCATCTATGCAGAAAAGTATGTTTTTTGATTTTAACAGGATTTTCTTTATCATCAGATCTTGGAAATCAGTGGGTTTTTTGAGCATGTGGCTTTAGTGATTTCTCATGTGAAATGTGATGGCAAGTAGCCAGGTGACAATTTTCTGGGTACCGTATTTACTCGCGTATCCTCGCACTAGCATAATTCTCGCACCCCCCACATTGCCCAACAAAAATACGATTTCTTTTTTTTCCTCGAGTAGTTATCATTGCACCCCCGAAAACTGCTGCAATAATGTCGTCTGCTCTTTTCAGCCACTGATGATGATAGCGCACGTCATCTGGCGCCATCTCTTAAGCATCAAGCGTACGATTGCACGGAGATTCAATCCAATTCAAGCCAAGCCGAAGTGGCCAGTGTGCGTTATGGCGTGTTTTGTATGTTGCGTCGGTAACCTTGTCAAGTTATGAGGCGATACTGATGCTGTACGGCTGCTTTCAAGTTGCAAGTGATAGATCATGCACTAAAGAATGCCAGCAGGGCCGCCGGTAGGTCCTTCGAAGCCTACGAGTTTTGTGTTTGCTACTGGTGATGGCTGCTGAAAGCCACACAGACGCGTTGGGCCTGCCGTGTGCCTAAAACTGGGATTGATGGTAAACTTCATTTCTTAAGAAGGAAACTGCGGACAATTCTGTTAAATAGTCATCAGTCTAATACTGACGTCCCACGCTTACCGTTTGAGGGCTCCTGTTGAGCGACGGAACGCTACCGTTACTGCCCGCAACGCCGACAAGCTTTGCGTATGGTATTCTAATTCTCGACTTATTTGCTTGAACTTTTTGTGTCTCAAATAAATCTTGCCTTGTGTGTAACCTCTGCTTTTATTGTTGATGTAAGTTCTAATTAGTACTTCTTAAAGCTTGCTGTAAGTTGCTGGTGTGAGAATCCTGATTTGCGGCCACTTCATTTTCTTTTTTCGCTCTGTACAGTTTTCGTAGAAAGTTTTCCCTTCGTAATTCTCGCACCCCTAACTTTTCATCGGTTTTCCAGCCAAAAAAAGGTGCGAGGATTATGCGAGTAAATACGGTACTCTAGACAATGGGCTTCTTTTAGTTTTCAGTAGCCACCTTGTGCACTTTAAAAGTGATTTTAACCTACTTTGACTTTAATGACGATCTTTAACTTTCTTTAATAAAAGTAAATAAACTATACTTGTCAAAGCAAATGAGAACAAAAAATATGTAGTTTGGAAAAAACTTTAGTTTTTCGACTTGCATCTACCCTTCAGTACTGTACTATTCCTATGTCTCTACAGAAGCCTGTCTCAATTAAAATTATTATTTTTAATACCAACAATTTAGAGCAAATAATTTTAAATAAGCATGGTTCACTGATGTAGCTAGAAATATTACCTATAGGGCTTGTAGCCTACCAATAGATCACTTTGTCCTTATGACATGTTTGGGGGATTGTTCTGACAACAAGGTATCACGCGGAGTACACCCTATAAAGAGTGAATTGTTTATTTAACTTGCAGAAATATATGTGCATAGTTCGTGCAATTTTTTTTTACTTGTACTGTTCTCGTACGCACAGGCTGGAAGGGCCCATTTTCATGGGAGCGCTACCTCTCAGATCATCGGGCTCAGGGTATACCCGTGCGAGCCCTGCGACCACGAGCAGGGCCTCAGGGATTCCAGGTGGGGCACCGATTCGAAGTGGTGGATCCCCGTGATAGGCGGTTCGTGCGTGTCGCAAGTGTGGCTGCATTGCGGCCGCGGGGACTTCTGGTCATCTGGACGGTTGGCCGCCGGAACGGGACTTCTTTCTGGATGCCGACAGCCCAGACATGCACCCGGCCGGTTGGTGCACCCGCACGGGTCACCCGCTCGAGCCGCCGGGCGCCCTGGCCCCTCTTCCTCCAGGAGCTCTGCCCTTTAACACTGAGTGTCCCACACCAGGTTGCCATGGTTTTGGACATGTGAAAGGATTCGCTAGCCATCACAGGTAAAATGCACAGTATTGTTTACATCTAATCTCTCATATTTTAGGTATCATCCTTAATTTGAGTATCTCAATGTCATTGAGTATTTTTCAGTCATCATGCTGTTATCGTCATTAACATGATTGTGTAAGGTTGACGCAAGGTAAAGGTGTCTCCCATGTTTCACGAATCAACTTAGTCCAGTGCTTTCTTTTGCTAGGAATTCAGTCTTTTACTTTTAATGAAGAGTTGTTATCTTGCCAATGCGCTAAACACGCCCTGCCTATTTCTTTTTTATTTTGATTAAGATGTCCTGAACAACGGTTTGTTCCCTGACCCTCTCTCTGTTCACCTGATAGAGCGAAAGAAGCGGCAGTCAACTATCTTTGAATAATTTGAGTCTTAGGGTCACCTTGCCGGAATAAATTGTTTGTAGTCAAAGCGCTTGTGCTCTCATTCATTTTCGGAGCTTTACTTACTCTTGCGTTTTCTTGGCTGTCGCGTTTTTCTTACCCGGTCCGCTGAAAAACGTATGAACGGGTTGTCTGCAACTTTCCATCATGGTACCAGTGACTTCTTTTTCACATATTCTATTTTGCCAATAAAGATGGGGTGCAAATGTATTGTAAGGGAATCGTAGATTGAACTTATTAAACTTCATTTGTTGCGCCATGACTGTCAACTTCTTATTACAATAATAACAAAGATGAAGTTGTCCAAAGTTGTTTCATCAGTCTATGCTGATTTAACATTCCTGTTCAGTGTTTCTGTTAAATACTGGAATTTCACATCACACTATAATTTTGTACAGCCACATCAATTTTTAACCCAATGCCCACAAAACACCGAATTACTAGATTTGCTCAGGCATGTCTCTCTTGCAGTGTTTATGGGTGTCCCTTCTCAGCTGCCAATCGGGAGTTGCCTGATCGGCTCAACATGCCATCTAGCATACCCCAGGAAACTAAAGACGGCCTAAGGTGAGCATGGCCACCCAGTCCTGGGAGTGCATGGCCATTTGTTCGTCCAGAGCCAAGGCTTTGGTATGGTGTGACTCATCTAGACAGTACTAACCTAACCCAACCTAACCTAACCTAACCTAACTGAACCGTACCGAACCCTAACCTAACCTAATAGAATCGGACCCAACCAGACCCAATGCAACCTAACCTAACCTAACTTTCATTTATGCTGTAGCGTGAATGGAGTGAATTTTGAGGGCTCATTTCTTTGTTTTACACAACTTGATTGAAAATCAGCAGATAATGAAGTCAAGGAAGGTATAGGGTGCGTTAATTGTGCTGTTTCAAGTGTACGATACTAATTGTGATACAGATGTGAAGAAAGTCAAATGGATGAAAAGGCAACTCGCCACCAACAGAGACCAAGCATGCAACTGACCGAACCTGCAGCCCCCGACCTGAATGCTGCAGCTTCTGTCCCTGCCGGCGGCGAGTTGCCTTTTTATTCACTTTACTCTCTTCACATCTGTGTCACTACCGTGCACTTGAAACAGCACAATTAATGTCCCCTACGTGTCCCTCAGCGTCACTACTGCCTAGTTTTCATTGGTGGTGCTGTAGCAGTTGGACCTGAAAAATGGTTTTTGTGGTTGGACTTGTGAAAAGCAAGGACACAGTAAGACACATGGAGAAACCACAAAGAGAAGCACGCAAACAAAAAGGCAGTATGTAATTCTGGCTAGCCCAAGAAATAGCTCTCTGGGACCTAGAAAGAGATGTGATGCTGCTCAGTGGATGACTGACCACTGCTAATTCAGTCAGTATAGCCATTCCAGTAATATTTCTAAAAATAAAAGACGACACCTTATGCCATAAAGTGTAATTACTAGTTAACAACAAATGGCTAAAGAATAATGTGTGCTTTTTCTAACTGAACAAATGTAGTTAATGACAGAGCAGTGTTAAAGAGACACTAAAGTCAAATAACAATTTATGTCAGAGTGAAAGCTCAATGTATGACAACATCTAAAATTACAATACTATCAACAACAGTGCCCTACTTACCGAGAAATTAAGGTAAAGGCACAAGAACACAAGCGCCACAGTAGGACATTTTCAAAATGATCCCAATGATATCAGACGGACCGCCTACAATTAATCACTAGTAATCTATCTAACTGCACTAAATAAAGAACCTTGCCCGCATTAATAGATGCAAGTAAAATGCTGCTTGATCGTTTCTGTTTGATTCACGGAAAAAAAAAAAACTGCTGGTCATTAATATGGGGAATGGCGCGAGTGGTTCAAAAATTCAATTTTCGCGTGGTTACGCGGGACAGGTGGTGCCATCTAGCAGGGAGCAATTGAAACAAAAGCGACTGCAATTTTGAAGCCAATGACGGGGAAATGATCAATGGCCATTGTTGCTGCTGTGGCTCCCACTGCTTTCGGTCTGCTGCTACTAGCGCATTAAAGCCGGGTAACGTTGTGCGCGGCAACAGTGACGTGAGTCGGTCCGATCGGTCTGCTTCTTGAGGTGGGTAATTTGAAGTGCGCTGACCTGATTTGGAGCACTAAAATGTGATTTTATTTCAAAATAGGTCCTTCCTTGGCATAAAAGTAACAGTACCAGGTTTATAGACCACCATTTCAACAATCTGTGTCGACTTAATAGTTGACTATAGTGTCCCTTTAAGGCGCTTTATTAACGTCAGCGTTTTTCTTCATACGACTTATATTGGGCATTTGTCTTCTTTACGAGGAAAGATTCTAGATGCCTAAAACACCACAAGAAGAATTAATAAGCACATGAAAATGTTGTACCCACCAACCCAGCATCAAGTGCTTCTAACTTACCTTCTGTAGGCGTTTGTTAGAACTGAGAAGCTGTAGCTGTTGTGCTGCTAGTTCCTGCAAACAGGACTTCATGTGTTGTGGGCCCTCCTTTTATATGGCACACATTCCTTCAGCTTTGGCTCTTGTTATGTAGTCTTACCTGGGATTAATATAGTACATTATGAACTTGGCATTTTTTTACCAGCTTCTTGAACTGAGCTAAGAATTGTTAAAGCACAACTTGGAAATAAAAACTGTCTTTGTTATTTATGAAGAGACATTGATGAAATTGGGCATGCAGATGTCATTTGTTGTACTCATATCATAACTGAAATTTGTTGTGAGCTATCTAATGTAGTTGAGTTACAATGCTTGATGGACTCTCAAAATAAACTAAATAATTAATTAGTTATAAGTACATCAAAATGTTTGAATAAGGATATTCACAAGGGCCTATTCCTGGCTGTAATGGCATTGGTTTATTTATTAATATTTTTTTAAGTAAGCATACAAAAAATCTTTTAAAATGTCCTGGGCACAATTTATTACTGACAATTTTTACAAAAAAAAAACAATTATAAAGATCTATATGATGTGCACACAAATAAATATGGACAGATTTATAGCACCCACCAATTCTCAGAGTCTAAGTGCAGAAAACGGAATGGCTATACCTTCATTTGTGGCAAAATGACACAGGGACGGCAACTGTTCAAAAATGAAAACTGAAAAAATAGAACTCAAGGAAATTGAAGCTAGAAGTTAACAAAACAGAACTTGAATGGGAGCTGGCTTTATTTTCTATTGGATAAATGCAACTTTGCGGCTATCTTCAGCTCTTATTTGTCCTCTTTACGATGAGGCCATTATGGGGTCACTGTTCCAAAAAAAAAAAAAAAAAAGCTGCAGATTTGCATTTTCTAAAGCCCAATTTTCTTGTAGGTTTTGATGACAGCCTCCAAGTAATATGCTTTTTTATCCCCTTCTACTGCCTATCTTGGTCTACTATTTCACCATGATGTTATACATGGTCTCAAGATTGCAGAAGCAATTAATTGAAAAATTGAAGATTTGGACCAAATTTACCATTCTCATTGTCACGTCCTCCCTTAGATAAGGGTAGCACTTATGCATTGTCCTTTGTGACATGCCTTCTGTACTTTCAATAGTAAATGATGCGTGTCACGGGTGACATTGCACAGGCGGTGCCCCACTCCTGGTTGCAATGGTAGTGGACACCTCAAGGAGAAATACACCGTACACCACAATGCATCTGGCTGTCCTCTAGCAACGGCGCATGCAGGGGACGACAGCAGCCAGGACAGCCCTTCGACAGCAGTGCCAACCCAGCCACGAGGCAGAGGACGGCCTCGCAAGTGAGTAGTTACACAGGAATAAAGAGCTGCTATCAGCAACCTGAAATCCTGTGGCCTGAAAATATTATTTTTGTTTGGACACCCTTTACTAACACCTTTCACCTCTTGTTTTGACACCCTTATTCTCAGCGAGGGTACGCACATAGACTGCAAGAAATAAGTACATGTGTCTGCACTACATTAATCTTAGGAGGTGTGAGACAAGAATAGGTTGCAAGTACTGTATCATTAAACCTTTTCTATGCCTATAGGCAATCGTGGCAGGGTACTCTGAAATCCACAATGGCTGTCTATCGTATCATAGTATGAAGATATTCAAAAATGAATAAATCTTCAGTTTCTGTGTCTGTAGCTTTGGTATTCATGGGTCAAGTAGTGAAATTACTGCTAGACACATGCCTTAGCCACGCAGTCTAGCCGACATCTGCATTCCTTGCCACCTTCACTTTTCTTTTTAAAGAAGATGGAACATGAGCCTGCTCGTATGAATCCATCGAAGAAAAAAATGCCGAAAACACTGACAAGGAAATTAAATCAAGGGTACATTTGTCTGGTCAATCTCAAGTGCTCTGAATACATTTGGCTGGTTCTTTCGAAGCACCGCTCTCTACCTCAGTGCACTTCGAAGTGCTCTCAACTCTGAACACAGAGCGTGAGAGATCTGATACATGACTTTTCCAACTTTGGTTCTGGCATACAGCCACGGATGTGGTTGTAGCTACACAAACGGTGGTGCTCCAGCGCCTTCTTCATTTGCATTGGAAGACATGGTGACGTCGCCCCGCCGTGGTGGTCTAGTGGCTTAGGTACTCGGCTGCTGACCCGCAGGTCGCGGGTTCGGATTCCGGCTGCGGCGGCTGCATTTCCGATGGAGGCGAAATGTTGTAGACCCGTGTGCTCAGATTTGTGTGCACGTCAAAGAACCCCAGGTGGTCGAAATTTCCGGAGCCCTCCACTACAGCGTCTCTCATAATCATATGGTGGTTTTGGGACATTAAACCCCACATATCAATCAACAAGGTGATGTTGCCTCGAAGTGCGTTGGTGTGCAGTTGCACATTTGGCCTGAACGCTTATTCTCTGGCTTGAATCGAGAACTTGTACCAACTTGTTCCGATCCAGCGGCACGTACGAAGTTTCTAGGCCACTATTCCATGTAATCCTAAGGCAGCGTGGCCTGGGAAGTTTCGAACACCCCTCTATCACAACACGAATGCTGACCTCATCCACATTTTAAGCACTGTTCCTGTCTTTCCTACTTTTTTCATGTTTTCATGCTGTTTTCTCTGGTTAAGTGCACTTCCAGCGAGACATCTCACAGGCCAGTCTGTAGTTTTGACTGTAGTTTGAAGGAAGGAAAAAAGTGCCAATTTACGTCTTCGTTTCTCTTTGCTAGATAAACGAGGCCTTAAATTTACACTTTCCTTCATTCACAGCGAGGGTATCGCTCTGGCATGATGCTTCATAGAGTATGCTAGAGATATTTGGTCAGATGTCAGCTCGTAATACGATCACATGCTACATGATCATCATCATCATCAGCCTGACTACGTCCACTGCCAAACAAAGGCCTCTCCCATGTTCCGGCAGTTAACTCGGTCCTGTGCTTGCTGCTGCCAATTTATACCCGCAAACTTCTAATCTCATCTGCCCACCTAACCTTCTGTCTCCCCCTAATCCACTTGCCTTCTCTGGGAATCCAGTTAGTTACCCTTAACTACCAGCGGTTATTCTGTCTACACTCTACACGCTCGGCCCATGTCCATTTCCTCTTCTTGATTTCAACTATGATGTCCTTAACCCCCGTTTGTCCCCTAATCCACTCTGCTCTCTTCTTGTCTCTTAAGGTTACACCTACCATTTTTCTTTCCATTGCTCGCTGCGTCTTCCTCAATTTGGGCTGAACCCTCTTTGTAAGTCTCCAGGTTTCTGCTCCGTAGCTAAGTACCGGCAAGATACAGCTGTTATATACCTTCCTCTTGAGGGATAGTGGCAATCTACCTGTAATTTGAGAGTGCTTTCCAAATGTGCTCCACCCCATTCTTATTCTTCTAGTTACTTCAATATCATGGTTCGGCTCTGCGGTTATTACCTGCCCTAAGTAGACACAGTCTTTTACAACTTCAAGTGCACTATTACCTATCTCGAAGCGCTGCTCCTTTCCGAGGTTGTTGTACATTACTTTCGTTTTCTGCAGATTAATTTTAAGACCCACCTTTCTGCTCTCCCTGTTCAACTCCGTAATCATGAGTTGCAATTCGTCCCCTGAGTTACTCATCAATGCAATGTCATCGGCGAAGCGCAGGTTACTAAGGTATTCTCCATTAACTCTTATCCCTAACTGCTCCCATTCTAGGCTTCTGAAAACCTCCTGTAAGCACGCGGTAAATAGCATTGGGGAGATTGTGTCCCCCTGCCTTACACCCTTCTTGATTGGTATTCTGTTGCTTTCTCTATGAAGCACTATGGTAGCAGTTGATCCCCTGTAGATTTCTTCCAGGATGTTTATATATACTTCATCTACGCCTGATTCCGCAGTGTCTGCATGACGGCTGATATTTCTACTGAATCAAACGCCTTCTCGTAATCTATGAAGGCTATGTATAGTGGTTGGTTATACTCTGAGAATTTCTCTATTACCTGATTGATAGTATGAATGTGGTCAATTGTTGAGTAGCCTGTTCGAAATCCTGCTTGTTCCTTTGGTTGATTGAATTCTAATGTTTTCTTTACTCTGTTAGCAATTACCTTTGTAAATAGCTTGTATACTACAGAGAGCAAGCTGATCGGCCTGTAGTTCTTCAAGTCCTTGTCATCTCCTTTCTATGTATTAAGATGATGTTAGCATTGTTCCAAGACTCTGGTACTCTTCCCGACAGAAGACACCTCGTAAACAGGCTGGCTAGTTTTTCTAACACAATCTGTCCTCCATCTTTCAGCAGATCTGATGTTACCTGATCCTCACCAGCAGCTTTGCCTCTTTGCATGCTCTCCAAGGCTTTTCTGATTTCTTCTATTATTACTGGTGAGATGTCATCTGGGTTATTGCTAGTTTTTATAGTATTAAGGTCGTGGTTATCCCAGCTACTGTACAGATCCCTGTAAAACTCCTCCGCTATTTTAACTATCCTATCCATATTGGTAGTTATTTTGCCTTCTTTGTTCCTTAGTGCATACATCCGATTTTTACCTATCCCAAGTTTCTTCTTCACTGCTTTGACGCTTCCTCCGTTTTTCAGAGCGTGTTCGATTCTCTCCATAAAATGGTACGGTCTCGAATTCGCCTAGACTTGAAGAAGGAACGAGACAAACTGATACGCAAGAAGCCAATCAATGAGCTAGCACTGAGAGGGAAAGTACAGGAATTCAGAGTCTCGCTTCAGAACAGGTACTCGGCTCTTATCGAGGAAAACAGCCTTAGCATTGACGCAATGAATGATAATCTGACGAGTGTCATTACGGAGTGTGCAGTGTTTTTTTTGAGTGAGAATTTATTAGAAGGCAGAGAGGTCGGCCTGAGCTAGTTCGCTCTAGCCTGCTACTCTACACAGGGGATAAGGGAAAGGGGAAGGAAAGAGGGATGAAGGGTGATGATGGGGACAAGAAGAGGTGGTGCGTATGTACAGTAGCCACTTAGCATAGTACCCTACAGTCTACGTATGTAACTGCGCGGTAGTAAACACGGACAACAAGAAGATACAAGGACAAGCGCAGACTATCAACTGAAGGTTTATTTTTCACAAACCACATATATATGACTGAAACAGAAACAGAAAACACGAAAATCTACAAAAAATGATGACTTAGCACTTAACAATCGACAAAACGTGAACGTTTGACAAAAGCATATTCAAGGACCATGTGCGCCACTTGCCAGATACCGTAGCTCTTTATCTAAAAGAGCTAACGACGGTTTGCTGACGCAGTGTTCTGGTTCCCGTGCCATTTTTTCCGCTTCGACGATCATGCGGGTATGATCGTCTTTGTGCCTGAACATTACGACCGTGCTTTCGAACTGCGCAAGGCAGCCACACCTACTGACGTGCTGAGCTAAAAAACCCTCATTGCCAGTGCGCACATTGCGTGCATGCTCGCGCAGGCGCTCATTTAGGCATCTCCCAGTCTGCCCGATGTAACATGCACCACAAGATAGCACCACAAGATGTAACATGCACCACAAGATAGCACCACAAGATAGACCTGTCTGAAATAGCAAGAAAGATAGAAAAAAGTGAGAAGTTGGCCCTAGAGATGTTTTTTTCGGCAAAGACACACAAAGTCGACGTGCCATTTCGTGTCATCGTTACAGAGAAGGGTTCTTGGCAAAACGCCTTAGGGATGTTTTTGCAGAAAAAGTTGAAACTTTTAGAGATTAATGATCCCTTTCTAGTCAGGAATTCAAGGGAGGTCACTGAATTCTTCAAAGAGTATTCTAACTACACTTTGAGTGCTTTTTCCATAGATATCAAAGATTTATATTATTCTCTCCCTCGTGACGCTTTGTATTCATGCATAGAAGAATGTGTTGATCTAATGGGCCACGTAACGTTCCAGAATGCAGCTGGTGTCAGTGTTAGCAGTTTTCTTGACCTGCTAGCTACCTATCTGACCTCTACCTATGTAGAATGGAACGGTGATGTTTATCAAAATAATGGCGTGTCAATAGGATCTTCGATTGCACCGATTCTGAGTGATTTGTTGCTTGCGAAGTTCGACAGGAACTTGAAAGAGCGGCTGAGTTGCCAGGAAGTTGTGAGGATTTTCAGGTTCGTCGACGACTACCTGGTGGTTTTTAAGTGTGAATCTGCTAGAGTAATGGGGTTGTCATCTGATGTCATTGAAGTTTTTAGTGACTGCTTGAGTCCACTCGTACTGACCCATGAACTCCCAGTGAACAACTCGATTCGCTTCCTAGACATGAGACTTTTGTTCAGCGTGAATCACGCATGCTGGATGTATGAGCCTCGCGCTATGAAACCGCTTTTGCCTTTTAAATCAGCGCATAGCAAATTGGTTAAGAGAGGCATAGTGAACTCCTGCTTCACTAATGCCCTGGACAGATCATGTTTCCATATGATGGAAACAAGCTTCCAAAATCAAGTTGAGCGTCTGAAAGAAGCTGGCTACCCGGATTCGCTTCTCATTTCTGTGGCAGAAACAATAAAAAAAAAAATAAAAAAGAAGAAAAAGCCCAGAAGCAGAGAGAGCACTAATGACAGAAACAAAAACAAACGTGACAAAGTCGCGGTAATCCCTTACAAGCACCAGCTATCTCACAAGATAAAAAAGCTCGGTCAGCGCATGGGCGTAAAGGTCGTTTTTTCGGCACCTTACAAGCTCTCTCAGCTAGCCAAAATGACATGTGTAAACAATAGTCCCAAACAAGCTTGCACTGTCAGGCATAAAATCCAGTTTGTCAGATGTGACATGAATGTAGTTTATAGAATTCCGCTATCTTGTGGTGCATGTTACATCGGGCAGACTGGGAGATGCCTAAATGAGCGCCTGCGCGAGCATGCACGCAATGTGCGCACTGGCAATGAGGGTTTTTTAGCTCAGCACGTCAGTAGGTGTGGCTGCCTTGCGCAGTTCGAAAGCACGGTCGTAATGTTCAGGCACAAAGACGATCATACCCGCATGATCGTCGAAGCGGAAAAAATGGCACGGGAACCAGAACACTGCGTCAGCAAACCGTCGTTAGCTCTTTTAGATAAAGAGCTACGGTATCTGGCAAGTGGCGCACATGGTCCTTGAATATGCTTTTGTCAAACGTTCACGTTTTGTCGATTGTTAAGTGCTAAGTCATCATTTTTTGTAGATTTTCGTGTTTTCTGTTTCTGTTTCAGTCATATATATGTGGTTTGTGAAAAATAAACCTTCAGTTGATAGTCTGCGCTTGTCCTTGTATCTTCTTGTTGTCCGTGTTTACTACCGCGCAGTTACATACGTCGATCATGAATCACCAACTCGCCCAATCGTCCACCTTGATTACCTACAGTCTAGTTTCTAGTCCAGTGCTTTTTATAAAGTCTAGAACAGCCTTTGTAGCAGTTTTTGACACTGTTTGGTCGTTCATTGCTGACAATATGTGGCTTTCACTTAATGGTGTTCGTCCAATGCTTGCAAACGTTGCAGTTAGCATTTTTCATTGCGCCACGTATAATGCACAGTCACAAAATATGTGTGCTATCATTTCGCGCACTTCACAGCGTTAACAATTTGGGCTGTCCGCACGGCCGATTAGGTGGGTGTAGTGGCGAGTGAAGGCGACGCTCAGGCGAATTCGGTGCAGTATATTAGCATGTATTCGGCTGATTTTATCTGGAAGACGAAAAGTCATACCGGGGTCTGTTTCCCGCAGGCGCTTGTTCCGGTGATCTGGTAGCGACCAGTAAGTGGCAGCGCATTCGCGCATGATTGAAGTTGGAGGCAAGGTAGTTAGACAGGACACTTGCAAGCTTACCCAGAAAACAAAAAATCTCATTAAGAATCCTCAAAGCATGAAAGTTTCAAGTACAACAGACAAAATAGAACTGGCAGAGCTTTCAAAGTTGATTGGTATCCGATGTAAAAAGGTATGCTACATGATGCAAACAAGCAAAAAAAAAGTGTTTCATAACTGTCACTATGGCTACTGGTGGCGCTGATCAAAGCCCCCGTGTTTAAATGCACATATATGCCCTATAATGTGAACAGAAAGATTATCACCGCTGTAGCTCAGTGGTAGAGCATCGGACACGTCATGTGAAGGTCGCAAGTTCGGCCCCTGCTGGCAGGAAGTTATCTTTTCATCCACTTTTCTTTCCCCACATTTACATTACAGTTACTACTAAATAACATACCCTACACTTTCCTTGGCATCTTTCTCTCTTTATTCTCAATAATATTGACTGTAATTAGCAGTATATGCTGAAGCCACCATTCTGAGTTGTATTATCCACTTAAGGCTCAATGAATGAGGGATTAGACTGGTGAAGTTAACGAATGTTGTTGTATGGAAAAAGACAGTTTTACAAAAGGCTGTTTCAGTGGGTCACTAAGTATAGACAGCTGGATTAGGTTGTTGCGAATGGTATGTAGTTCGCTACTCATGATAATTTCTACGTCAAAGCCTGAACTCGCCAAATAGTCAACTCTTTTAAAGGTTGTGAATAGAATCATGGATAGAACACTATTCCTGCTCACAAACAAACATGAATCGGCAGACAAAGACACCAAGAATGCCAGTAATCTTGCGTTCTGTCTGTGCTCATCCATGTGTATTTGTATTTTCGAACCATGTCTTGTGATTCAATTTGGCAGTTTGACCTGAACCTGACAGCTGACCCACCACAACTGCATGAAATGTTTTCTTAACATTAATCGGTACCAACTTACCCATATTTCGCTTCTTCACAACCTTTTGTTTACTATTTTATCAATGCTGAAATATGCTGTCAAATTTTTGGCTTCGTAGGATACGGACACCTGATGTTGTTCCCAACACCGTGCGGCTCAAGAATCAAGGTGAGAGTCAATCAATGGAGATGGGAGCACTCAGCAGATTATTATATACGGCTATGCATTTATTCAACCTGTAATGTGATCGTGAGCATGCTAATACAGTTAAATCCTTCATATAACTAATTCCTTGATTTAACGAAGTTTTTCTATTCTCTGCCGTTACTCCATGGAAGCACATGCATTCGCAACCTTATGTAAAATAATGACAAGGCGAAACACCCTTGATATAACAAAAAACATGTACAATCTGGGAATTTGCCCCAGATTTTTTCATTTTCGCACAAGCATGCATCTTCCGCATTTGCCCTGCCGCCCCACGGCGCGCTCGTGGCCCCGACAACTCCCTGGCAAGGGACGTGAGGCGAGCAGGCAGGGCAGGCAGGCCTGTGCTACCACAAGGCGGCGTTGCCGCCAGTCTTATCGCTGCGGGTGAATGCGTGGGTGTGCCCTACCCCTCCCTACAAAAAAAAAAAAAGTACTTTTGCATTGGCAGTGCTACGGCTTTTAGTTAGTGTCACGTATGTGGGATCGCGCTGCGTATAAAGGGTGCTTTACCGAATAGCTTTCTGCGGTATCCGTGTTGTTTTGTTTTTCATTTTCTATGCCATGCGCACTTGCATAGTTTCACTGCACGCGCGTGGTGGGACCATCGATGATGTTCAGCTTTGCTTCTTTTCATTGTCTTTTTTAAACGCAGACAACCGTGTCGTCAGCCACTGATGGGATGTCAGATTAAGTGCTGATGGAAACTCTCCGATACCAAAGTGACAATCTGAGGTTGACTCGTCCCGTGCCTCCGTTTAGCGCTGCGAGTTTGAGGGACTCTAGCCTTCCCGATTAGCACTGGCAACACGACAACGCGTTGAATGCAATGCAATGAATGTGATAGCAACGAATTGGCTGGCAGCCAGCTTTTTTGGATTCGATATAGCGGAACTTATACAAAACCTTGGTGTAAGCAAATACGGCCGTTCCAGGGAGAAGTAGTGGTCTGTGGCCGCTCCAGGGAGTGGCCGCTCCAGGGAGACAGAGTAGTGGTCTGTGAGGAAGATGCGACGGCCACCAGGTTGGTAGCTTGCTACCGTGCCTATGATAGTAGCCATTACTTGCAAGAGCTGCACTTTTCCTAAATTTTGCTTATTGCAAAGGTTATTTTAGTTATTGATTCCACCAACTGTATGTATATGTTAAGGCTATATCGGTTAAAAGCCAAGTTTGGATAATTATTGAAGGAAGTTATTAGAAACGTAACTGAAAAAAACTTTGTGCTATGGGCCTATACCATAACACAGGGTATAGGCCCATAACGCAGTAATACATATTGGCTCCCCATCTGTGATTATATTTTTTAAAATACTTACTTTTAGGGAAAGAACAGTGCACGATGGACAATGAAGAGATTTTTTAATCTAATGAATACACGCCAATGCGCCCGCCTTGCCATTTTGAAATAGTACATCATAACTAATCCACATGGGCAGTACTTGTTGGTTAAAGTGCGATGTCACGTATCAAACAGAGCAGCTTTACCTTTTTTTTGGGGGGGGGGGGGGGGGGAGGAGCGGTATAGGCTTGCTGGGATGGCACCAGTGCTTTTGTAAGAATGTTGTCGGAGTGACATAGATCTACAAACTAATCAGTGTTTCTATCTAAATGATTCGGTTTCAGCACTAAAATTGGTCGAATGTCATTTGCCCTGGAAAAATCACCAGTGGCCACTTTTTGGAAATGTCAAAGCGGCATGGGGCTTTTTTCAGCGAGGCTTTCAGGTTTCCAGTTTGACCCGACTGCCTGTCTTGATAAATTAAAATGTTACTTCGATTTCTGTTGTTAGGGCCATAATTATTATCTCTTCAGTCACATTAATTGTCCCTCATTCAGGAAAATTTCTTGAGAGCTTGCTTTCTTAGTTTCATTTACAAAAATCTGTGCATATTTTGATTCTGATTAACGAAGTTTTTTGGCATTATGCTAATGTAAAACCAGCTATTATTTTCTTCAAACAGTGATTCCACTTGAACGATTTTCATTTATCGCAAATCTGCAGTGTTCACTTGTTGCAAGCTCATGATGTATCATTGAAATTTATTGGTCGGCTTAGTTGTCATTTGGAGAGTTGTGGTAATAAAATATATAGTTAAAAAGTTTTAGAAGTGAAAAAACACAAGTGGGCTTTCTGCATCAGCTACATATATGTGCAAGACTCGTGCTCATGGCCAATTTTATTAACTAAGGACTGCGTTTGTGTACATCGTATGGCAACGTGTTTCAGTTAACAAATACTATGCATGCCCAAAGATTGTTTTTTATCCTTCATCAGAAAGTACTTTATGTGCAGTTTTCAGTGTGTAGCATCTAGACAACATTTTTCATTTTTCAGAGCATGTTTAGGAGGCAGACTGGTCTTAGACATCTTCTTCTTGCTTATTTCTTCAGTGACCTTGATCAAACTGCACAGGACTATGCAGTTTTTTTTTGGCTGATTTCAATATTTAACCAGTGTTCCTGTAACTCATCTTGTTCCCGAGATAACCTAAGTTCACCCCCTATTGTTTAAGGCAGCTATAGAAAAAGAGGTGCTTAATTAAAAGTGACATTTAAATATGCCAACATACACTAATGACTATAGATTGAAAGTATGCAAGAGTTTTTGGTTTTAGGCCTTTCTTGGTTATTTAAAGCAAACTTAACTTTCTGAATTTCTGAACTGAATTTTGAAAAGCAGTTGGAATTGTGTTACAATTTTGATGAGTGATTAATTAAAAAGGCTTGTGCTGTAAATTCTGCTCCCATACTTGCATTCTACACACATACAAGTTTCCATTGCAAAAAAAAAATTTTTGTACCTGCCCTAGCTGCAGAGATATTGAGGCCTAAAAATTGAACATTCATAAATTTACTTTTTTGAGAAAATTGGGAAAAACTGAAAACACACAGCTTCTTCAAAAAGCAGCAATCGTGGCGCTCATGTTATGCGATCCTCATAAAGGTGCTCATAAATTCATAGCAGAGCTTCTATAACAGGTGCCGGCAAATTATAAAAAAGCCTCGTAATTGGTTCCCCATTTTTTTTGCAGGTTCTGAATGTTAACAGTACCAAGAATCTGGACAGTTAGAATGACATTACACGAAAATTACCACTTCCTGGTGTGTTAAAATTTGCAGAGAGACAGAAAAATACTTGCAGAAACCAAATATGTCAATTTTAAAATAATTTTTTTGTCATTTTTTGGTCCCAAAGACCAGTCTGCCCCCTTAATTAGTGGTGCCAGTGTGTCTCAGTTTACTCACCGCGCAAGATTGTATGGCACGTGCTTGCTGAGTATGTTCCTCTCGTCGTGTGGCACTTTGATTTTTTGCGTGCCTATTTGTGAGACCAGTCGTGCGACCCCATTTTCAGAGCTCCCCCAAACAGTGCATCAATCCGTGTTTGGAGCAACACGGTCAGAAGAGCGTCCCCTGGGTCTGGAGCAGCACTGGCCGCAGTTGGATCTGGTGCCGGGATCGCTCGTGATCGACTGGTCCTTGAACCAAGTAGCGCACTTTGTGAGCTCCCTGCCAGGTTGCCAAGGCCTCGCTGCCACGTTTAAAGAACAGGTGAGTGGCATTTAAGTAGTTCTGGCAAGGTTCAACGAGGAATTACTGGTGATTCGTAAACAGTAGGCGTCTGTGGAAATGGTCTCTCTCGGATGTCACAGCAAAGGGCATCACAGAAGAAAGGAGTGCTGTAGTATCTCACTTAACAATCAGGGTTGCTTAGTAATGGTTATACTCCTAAATTATGTCATCTAAATGTGCAGCACCTTGAGGGGGCGGGATGTTGTGTGCTGTCATCATCACTTGGCGTAACGCTCCACGCGTAGCATGTTGAGCGTTTACTTGCATGAAGAAGAAGTCTTCTCGTTTTTTGAATGCCTTGTTGATGAACTTCATCGGCAAAAATAACTAGTATGCTTTTCGTAAACCAGGCAAAACTGCATACAAAAACAGAAGAGGAAAGAAAGCAAGTGCGAAATGAAAGAAACAGAGAGGGGGGGGGGAGATATGGGAAAGAAATAGAAAGGAAGAAATAAATAGAAATAAAGAGAGAAAAGATAAAAAAACTGCAGAGGAGGAAAGAAAAGGAAAACGCCGAAGAAAAACAAACAGGACTGCCCAGCCCCGCACGTTCTCTAGTGGCTTAGCACCACTGGTGCAAAGCTGCCTTAATTTCTTTCCTTTACATCACAATTGAACTCTGAACTCTGCTGCAAATGTAGTCTGCTAGATTCTGTTGACTACCCTTTGCTGTACAATGTACTTTGGGAGTATAAATCATGAGTGGAGGTGGCAGTAATGATGTGTGAGCTAGTAGCAATAAAGCTGTGCCTTCCTGCCAATCTATGCCAGAGTGGGCTGATCAGAAGGAACGTGGATTGGAGTTGGTGGTGCATTATTTTTGTGCCTTTCTTATACAATGGTATAAAGAGGCCTTGTAAGTAGACTGCAGAAGACAGTCTGCGGGGTTATGGTGAACATTTGGTTCAAACTGGCTATCTTGCTCCAACACTGACTTCAATAGCAGACTGTTTGCTGAAGTGGCACATTTTAGTAGATGGAATGTGACAGTACCATGCAATGAGCCGTAAAAGTACTGTAACAGATCTGTTCTACCTGCATCACATCTCCTTAAACCTAACAAAAATATGCCACAAAGCCACAAGTGAACACTGTATTCTCAGTCCATGCATGAGCCTGCTTGAGAGAAAAAAAAATGCCTGATGTTGCTTGTTCTACTCTGCACCACAGGTTTTATGCATGTATAATATCTTCTGTCTTCCAGAAAAATATGCATAAATCAAATTGCCATGCCCATAGGTGAAAGATTAATGGTGTAAACTGGGTCATTTCCAGGTACATACTTCATCTCTTCATCAATGGTAGCTCGCATGTGTGAATGCAGCACATTTTTATTTTTATTTTTTTTTCAGGAAATCGATGGTGAGGCCTTTCTACTGCTCAGTCAGGCAGACCTGGTGCGCAACCTCCGGCTCAAGCTTGGTCCTGCCCTCAAAGTTCACAGCTGCATTTTGCGCTTCCGCAGCACTCTGGCCCCATCCTGAGCATCTTGCAGTACTGCTCTGGCCCCTTCCATGATGACACGCACATGCTCACACAAAGACATACACCTGTTGTCCATACTAGCACTGCATCCCCCACCCCCCAATGGTCCTTGTCTGTTTTTGTAATCTCTGTACAGCAGCTACATCTGCCTACTCCAAGAGTGGCCTCTTTAGGGAGAAGCAGTGGACGTGTTTGTGATGCCACATTTGCTGAGCCTGCATTGTGACATAAAATTATGAGCACGTGCCATGACATTGTGTTTCGGAATAAAAAGAAAATTATAATTCCATGCAAGTGCAGCCAGTCTTGCATTGACGCATGATGCATGCTTGTACAATACTGATGGATTAATACTAGGCAAGTGTTAATAGTAAATTTTTGGAAATTTTGGAATTTGGAATTTTTGGAATTTTGCAAATGCAAAGCAAATAAAGATTTCGTCAAGTAATTTTTAAATGAATACGAATATTATATATTACATATATTATAAAAAACTAGCATACTTGTCATGACCCAACTAACTGCACAATATTTTTTCTGGTTGAAACAAAGCATGCGCAGATGTTATTCTTTTTGATTCAAAGGAACTGGAAGCAACTTTCAATAATATTAGCAGGATTTGACTTGCGGTAGAATGCAAGGGATAATCTGTAAAACGCGTTGCGTTTTATTAAAACTTGCTCTGAGCATATCAGCCAGTACAACAAGCCTTTGAACTTGCAAAAATGATGAATCGATGTAAGGGTAATATGTTCATTTAACCTTGAAGTGGGGCATTGCTGTGGTGTTCATTTTTAACAAAAAGAAGACTCTCACTTCGGCGACATAGGACTAGGACTACATGGCCAATTTGGTTGTCCTCGGGAGTTACTTAAGCTTCAAGCTGCAGAGCACCAGGCCGATGTGCAATTTTTCCTCCTTTTTTTTATTTTGGCAGCATTTCGAGGTTGTACACCCAAATAACCATGCTCCAGGTAAGGGTACGCCTCGACCTATCAAAGAAAACCATTGGGTTTCTGGCTTGATGTGCCACTCGCACCCAGAACCTACCACTTGGAAAGCAGATGCTGTAACATTTCGCCATGTCTGCTGTGACCTCCAATTAAAGAACTGTATGCCCCTGTTGGCAGGCTGAAACTATTATTGTCTTGGGTGGCAAGATGGCATCTTTGGGCCGGGTAGTTCAGAAATTGTTTTTGCCAGTCAAGTGAGCGATCATAGAATCAAGATATCATTTTTATCGAAATCCAATGCAGCTTCCAAGATTTCTATAGGCATAAATGCCGAAAAACAATCGAAAAAGTTGCGGCCCTTATCACCTTAATGGTGAGGCAAAACGTTTATCTGATGTGAGATGGACCAAACTAGTGGTCGATTAGGTGGTAAGTTCCCCTGAAACGTTTTCCTCACTGCAATGAATACCAAAAAGCTGTCAGAAAAGCTTAGGTTTTTATCACTTAAGATAAGGCTCAACTTTTGTCTGTCTTTGTGCCTTGCAATATGGACCTATTTCAGTCCCTTCCGAGCTAAGTTTCCCTTAAAGTTTGCTGCACTGCAACATGCCGAGAACCAGACAAAAAAGTTTAGACCCTAGTCGCCCATGATTAGGGTCAACTTGTTTGACGTCACGCCTGCAAGATTGACCTGAGTAGTAGTCGGAGGTAAGTTTTCCCTGAAACGTTTGCTTCACCACAACAAATGCTGAAACTCAGTCGAAAAAGTAGAGGTCCTTATCACCTATAATATGGCTCAACTTTGGTCCGACGTCATGCCCTGCAAGATGGACTTTAAGTAGTAGTCGGAGGTAAATTTCCCCTGAAACGTTCGCTTCACTGCAATGAATGCCGAAAACCACTCGAAAAAGTTGAGGGCCTTATCACGTATGATAAAGCTCAACTTCTGTCTGACGCCATGCCTTGCAAGATGCACTTATTTCAGTCTTTTCCGAGCTAAGTTTCTCCTTAAAGTTCGCTTCACTGCAAGAAGTGCCGAAAACCAGTCGAAAAGGCCAAGGCCCTTATCAGCTATGATAAGGCTCAACTTTTGTCTGACGTCATGCCTTGCAAGGAGCACCTATATCTTAGTCCCTTCCGAAATAAGTTTTCCCTTAAAGCTCGCTTCACTGCAACAAATGCCGAAAACTAGTCGAAAAAGTTTAGGACCCTTATCAGTGATGATAAGGCTCAGCTTTTGTCTGACGTCATGCCTTGCAAGGTGCACGGATTTCAGTCCCTTCCGAGCTAAGTTTCCCCTTAAAGTTCACTTCACTGCAGCAAATGCCGAAAACCAGTCGAAAAAGCTGAGGCCCTTATCAACAATGATAAGGCTCAACTTTTTTTTTTTTTTTACGCGATGCCTTGCAAGGTGCACCTATAATTTCAGTCCCCTCCGTGCTAAGGTCTCCCTAAAGTTCGCTTCACTGCAATAAAGGCCAAAAACTAGTCGAAAAAGTTGAGGCCCTTATCAGCGATGATAAGGCTCAAGTTTTGTCTGACGTCACACCTCTCACTATGCGTATATTTTGTACCACTGGGGTCAAAAACGCTCAAAAAAAATTTCCCACGGTCTGTAATGTTGGGAAGCCAACTTTATGTCGCGTACGAGTTGTACGTGACAGGAAGTTGGCTTTTCTGCAGCGCAGACCGTCGTACGCAGCAGGAAGTTGGCTTCTCAACATTACAGACCGTGGGAAAATTTTTTTGAGCGTTTTTGACCCCAGTGGTACAAAATATACGCATAGTGAGAGGTGTGACGTCAGACAAAACTTGAGCCTTATCATCGCTGATATGGGCCTCAACTTTTTCGACTAGTTTTTGGCCTTTATTGCAGTGAAGCGAACTTTAGGGAGACCTTAGCACGGAGGGGACTGAAATTATAGGTGCACCTTGCAAGGCATCGCGTCAAAAAAAGTTGAGCCTTATCATCGCTGATAAGGGCGTCAACTTTTTCGACTAGTTTTCTTCATTTGTTGCAGTGAAGCGAACTTTAAGGGAAAACTTAGTTCGGCAGGAACTGAAATATAGGGTCACCTTGCAAGGCATGACGTCAGTCAAAAGTTGAGCCTTATCATCACTGATAAGGGCCTCAAATTTTTCGACTGGTTTTCAGAATTCATTGCAGTGAAGCTAAATTTAAGAAGAAACTTAGCACGCAAGATACTTTGTTTAAAAAGAGCGCCTTTTCCAATTCTTTTGATTTGCGAGTGTTGCCGCACTGCGGGAATATGTAATCTTTTTTTCTTGCACTATAGCCTCTGAAACTCGGAGGTCACACTTGCACAAGTGTTATTAAGTTCAACTTTTTTTTTTTTGCTTTACAACCGTGTGATGCATTGAAGTTTCGGTTTCGTTCTTCAGTCGGTTTTTGCTTGGGCGCCTGCAAGACTAATGGCGTTCCAGTATGTATAATTTCTCATTTATTTCTACCCGGTTATACGTGATTACACCTGTTGCTACGCAGACGTGCTGACTGACACTGTGGTCCCTAGAACTACAGTGTTCTAGAAGGTTCTAGAACACTGTACTAGAACTGACACAAACGAAATGTGCAAGTCATTGGGTTGCCAGCATTGCCAGCTCTATGCACTTTTTTACTGTGGCGCAAAATACATTTTCGCAAAAAAAAAAAAAAAAAGCGGTTGTGGGGAGGGTCAGAAGAGAAGAAAGTGAAGCGCCGAACTATCAACTGCTAAATAGACTTAGAAACGTACCAGAAAAAGAAGATATGTCCGCAGATATGTCCGCGCATGCATGAACAGCCAATATATGACGTAGATGCCAGTCATACACAACGTTACTAGATCCTTAACGTTGAATCATACAAGCATCACCATCATCATGTGACGTGCAGTGACATGGTCAAGACATTTTATCAAGAAAGCACATTTTTGCCGAATATAAAGTTGTATAAGTGTCACTGACACAATCGGAACCCCCCATTTCCCCCCCTCTCTAATGAGTGCTTCCAACAACTCGGTTAATTTTCATTTTTTTTTCTTTCACGATATGAAATTTGCACCAATGTAAGCACCAATCCGCTCAAAAAGTCCTTTCGATGCTTCCTCGAGTTTCATGCCCATCATTCTGTTTCGTTGCACACACCATCATTCTCGACTACTACCTGGGCTTCTTTAACATTCTCAAAGTTTATGCCCCTACAGGTTAGTATAGCAGATAGAATGCAAATATTGAATACTTTCTGCTTTCGAGACATCGATAGGTGCTGTAGTGCTTTGGGTATGCTTGCTCTACACGCTCCATTCATCACGGGAGTGTCTCAATAAATGCGTTGCAAGGTTCTTCAAAAGAATTGGGATGTTTGCTCACTACCTTTGGCAATGCTTTCTCTGCAACAGCAGACGAATACAGAATATAATTATGGCAGCAATTGTGTAAATTAAGTTTACTACCCTATTTAGCAATGGAGACTCCAGTTGGCTCAAAATGAATTTAATGAAGGCCTACCTGTGAAGAGTCCGGTGTCACTTCGAAATTTCAAAGCATCAGCCACCACAAATTTGTATGAAGTAATGAACATCGATTAATTTCGCCTGTAAAATCGAAGCCGGCGCTTCGAAGAGCACAACTGCCATGTCGCGCAGATGTCCAGAATGATGGGACTGTTTTCAAAAACGATTGCAAGTTCTGCATTTGTTAACCTATGTGCTCCATGAGTGCTATCACAACTAGTGATAGCAAGCAAGTTTGCGCACTCACGAAGCACGGTAGGTCAATGGTTGTTCTAATGACTCACTCATTCTGGACACCATGGACGAGTACATCAGTTGCAATAAGGGTAGAATGCACTATCGCTTTGTGCCCATATCAAACTGTGGTCACTACCAGTTGTAATCAAACCAGTTCTGATGCAACACAGTGAATCTTGAGGCACTGAAACACAGGCATGCAGTTTGTCTTGCACAGCCGGCAATACTAACTGCTAAACATTTGAGTCACTGTGGCACCCTGAAAGAGGGGCCCTGCCTGCAATAATTTACCTGCTGCTTTAGTTCACTAAAGCTTACTGCCTCTTTTTCCATGTTCACCTCACTCCATTTATTGAGCATATGGAGCGGAGTAGCAACACTTTTTTTTGTAAGCGCTGCCTTTTGATGCAATAACATGACACTCTCACAGAAATAAACTAGAAGATGACTCTGTGATAAGGCTTTATTTTTGGCTGTGTTAGATGAGCGCTTGGTAACCCTGTGACAGGTACAAGCATGGCTGCTTATATCACGCTGGGATGTTGCCAGTCATATGCTCCAGCTGTGCAAAGCGTGCAGCAGAAAGCAATGGCACGAGACGTACGACTTCGTGGATCACTGTCACGGTGTTTGCTGGGAAGCAGTGCCGCACATTCAGGCTTGCGTGAGGTGCCGAGACTGTATGTGGCTAGAAAGGGGCAGAGACAAGTCTCGTGCTGTTCTAGACATGCATCTAAATGTGATAGGGGAGGGATAGGCCTGTATCTTTGGAAGACGTGCTCATGCGTCATATGCAGCACCATATTTTCACTAGAATAGCAGTGCGGTGTGTGAGATGCAAGCTTTTCCCTGTCCTCGCACAGTTGGATGATACAAGACGAATACATTACACAATTTTCACACAGAAACTTGCTTCATTGGTAACTGCCAGTTACGGCATCTTTGGAGAGCGTTTCAGTCCTTTCATTTCCACAGACCCTCACTAACTGATGCTGGCTGCAGAGAGAAGGAAGCCAGCTGGCTACCTTCGTTTACAGACTACGTAGACAGTGCAGTGACAAGAGACTTCATGATCTCTGTGACTACCCTGCCCCCTTCTATCCACAAAAGTCGTGTTGTATGCTGTCATCAATGGTAGCTCGCTTGTGTGAACACAGCACGTGGTTTTTCTTTGCTGCGATGCAGGAAATAGATGGCTATGCCCTCCTGCAGCTCAGTCAGACAGACCTCGGAAGCAACCTCATGCTCAAGCTTGGTCCTGCCCGCACTGTTTACAGCTGCATCCCGCACTTCTGCAGCAGCCTGGCCTTGTCGTGAGCACCTTGCAACGCTGCCACTCTGGCCCCTCCCATGATGGCACGCACACTCTCACACAAAAACATACACCTGTTGTCCATGCTAGCACTGTACCCCCCTCCCCCCACACAGGGCATCGGTGGGGTCCATGAAAAGCAGTCCTTTTCTGTCTTTTGTAATCTCTGTACAGCACCTGCGTCAGCCTACTCCACGGGTGGCCTCTTCAGGGAGAAGCAGTGGATGTGGAAGTGATGGCACATTTGCTGAACCTGCATTATGACACAAGATTATGAGCACATGCCATGATGTAGCATATCAGTGTGTGCCTATACATATATATATATATATATATATATATCGAGCACGTTATTTGAAGGTCGTAGGTTCGATTCCTGCTCACTCACGGCTGGTTATTTTTTCACCCACTTTTCTTCTTATTTACATTACATTTGTTCTAATAACTTCCCCATATACATTCCTTGGCATTATTGTCTGTTACATCTCATTAATATTGTGTCAAAACACGAAAAAACACGGCTTAGGTATACACCTCTTTCCTATATATATATATATATATATATATATATATATATATATATATATATATATATATATATATATATATATATATATATATATATATATATATATATATATAACCACACCGTTTGCTCACACACTGCCCACATAGGACCGATGTCCGCTGTTGCAAACTCATCCAGGGGGCGCCGCATACCCTTCCATCAATACAGGTGGATGTCCTCACAAGATTAAAGAACAAGGTTGTGACACTTGCTGGTTGCACTATAGAAACAACAACGAATTTTTCTTTTTCGGCGCTGAAGACATCACTCAGTGGAGTTGTCTCATGGTTTCCTTTGTCATCCACATATCTTGCCACAATGCAATTTTAGTACTAGAAGGCAAAGCATTGTAGTTGTGCACACATGCAAGTGGCACTGAGACACGAAAAACTGGTAAGCGCAGATGCAACACTGGTAACAAATCAAATAAATTTATCGAGGGCTCATTTTACATAAAATCCAATGAAACTAACAGAAAATCAAGCCAAGCAATGTGTAAGGGGGTTAAACTACATTCATTTAACTGTGCTGTAGTAATTACAATATAAGTGTAAGGACATTCAAGAGTTATAGCTGGCAGATGCAAAACAGCACAAAAGAACAAGGACTAGAAAAGAGTGAACACAACATGAGCGCTTGTGTTGTGTTCACTCTTTCTTAGCCCTTGTTCTTCAACACTCTTATGCCTATACCAGCTATTAATCATTACCAACTTTGTTTAGTTTTCAATTAGACATTGAAGTGTCTACACATTTTTATAATAATGTGACCACAGCTAAGAGCAAGACCCTAGGTATGGTTTCCTTTCGGCAAACTTGATGTCTTAGTGTAGTATGAGAGGGATTACAGCCCATGCCCAATTTTAATGAACTCCCTAGGAAAGCGGTCTCACAAAATCACTAGGCTTTCTCACACAATGAGGCAGCATCACTGGCGGCGCGGCAAGTTTGGTTTATCACCTGTTAAATGCATGCGGTACGCATACCACAGCACTAGGCCTCATGCAGTACTGAGAAGTTAGCTGAAGATGCTCACATAAGGATTGTTAGAGATCCAGCCACACTGGCTAGTTTCCCACCCGTCGCCATCATGCCTGAGAGCACTTTCGGTGCTCATCCGTCCCTTTCAAATTTTTTATATGATTCCCCCCATAGAGTTTCGTACAATAATACTTAGAGGGGAATATGGCACTAGTGTCTATGTGGGCTCCTTCAGCCGGGCTTGTACCACCTATGGGAATTATGGCAGGTACAGGCTTCGAACGGACCGTATTTTTGTGATTCACGACCCTGCTTTGCCGAGTGTAAAACAAAGTAATTAGAAATCATATCTAACTGAAACTTGCTTCATTCTTTTACACATTAAACTTGTTGCAAAAAGTTTCTATGACCATGAGGTAAAAGTAGAAACCTCGACAAATTTTGCTCTGCCATTGTGTTCCACATTTGGCATCAAGATACAATGAATCATTTTTTACAACACTTGAAAACAAACATCCTTGTTTTTGTCTCTAAAGTAGGCTTTATCTATTTATGGAAATGACAGTACAGTATTAAGTGAGAAACACTTAACAAATCAGTCTGCTGCGAAGCCAGGTGCGTCTGCCCAAGTGTTCTGCCCCAAATGCACCTCTCGTTTTGTTGTGAATTCAAGCGAGAGGAGGGTGATGGTGAGCTTACTTAGCTACGTCGTCATTTTGCAGTCGACTTCAACAAGTTTGGCAAGAAGCGATTATAAAAAGTGTAACTCGATGCAATATCCTGCACTGGCATGGGATGTTACATCTATGCACAGCGGTGAGTGGACAACGCTCCACTAAAACTGTCAAATACGACTTGTAAAGCTCCAATGCTACGGCAAATTAAGAAACCTAGCGGTCTTCAGCCTCTCTGAGCAACAAAAGCTATGCTTCAGTGTATTGCACCGCACACCACTACCCACGCTGCGTGAAAAACGAAACTGACACTGTAGGAAAAAACTCGTAGAGAGTTCGCCAGCTAATGCAATCTAATCCGAAGCCTGCACTTCCGATAACTTCCGTGGGGATAGAATGATCGCAATGCTATATTCCTCTCTAGGTATTATTGTATGAAACTAAATGTTTCACTTCATCACACTTTTGCAATTTCTCAAAACTGTTGCTACGGTTGCAAATGGATCAACTTACAAAAGCATTGGCCGAACCTACCGTATTTACTCGATTCTACCGCGCCCTCGATTGTAACGCGCACCCGATTTCCACCGCGAAAAAAAAAGAAAAAAAGTAAGACATCGATTGCAACGCGCACCCATTTTTCTCGCTGGCCCGCACGATCACACCACTCGAAAAAACGACTCCTTTCGGGAGCGCCTTCCATTTAAATATGAAGTACGGGCGAAGCTTGTGCCCATCTGACGTGTAACAGAGCGTTGCCGTCACTGTAGTTTTACCATGCACGGATGCCAGCACGCGAACTTGCTTCGCCCCCTTCTTCTCGATGGTTGTGGTGCCAGGCATGTCGAAGTAAAGAGGCGTCTGATCGGCATTCCCGATTTGCCCAAGCAGGTAGCCGTTGTTGCGCCGCAAGTTTAGGACGAACCTCTGAAAACTGTGAAGCTTTTCATCGTACTTTTCCGCAAAACTTTTCGCATATGCATGTTCCCCTTCGGAGGGAAAAGCCTTTCCTCTTCATAAATTTAGTTAGCCAGCACCTGCTCGCTTTAAACTGGCTCCACATTAGACCTTTTTCCAAGACTAATTGCATAGACCGCACTTGGAGCAGTTCTGTCATCACGGGCCGCTGTGCCGCTCGCTGCTCCAGCACATACTCGCCGAGCAGCTCTTTAATTTGCGGAAACCGACCCTGCTGTGGTCCACTGAAGCCTTTGCGTGAAGCTTTGCTGTCGACAATCTTCTGCTTTTGTTTCCGCCGGTCCCGCACGCACATTTCGGGAACTCCGAACGATCGCGGTGCAGCCCGATTTCCGTCCGTTTCTGCACACGCGATGACTTAGCTTTTAAAAGCGGCATCGTGGTGCACTCGAGTTTTTGGAGTCGGCCCTTCCACGCCGTCGATGCTAATGCACTACTAGATGACAAACTCCTCAGCACACGTACGAAGTGCCGCACATGGGAAACACATAGGCAGAAATGGCCGACGCGCCATGCCGACGCACACGGGGGAAGGAAAGGTGCCAATGCACGTAGGGGGCGGCCATTTTGGATTTGCCGATGGCAATAGATTGACCGTAATTTTTTGTTCGTACTCGATTCTAACGCGCATGCGATTTATGAACTCGCTTAACCGGAAAAAAGGTGCACGTTAGATTCGAGTAATTACGGTATGTGACAACAGACGTGGAAGGGATGAGGGCTTTACTTATTGCTATTCAGGACCTGAAGTTTAGGCAGAAAGACAGAAAAGTCAGAAGCTTAAGAATAAGCGCATCTGAAATTTTTGACATTTTATACATTGACTTCTAAGAGACTTATGACGGTGCTACAAAAAGGTTCATACTTACAAACTTGTCTAAAAAATTGATAGTTGGCTGTATTGGTCAGCCGCAAGCTCGTAAAAATATGTACCACATGACGTCAGCTGGCAAAAAAAGTGTTCTATACTTGCGGCCATGGCTATGAGTGGCGCTATCGCTCCCAAATTTACATTCACAGAAAAATATACCTAATGAAGTGGACACAAAAACAATAGTCACTGTAGCTTAATTGGAAGAGCATCAGACATGTTATCCAATGGTTACAACTTGGGCCTCTGCCAAGGGCTTGTTGTTCTTTTCATCCACTTTTTGTCCGGTTTTCTTTGCGGACTTTACATATACATTCGAACCCCTTTATAAGAGACACTGATATAACAGACAAATGGGTATAAGAGACATCGGTTTGCTTATGCTGAAATAGGGGTTGATAAGGAAATGCACATGTAGTATTCTGCTTATGAGAGACACCTCCCATAAGGGACAGGAATCGCTCCCGTGTGCATACCTTTTATAAAGGGGTTCAGCTGTATATCATAATTATTAAAGTGTAGTTAAAGGACTACAATTACCGTTCCCTATACCTTCCTTGGTTTCATTGTCTGTTGGCTTCATCAGGTTGCACATGACAAGTAACCAGTGAGATTTCATTCTAAAAGACACGTCATGCAAGCACGGACACAAGAAGGAAGTCGCAGCACCGCAACTGCCGACTAACAACTGCAAAGGCACACAATGTCGGAAAAGAAAAAAGGAACAAAAAACTGTCTGGGTATGCCCATGCAAAATGTGAACCTATCAATCTGGCACGCGTGTGGGATTGATAGTGACAGATAACTATATTTATATATGTGACAGATAACTATTAAGGCATTTGATTTTGTCTTTCTGCAAGTTAATCAATGATTAGCTCCCATGTGTTACCACCATTATCGATATGCCTAACCTAGATATTTAAGCAGGTTTTTTCATTTCTGTGCCAGCACAAAATGCATTCATTGAACTTCAACATGCACTTTGACCCTCAGCAATGTAAAGAAAGGTTATAAGATCGTTTGTGTTCAATAATCTGGTTGATAGAGTGGCCCATCCGACCTACGTAGCAGCAGCTGCAGAAAACGAATGTAATGGCAGTCAGTAAATTTGTTGGCGTGCTTTACGAAACAAATTTCAGTCTGCTTCTTGTCTATTACTCACTCATTCTTCTTCTGCATAGCGACACAAATTTCACCCAATTTATTAGCAGCCATAAAAACAACATCAACGCCATATCTGCTTCCTACTTTCTTTAGTCAGTGAGATACACAATGAATGTAAGGAATACCTATAACATGTTTCTTCTAATCGCTTTCTGCAACCATGCAAAGACTCTTTAAACATTAAGCGACAGTGGCCACTAAAATGCGATGATAGCCTACATATAAAAAATGCTTAGCCTGTGCTTCATATAACTCACATTCATTTTGTGCTCACAAGAATTCGTCAGGGAAAGCATAAGGCAAATTTATTGCCCATTTTTCTGCTATAAAGTCACCAGCACCACATATGGCCGTGAAAAACACATGCATCCAAACAGCAACCAAGCTGAACCAACTTTGAGCAAATTCTCACCACACAGACACCGTAGTGGACATGTGCAAGAGCCACCAAGGAGGCCAGCAAGCAGAGCACAAGGGTCTCATCAGGCCTGCAACCACAGGCAGCCGGCCACGCCAAGTGCCACGGGGAGAAGCAGCAGGTTCAACGTTTCGCACCGCGTTGACGTCATCTGGCTGATGATGAGACGGCACTAAAGAACAGAGGAAGACCAATTGGTTAGGTTTCAATATTTATTGTCATTGCCATTTCCCCGTGTGCTACCATTCTATTATTATCGCTAAGCTGCAGTTCACAATCTCTAACCAGCATAACATTCTAGGTCAGCACTGTGGGAACCATTTTCTCTGGTGTCTCTGTCCTTCTTTTCTCCAGCGTCCTTATCACTGAGTATGGAAAAGGTGTACCTCAAAATTTAAAAAACAATTCTCTATCAATTTTTATTAACCTTACGGAGCTAACACATCGCTCCTGAAAGCAGCGAAGGTGTTATCACCCCCCGTAAGGTCGTCTGCGCGTCATGATGCACGAATTTTGTATATTTTGGTTTAACAGCCGCCCAAACTGCATTTAGGATGCCGCATTCAGCTTCGACAGCTGCCAAGCATAAAGTGGCGCTGTGTTTGTGCGGGTGAGAGTTAATGCTGGCACCACCACGTGGCTGAAGCGGTAAGCTAGGCCGGCGCACAGAAAAAAACAGGGATTCTTTTAGGGTTTGGTGGCTGGCGTTGATGGATGTCTCCAGAGGTGAGTCCGGATCATCTCCCATGGATCCCTTGTGGTGCGTCGACCGTTGGCAATGCCACATTCACGGCACCTTGTTATGTTGCTCGTATGTCGTATTGGAAGGTTGTTTAGTGTGTCATTAGTGATATATATTATTTGGATAGTGATATCATCATTAACAAAGCAAGTGAATAAGTGTACACAAGTTTGTTAGTTTGTAGGAACACGTATGCTGTCTCTGTGAGCTCGAAGAGTGCACTGAAACTTTGCCAAAGCCCCCAAAGCACAAAATACACTACAGCTTATACACTACAAATACACTAAAAAAATCAAATGTTTGTCCTGTGTCCTTCTTTAATGGTGTCATTGATCTAGCATTTACAGATGCTATAAAACAGGACACCTGAGCCAACTTCTGTGCTTGCTTATAGGATATTTGTAACTGAGAGAGTTACAAGATAAGTCCATATAACACTTTGGAATGAGCTGTATGTAGTAAAACAACAGCACAAGCTCTAAATTCACTTCAATAAAAATTATGGTATGTTGAACATTTGTGATTGAAATCTCAGCTTAACATAGACTCTCTTGGTAACGTTCAACAAACCACAATTTTTGTTCAAATGAACTTAGAGCATCTTGTTTTATTGCATACAAGTGTCATTCCAGATTACTGTTATGTGCTGATTTACTTTGCCACTCTCTCAGTACAGAAAAATAATTGCATAATGAAATCAACAAACAAACAAATTCAGCCAGCTTTATTAGTGCTGATAAAGAATTTTTAAAAGATGCTATACAGCAGTGTCCCCCTATAAGTCACTGTTCCAATTTGTAGCAACGGGACGCTAACTTTCACCCAGATTCGGCTGACCTGCTTTCACTTGCCAAAGAACATAAGTCAGCACCCTGTTTCCAAGCAGTCAAGCGATACAATTTCCATCTTTACTGAACTGAACTCTTGACAGGTTCACTTGACCTGCACGAGTTTATTCTATGAAATGCACATAAAAAAAAAAAACATCACCATCCTCTCAGTGTATCATGCCATAAAAGGCCCATCATACTAATTCCTTCGAATGCACTGCAAAGAAGGTGCTGACTTTTTCGTGCAGAAGCTGGGAGAGCAATTTTCAGAAATATTGCACAGCAAGTACAATTGCATGCACAGAAAAAATGAGCACACACCGCACACAACTGCCAGGCACTTCTGTACATATAACTGGAACGATCATTTTTGCATGCTTAGAGGAGTCCCAACTCATAAGCGTAAAGCATTAACAACCTAAAACTACGCTTGAACAATGTATTGAAGATATCTACACTAACTTGAACTAATGAGAATTTTTTACCCTTTGGCATGTAAATCGTGTCAAGTAGGTTTACTGGCAGTCTGGCCTCATTAAAATGTTCTCTGCAACCTACTTGAGCTTTTGATGTTATGATCAAATTTATGATATCACATCACAGTCACAATGAAGTGCCAACAACTGACCAAGAAATTATAGCAGATGAGTGAATGAGTAACTATCCTGCCTGTAGTAAAGCCCCCTCTGCTGTGTGAATGACAATTGCACAGTACAAATACAAAAGACAGAAAAAAGTATAATTCACAGAGTCAAGGCTGTGTTTGTTCTTTTTTTATGTAGGCATAAGGCAGTGGGGCTGCTGTTCAAACAATTGGTCTCTTTCATAACTAAACAACAAGCGACTGAGTAGGATGCACTTGTCACAACCAACAAACACCGTTAATGAGAGTGACATGCAGCTGGCAGCAGATACGTGACTGGCAACAGCTGTGCAGTTGTAATTTATGCTCCAACCTTGTCAGAACTAAGGGAAGTTAGCCAAACAAAGACACCGCTGTCATGTGCTGTCTAAAGGACAGAATGTGTAGCAGCCCTCATACCGAAATTGCAGCGTGAATTCAAGACTCAAGGAACTGCGAGTGATTCAGTTCAGACTCGAAAAGGGCAAAAGCATCAGAGCAGTAACTACAAAATATCCACAGATCTACGCCTGCCACTTGATATTCCCTTTACTAGAGAAACTCTAGTAACAAAAGCATGAGTTATATCTATTTTGCACCAGCCTAACACATTTTTACTGTGCTTTTAGTGCCACCGGCCTACACTATGAGCATGCATCAGCTGCTGACACACACCGTAGCACCTCATGACAGCAATTATTTCAAGTTTAAAATGTAAATTCTAGTGCTTTACACATGCATACCACCTGAAAGACAGCACTATGTGAGATGGTTATAGGAGTACACAATGAATTCACATAACAGCTGCCACTAATGCATCATTGTTAATGTCCTATTTCCACATTACAGGCAGTGAGTGGGTCACCCATGAGTTAATTTTTTTTTATGTTGTGGCCACAACAGCCAAATAAAATTTCCCCAGACTTGCAATGTTAAGGGAAGATGCAAAAATATTTTTTTTCCAGAACACGTATTTTTGTTTTTATTTGCATTCACATGTTTATTTTCTCTACTTTCATGATAAAGAAACTGAAGATTGTAGTGAAGCTACAAGCAGGTTATAATTGTATTTGAAAAGCACCAAGTGGCTATTAATAAATGAAGATAACTCTGTCTGTAATGACGTAAAAGTCTCGGCCCTCCAATAAATGACGAAAATGTTTGATGGCGAGGTATACCGCTAGGAGTTCTCGGGCAAATGTACTGTATTTTGTCTCTGGTGGCTTCAGTTTAGGCGAGAAAAACCCAAAGGGCTGCCAACCGGATACGTGCTGCTCGAGAACAGTGCCAACTGCCACGCTTGATGCATCGGTGATGAGACGAATTGGGGCATCAGGGACGGGATGTATGAGCATGGTAGCGTCTGCCAAAGCCTTTTTGGCAGTGTCGAAGGCAGATGCAGCGTCCTTGGTCCACTCCAGTGGTGCAGCCGGTCTTTCTTTTTAGCCAATAGGTCGGTCAAGGGCTTTAGAAATGTGGCACACTTTGGAAGAAAGCGGCGATGGAAGTTTAGTAGGCCCAGAAATTCTCGGAGTCTCTTCAGTGAAGTCGGGGGTGGAAAGTCTTGAATAGCCTTCACTTTGCTGGCGAGTGGGTTGGATACCCTTTGGAGTGACAAGGTGGCCTAGGAACTCTATTGTAGTGACGCCGAAGAGGCACTTATTGGGATTAATTACGAAGCCGTAATCATCCAGGCGGTGGAACAGGGTGCGCAGGTGGGCTTCATGCTCAGGGCCGGATGAACTTGCTACAAGGAGGTCATCAAGGTAGGCAAATACGAAATCGAGACCTCGCGTGACCTCGTTGATAGTGCGCTGAAAGGTCTGTGCAGAGTTGCACAATCCAAAAGGCATCCTCACATATTCAAACAGACCGAATGGGGTGGTGATGGCCGTCTTCGGAATGTCGGCGGGTTCTACAGGAATCTGATGGTAAGCCTTCATTAAGTCAATCTTAGAGAAGATTGTCCACCCAGCCAAATTTGATGTGAAATCCTGTATGTGAGGAAGTGGATAGCGGTCTGGTAAGGTGTGGGCATTGAGAGCGCGGTAATCCCCACATGGTCTCCAGTCGCCAGGATCTTTCTTCGGCACCATGTGGAGTGGCAACGCCCAGTTGCTGGAGGAAGGCCGCACATTGCCGAGTTCAAGCATGTGCTCAAACTCACGGCGGGCGATGGCGAGGCGTTCTCCAGATAGTCGACGAGGTCGTGTAAAACGGGAGGTCCAGTGGTCACAATGTGGTGAGTGATGGAATGCTTCACCGGTGACTCTCTGGTGTGCGGCTTCGTGATGCTGGGAAAGTCGTCGAGTATTTTTGCATACGGCGAAGCAGGTGTGAGAGCTCGCAGTCCCGTTGGCGAGGAAGTACAGAGTACACCGTTGATGGAGAGATGGGTGTTGAGATCAATGAGGCGATGAGCATGCATGTCCACAGCAAGGTTGAAAAAACTGAGGAAGTCAGCTCCAAGAACAGCTTGCGAGACGTCAGCGAGGATGAAAATCCAGCGGAACGTACGGCGTAGTCCAAGGTCAAGTGTAAGAGAGCGTTGGCCGTATGGGCGAATGGCGGAATTGTTGATCGCTTGGAGTGGGCAGGTCTGTTCGTTGCGACGGCGATCTACACACGAGGCCGGGATGACGCTAACCTGGGCTCCTGTGTCGACTAGGAAGCAAGCGCCAGTGATCTTATCAGAAACATAGAAAAGGCGGCATTACTTTCGACCAGTACCACTTGCCGCCGTCAGTGGCTGGTTGTCGCATTTCCCGACCAGGAGCATGGGCGAGTGTATTTGCGAGCAGAGGCACCGAATAGGAGGTGGTACCAGCACACGGTTGAGGATGAAACGTCCCACGGCGCATCGAGTGGCCAAAGTTCCGGAGAACGTGGGGGCGTGGAGGAGCGACTGTGTATCTGGAACCTGGATGATGGTCGACGATGCGCAGGTACAAAGTCATCAAGGCGCCTGACAAGGGCGTCCAAACGGTTCTCGATGCTCGCGAGCGCCGGGTCTGCAGCGGTGGCCGGTGGCGGTGTGGTAACGGCGTTGAGGCTATGTGCCCGCGAGTAGTCCGCCACTCGGTCAGCCATTTCAGCGAGTGTGTCTAGTGGGACATCTCCTGCAGCTACGAGGACCGGGACCATGCTCTGCGGTAAGCGCTGGAGGAACAACTCACGTAACAGCTTCTCCTCTTGAGGGGCGGAGGGGCCGCCAAGGAGCTGGCGCATGCGTTGCAGGAGCTGTGATGGGCGACGGTCATCGAGCTCTGTAGCCGTGATGAGCTGTTGGAGTCTGCTGTGTTCGGAATCAGACTTGTGAGAAATCATAGCTGCCTTCAACGTGTCGTGGGGATGGCTCGGGTGTGGCGACGCTAAAATATCAGCTAAGTCGTCGGCTACGTCCGGAGGTAAGGATCTTTCCCGTGTTAGCGATATAAAGTCCCCTGGAAATTGTCACCTGGCTGCTTGCCCTTGCATTTCACATGAGAAGCTCACTAAATATATGTGCTCAAAATTGCCATGATTGCCAAGCTCTCATGAAAAGAGAAATCATTTTAAAAGAAACATATCTTTGCCGAATGGATGCACTTATACCTTTAAAATGCGTTTGTCTTAAGATCTTTTTTTGGGCAACTTCTTCAGTTAGGACATCATGTTTTGGTACTTCTGATAGACAGATCAGGATGAAATTTAGCCCAAGTATTCTGTAACATGTGAAAAGTGTAAGTATCTCCTTCAAAACCTGTAATCGCCAATATAAATCTTACAAATTAAAAAAAGAACAATTAGTACGGGCTGAGCATTCTAAGAATTCTTACACTACAGCTTTTGTTGTCAAATAAGATGTTTTATACGAACTTTCTTGACGGTGATTTGGTTCGACAGTTTATGTGGAGCAATATGAGCCATAAATGGCTCAGAACCATAAAAGTATAGTGGCATAAAAAGTTGATCCAAAACGAACTATATTTACACAATGTCATGGCACAAAATGAAAACTGTACAATTCGCTATAAAACTAACTAAATATTTGAAATCAGCATAAAAGCCAATATATACAGCGAGAACTTCATTGCCATAAGGCTACAGATCAACGAAACTTTTCTTTTTAGAATTTCATCTCCCCTTAACGTGAGAGATGATGTGGCTCACCGATATGTTGGAAAAAAGGGTGCCCAGCAGAAAGTAGAAGAGACGTGGCTGATGACTCAGCACGTCGTTTGGAGATGCGGCCTGCCCAGCTCATGGCAAGCACAAACAGCACCACACCAGAGAGCAGAGGCCGCACCTGCCTCCCAAAGACTGGGCTGTCGCAGGCGCCCGTCTTGCCAGGCACTGGGATCAGCAAGGAGATTAGGATTGTAACTATTACCAACAAGTTCAGTAATTCTATTAAATGGCCAGTAAAGAACCCTAAGGTCCGAAAATTGTTATAAGGATATGTGCAGTTTTGCTCTTGTGAACATGCTGCTGCAAGAATTTGCAAATACATGCTATATTAAGAAATGTTACAGGGGTTTGAACATCGTTTCCAGCTGGCTTCAAATTTTCCCGCAGCCTTGCCACTTTTCTTTCTCACAGGGAGGGGAAGGCGCAGCTAGTCATAGGTGACCGGTTTAGACCAATCCATGAGCTGTGTGCTATGTCAAGTAGCCAATCAGTGACTTTGCATCACTGCACATGAAAGAAGGAATTGGTCAGGCATATGAAAGGAGCGTGGGAATTCGTATTTGGAAATGGAGGCTCTGCGCAGTGCACAGCGCTGCAATATTCGAAAAACGTCATCACCGCTGTCTACTGTACGAATTGCCGGGCGTCTTTGAGGCGGTGTATAAAAGAAGTCGGAGCCTGCTGACTGGCCCTTAAAATAGCAAGGTATGTATGAACAGCTCCAATGGAATTCAGCATTCCAAATCAACAGGGTAAGTAAAACGGAGCAGAATTCCTCAAAGTTAAATAAAACTTGTTTCTGTGTAACACTAAAAAAAATACAGCTCATTACATGCTGTTTCAGTAAAAAATCAACCATTGTGACGAAAGGAAAGCTTACAGCCAGAAGCATCTTCACGATGACTTGGCTTTTCGTGGCCAATGTCAGTGCAAATCAGACATATCCCAGCATTTCCATGCAGACGATAGCATTGCAGCAGCAGCAGTTTTCCCTCGTAACTAATTGTAAGAATATTTATGTGTTTCACTACATAAACCTCGAATTAATTATGCACAGCTGTACTGATGTAATCTTTAGTATTTTTATAAACAGGACAGACCAAAGCAAGACAAGTCCATATTGTCACGTGCGTCTTCGTCACTGGAATCCGCAGAAGACGAGGGTGCGGCAGACAAGGTTTATTAGTAAGGAGGCGTACTTGTGCCTCTCGCTTAGGACACAAAAGGAACACTAACAGGATCGGAGCGGCGTGCCCATGCACAGCTGCCGTTCCACCAAAGAACAACCCACAGCTTACGCGCTGCCAGTTATTTAAGCGCTGAGAAGACAACACAGAACATGCGCACACCTATCATCAGATATTGCACTGTCTGATACGATGGGCCCATCGAAAGTTAATCGCAGTCCGCTCTAGCCTATCTAAATGACGCAACAGCTGTCGCTCTATAGTGGCAGCTGCGCAGAACCGCATGGCACGTGGCATTGCTCCCCCCTTCAAAAACATCTCCTCTATGTTGAAAGCAAGCACTGAAGTCATGAAGCACTGAAGTTTTCACACACAAAAAAATAGAGGAACAAGCGCACATAATGTCTGCTAGCGCGCATAATAGGGTTTCAAACGCACGACGTGAACAATTTCAGACCGCACACGTCGACGCTGGGAGTCTGTCGCACCACCCGGGACGATTTCATAGATCATTGGCCCTACGCGACGAACACTTTTGTAGGGGCCAAAATAACGGCGCAGAAGCTTTTCGCTGAGGCCTCGTCGGCGAACTGATGCCCATAGCCAAACTTGTTCGCCGGGTGTGTATTCCTGATGGCGGTGTCGCAGGTTGTAGTGTCGGGCATCCGTCGCTTGCTTGGTTGCCGTTCGCAGTCGAGCCAGCTGCCTGGCCTCTTCAGCGGGTTGTTGTAATATCGCTTTGTCCGGGTTCGGGTCACCTTCGTTTACATGCGGCAACATTGCGACCAGAGTCGTTGTCGCTTCCCGTCCGTAAACAAGAGCGAATGGTGTCAGCCCGGTTGTCTCCTGGGCGGCCGTATTATATGCGAAGGTGACATATGGGAGCACTTCATCCCATGTTTTATGTTCAACATCGAAGTACATCGACATCATGTCCGCCAGGGTCTTGTTGAGCCGTTCTGTGAAACCGTTAGTTTGCGGGTGGTATGCGGTAGTTCTGCGATGGGTGGTGTGGCTGTACCACAAAATGGCTTGCATCAGTTCGCAACAGAAGGCTGTCCCTCTGTCAGTGATAACGACCTGAGGTGCACCGTGGCACAAAACAATTTGGTGAACGAAGAATCTGGCGGCTTCTTCAGCAGTGGCTTGAGCAAGTTTCTGCGTAGCGAGTCAGGTAATCTGTCGCCACAATGATCCCCTTATTTCCTGCGGTAGACGTCGGGAAAGGTCCCAGAAAGTCCATTCCGATTTGTTCGAAGGTCCTTGTTGAGGGTTGAAGTGGCTGGAGTAGTCCAGCGGGTTTTGTTGGCGGTCTCTTGCGACGTTGACACTCTCGGCACGTCCGTACGTAATGCTTGACGTCTTTTAGAATGCGCGGCCAGTAGTAACGCTCACGGATCCGCGAAAGCGTTCGTGTACACCCAAGGTGTCCGGAGGTTGGTTCGTCATGTGACGCCTGCAAGATTTTCTGACGCAATGATGACGGCACGACGAGAAGGTAGGTGCTCTTCCTAGAGCCGAAGTTCTTTTTTACAAGGACACCGTCTTTTAAGCAGAATGTGTGAAGAGTAAGCCTGAAAGTTTTGGGTATCTCCGTACGTTTTCCTTCAAGATGTTCAATGAGACAGTTCAGTTCAGGGTCGGCCCGTTGTTGGGCGGCTAAGTCGGAAGCGGTGATCATGCCCAGAAAACTGGCGTCGTCGTCTGCACACGGTGGTGGTTGCTCAACCGGGGCTCGAGACAGACAATCTGCGTCGGAATGCTTTTTTCCGTTCTTGTGCACTACCGATATGTCGAACTCCTGGAGCCTTAAGTGCATCGAGTATCACTTTTAACCTGCTGATGTGTTTCTTGAAAGATGGAGCGAAGACTATGACGTCGTCCAAATACACCAAACAAGTTTGCCATTTCAGGACAGCCAATACAGTGTCCATTACCCTTTGGAAAGTTGCAGGGGCAGTGCAAAGTCCAAATGGCACGACTTTAAACTGGTATAGTCCATCTGGTGTAATAAACGCCGTTTTTTCGCGATCCCTTTCGTCAACTTCCACCTGCCAGTAGCCAGTCCTTAGATCCATAGATGAAAAGTATCTGGCATTGCAGAGACGATCGAGGGCGTCATCAATTTGAGGGAGCGGATAAACGTCCTTTCTCGTTACCTTATTGAGTCGGCGATAGTCGACGCAGAATCTTGGAGTGCCGTCCCGTTTTTTCACGATCACTACAGTGGGAGGGCTCAATGATGTTGTCATGAAGCATTCCTTGTACCTGTTTCCGGATTGCCTCGTGCTCTTTCATGGACACACGGTACGGCGATTGGTGACTTGGTTGCACAATTTCATCAGTTATGATGCGATGTTTCACAAGCATTGTCTGGCGGATCTTGGGTGACGTGGCGAAACAATCCTGGTAGCTATAGAGCAGTTTCCGCAGCCTTTCGTGTCTTTCCAGGGGCAACGCCGCATTCACGTTAAAGAACACGTCATGTGTACGAGGATGGAGTGCGTCGTCGATCGTGAGTACATCGCTTATGTCCGAGATGGTCTCGAATAGTGCCACAGTGGTGCCCTTTGCAAGGTGACGATATTCCGAGCAGAAATTAGTGATTAGTACACTGACGGTTCCTTCAATGATGTGAACAATTCCTCTGGCGATAGCCAAACCTTTTTCAAAGAGCAAACTCTGGTTGGCCTCGACCAAACCTTCCGCGCAGATGCAGCTGTCAGCGCCCACGGGGATGACAGCACTCGAGCGTGGTGGCAATGTGACGTGCTCGTCGAGAATCATTAGCGCCGCTGATAATGCAGGACTTGGATTTTGCGTGACGCCCGTAACTGGTGACAGGGTGATTGTTTGCGCTCGAAGATCTATGATTGCTTTGTTTGCAGAAAGGAAGTCTGCACCGAGAATGACGTTCCGAGAGCACTGGTCCAGGACGACAAAAACAGTAGGATACGTATGCCCTTCCACATCCACACGAGCTGTGCATCTTCCCTTTGGTGTTATGACGTGACCGCCTGCTGTTCGTACCTGCGGGCCTTCCGACGAAGTCAGCACCTTCTTCAACTGATCGGCAAACACCGCACTCATGACGGAGAAGTCAGCACCGGTATCAACCAACGCAATTACGTCCCGGTTGTCGATTTTCACTGCCAGATCGATCGATTTCACCTTGGCGTTGCAGGTGTGTCGTGGTGTACTGTTGCGGCTTAGACAGAACTTAGTGCTGATATGCCGCTCGTGTCTCTTGCACGCTGCAGGTAGTGTTGCTCCACTGGGACTTTCGGGCGGGGGAGGGTCTTCAGGGGTGCGCCGGGCAGCAACCACACCTCCATTGGTTGCCGTCTTTAGTTTCCCAAATGAGGGCTAGGGGACCTTCCCCGTGATGCTTCTGTGCTGGCAGGGTGTGGCGATGGGTCGTATTGCAGCAACTCCGTGAACCCCCTAAATTTCGCGGAACGCCATGCGACGACCCCGAGGACTGGCTGGAACAGTTATAGCGCGTGGCGGCCATCAACAAGTGGAATGACGAAGTGAAGTTGCAGTGGGTCTATTTTACACTGGAAGAGTCTGCGCGTACCTGGTTTATCAACCACGAATCCGTGCTTAGGACGTGGGAGGATTTCAAAGGCAGCCTTCCTCGGACGTTTTCAAGCGTTGCTCGCAAGGAACGGGCGGAGAGGCAGCTGCATTCACGCTTCCAGCTCCCTAACGAGAGCGTCGCTGTCTTCGTCGAAGAAATGAAGCATCTATTTGGTCGAGCAGATCCGGAAATGCCAGAGGAAAAAAAACTCAGATTCCTTATCAGAGGAGTGAAGGAAGAATTTTTGGCTGGATTAATGCGCAATCCACCGCAAACTGTCTCCCAATTTGTAACGGAAGCAGCCACCATAGAAAAGATTCTCGATGTGCGGCGGAGACAGTATGGACGCCCTGCTCTGGTAGGCGGTACGTCGCCGGCCGAGCTTAATGCTGTAACCATCAGCAACCTTCGGGACACCATAAAAGCTTTTGTACAAGAGGAACTACGGAAGATGTTCCCGAGTTCTTGTCCTCAAGTCGCGACGTTGAGCGATGTCGTCAGACAAGAAGTTCAGCAGGTGCTGGGGACCGGACCATTAGTTCCACCAAGCCAGGAGCCTGAGTGGGCTCCACGAGGACCGCAAATCATGTCGTACGCCGCGGCCGCGCGCAACCCGGTGCGCCACGCCAAACCGACATACTCTCCACCGCCACGCCCACAACCAAATGTCTACCGACCTCCTGCTGAAAGAACCGAAGAAGGTTGCCTTTGAAATCCTCCCATGTCCTAAGCACGGATTCGTGGTTGATAAACCAGGTACACGCAGACTTTTCCAGTGTAAAGTAGACCCACTACAACTTCGCTTCGTCATTCCACTTGTTGATGGCCACCACATGCTCGAACTGTTCCAGCCAGTCCTCGGGGTCGTCGCACGGCGTTCCGCGGAATTTAGGGGGTTCACGGGGTTGCTGCAATACGACGGTTGTTGGCAACTGGGCTTCACTCATCTTGACAGGCCTGGCTTCTATCGTGGCGGGTAGTTTTTCTGGAAGGAGGCCGTGCTCCGGGGGAAGTCCTAGCTTTCGGGGGCTCCTTCTCTGGTCGTCTTCCTTTGCTTGGTGAGGACTGGTGTCATGGCTGCACGAGGAGTTACTGAACATACCCAGCAACTCCACCAGATGTCACGTGCGTCGTCGTCACTGGAATCCACAGAAGACGAGGGTGCGGCAGACAAGGTTTATTAGTAAGGAGGCGTACTTGTGCCTCTCGCTTAGGACACAAAAGGAACACTTAACAGGATCGGAGTGGCGTGCCCATGCACAGCTGCCGTTCCACCAAAGAACAACCCACAGCTTACGCACTGCCAGTTATTTAAGCGCTGAGAAGACAACACAGAACATGCGCACACCTATCATCAGATACTGCGCTGTCTGATACGATGGGCCCATCGGAAGTTAATCGCAGTCCGCTCTAGCCTATCTAAATGAAGTGACGGCTGACGCTCTATAGTGGCAGCTGCGCAGAACGGCATGGCACGTGGCAATATCCCCACCCACAGTATTGCATACCTTATTTGTGTTGACACATGAATACGCACTCACCGATGAATGTTGTACAGACACATGGGTATCGTCATAAAGAAAGAGCCAGCTGAAAAACAAGAACCATCACTGTTACATACCGTGAAACAGAAGTTCAAAATGAATTAAAGTTCAGTTCCAGAGTTACATAACTATACTGTACTGCGTGCCACAATGCAAGGTTTTAGGGTAACTTAAACAATCTTAAAGACGCAATCCACATAGACCAAAAAAGAAAGGGGACAGGATAGGACCTATCCTGTCCCCTTTCTTTTTTTTTCATCTGTGTGTATTGCGTACTTAAAATTTTTTCAGTGTGAGCAAACTATCCCAACAACACGTTGTAGTATTAGGGCAATTTCGACCTACCGGATGTATTTGGACATTCTTAATGCATGCCGACTCTAGACAGATGCAAATTTTTACATATGTGCATTTTGCCCCCTTGCTGAAGTGCATATGAACAATTTTAAAGTTTAAAAGTTCTAATAGCATTACAAACACAAGTGCCACATATTTTTGTCTTGGGAAACTCAATGAAACTTTTTTTTTCTGTTTTCATAGAAATGCCTTTACCAGAAAAATACTTCTTGCCAGAATTGCTGCCCAGTTTTTAAATACTTTACCTCACTTCCAGTCATCTAAAGCATCCCATTCCCAATCAGCAAAATCAACCAGAAGACACCATACATTCCCATTTACAATGTAAAGCAAGGACACTTTGGATGAGCTTCTAAAATTGACTCAGCTTTTACATCGCAGTTATGTCTCATGATGATGGCTCCATTACACTCATTCTAGCAACTAAGCATGTAAATTTTATCAATCTCTGGCCCAAGAAACAATTCAAGTTCACTTCATTATAGTTCACTCTATTAAGGTGTGACTGAACCAATCAAACAGTGCACATTCTCTTCTTTCATTTCTCATATGTAAGGAAACATACACAGTGGGAGCTCAACAAACAGAAATCGCTTAAAGAGAATCGCCACTGTGCAAATGGAACAACAAACCCTGAAGTGCTCTTAGTTCCGTGTTAAAGTAATGCAGAATAGTCAATCGGAGTGTAAATTTTCTAGACCTTGTATATTTTTCCGCAAAAGGATAGGATGTAAAATATATACTTCCTTTCTATCCAGAATATCATCTTCAACCAACAAAGGCTTTCTCAGCCATTGATTGGGGCAATAAAAGCTATGCTTTTTTTTTTCTTCACCACATTATCAGCACCTCTTCCAAGTTCAAGCTAACAAAGCCTAGTCCACTCGGTAGCCATGATTGCAACCCAAACCACAAGAAAGAACAGCAGATACATCACTTCTTTATGCTTAACATGCAAGAAGGGTTTATGGCGGCTTCTTATGCCCAACACTCATATTCGCTTCCTTATGTTTAGCATTTGAGGGACCTTGACACACCGCGCTGTACGTAAAAAAATTTTCTCAGTACACATAATTATTGCTAATTGGAACACACTTCACCACTCCCGTGCAGCTTCGTTTGACCAAGATTGTACCGTAGTCTGATTACAGACAAAATTTAACTGGGTGTAGGTTGTTAACATGTACTTAAATGTGAGAAAGTGAGCACTTCAGCATTCCACTGTATGAATGCAGTAGGCACAGCCAAAGCTCTGCAGACAAACAATGCACCAGTGACTGACCGTGTAGTGTCAGTTCGAGGCATTCGCCAGCACCCCATCCAAGGATGGTGAACTTCCACAGCCGGTACGAATACAGGTAGGTCAGCACAAAGCTTCCAAGAAGAATCTGCACACACAGGGGAGAGAAGCAGCAGTTCAGCTGGCGTTTGATGCAAAGCCAATCAATGCATGAACTTTCAGAGGTGCGACAACGGTTATAAATGCATAGCAAAGCTGATAGCACAGTGTTTACTTTTAATTATTACTAAAATGTTACGAAAAAGGCATACTTTTGAAAAATTTTGACACATGAAGTAGTGTGGAACCAGTCTGGTGCGTAAATTGTTTGGTGCATAAGAATGTACGAACCAGACGGACGAAACACAAGTGGTTTTACATGCTGTACAAGTGTACATCCAGAATCATGCTTAACTAGTTTTCAGTGAATAATCATTGGGTTAATCACTGTTCGCTGAAAACATAGTTAAGAGCAAATAATTTTTGCTTATTACCCCACTGCTATAGTATACTGAATGGCATCCAAAGCCTGGGCATGTTCACCTTGGTGTAAATCTGGTAAACATTAATAAAAACTTCACTGTGCAATGAGGCAGTACTTGATTTCTTCTTGTCCACCTCCTACTGAGCCAACTAAAAACAACTGCTAGTGGCAGGCAGGGTAGACCCTCTCACAACCAAATATTCTGCTAAAATAGAGGGAGGTCTGGTTAACGATCGGTAACATCTGAGCATCACAGTCCTTGTATTAATTTTTATTACTATTCATTTTCGTCAAAATAAAAAATTTCTAGACTCAAGTATCTTGATGTGCTATCACAGGCTGCAGCACTCGCACCTTATGCACCTCTCTAGAAGTAATTTACCAGCTGAGTTTTTCAGTCACTCCTTGCATCAGCATTCAGACATGCCATTGACCGAAATTGTGGAGGCCTGCTGAGTGCAATACCACCTGTACTTAAAAAAAAAAAAAACAAAAAAAAAACTCGTAAATGGCATTTTTGTGTGTTCCATTTCACAAGTGTGCAAGCAATCCTGCATACACTAATTGAACAGTGTGTTAACGCTCAGGGCTCACATTTCGCAGACGATAATGCAGACAATGTACATTTAAACCTTCCTGAAAAGTACTTCTAATTCTTGCAGAGGCAACCTATGCAACAACAGCGAAGAGTGCAGTGATTGTGGCGATGCAGTTCTTTTCCTATTGTCACACCCAGGTGGCAAGTCAATTCACTCTATACCACAAATTTGTTCATGGGCCTGTTCTGATTTCAGAACAGTGTTTCGTAACTGATATAGTCACAGGGTCGTGAGTTGGACGAAGGGAACAGTCCGCGTCTTCAAGGTGAAAATGTTGGCTTGGCCGAACTTGTGGCCGATAAATGGAAAGTCAGATTGCAGCAACGCAATGGCACTGACAGCAACGAACAAAGTGTCGGCCGTCGATCAACTGATCATCGCTGGGACGCACCATCTTTAACACATCACGCCTCCAACTTTCTAGCCTTATTACTGGTGGTCGCGCAAGTTTTGAAATAAGCTTGAGTTTTTGCACGATGAGCACAACCTTAACAAATTGATTTACTACAGTTATGAAGCTTCTCGAGCACTGCAGGCGCGGTTTGTACTGAGCATTGCATACAGTCTTAGTACGTAAAAACAGAATACAGCAGAAGTGAAATAAAAAACGTGCATGGCAGTATGTTCGAAGGACTTGGATTTACCCATGAAGGAAGACTGTGTATGAGAAACTATACATATCACTCCATGAAAGCCCTTAAACCATTCAGAGGGGCGGGAGAGCACAATTGATTCCCAATGACAGGCTGAAAACAGCATGTGTGTGGCTCCTACCATCTGGGAAATGTCGTAACCCCAGGGCAAGTAGAGGATGCCCGTGTTGTATTTCTCCCAGTGGGAGAGGATGAAGCAGAAATGAATGTTGCACAGGACAAGCAGGAAGCGCCACGTGTTGCAGCTCATCTCGGCTCGACCAAACACCGAGTACAGGCACACTGGCATGAACAGGGTGGCCCAGCTGTCCAGGCCGTGGTCAAAGAGTTCGCCCAGTGGACCACTGCTTCCAGTGCGGCGAGCATGCTTTCCATCTATTCCATCTGCAACAGAGAAAAGGTCGATGCGATTTCCTGGGCTTAAGCAGCTATGAGAGAGGCTATTATGGAGGTGTAACTCCTTAGGTGCCAGTTAAATCACGAAATGTTCTTAGAAAATTGCCAAATTTCTTTACGATGCAAAATGCTTCAGTAACACATTCAAAACAGAAAAATACTTGTGAAAATTTTTGCAGTGGACAATTAAGCCTTATTATTCATTTTTTTTTTGCACTGTCATGTAATACCCTGTCCCTGGGGTACTTTAGAATTTTCTGCAATATCTTTCGAACATAACAAAAGTAAACACAACACCAACATCATAGTCACTCGTGTTTTCATCATTCAAAGGAAAAAGATTTCCCGTGCGAGAATGCAGCATGGATGTGGTCATAGTCATCTATGACACATGACAGACATAAGATGTGCATTTCACAGTTTAGTGTTAAAAAAAGTGATAACCACTAAAACTGCGCTGCCATCTATGTTTTAAATATGAAAACATCATTTGACAAGTTGGGCTCATCAAGAGCCTCTCGAAACATGTCACGATGAGCATAGAGGTTACGGCTGGCTCTGGTCGTTTTGAGCACTTAAGGGGCTATACATAGTAGTTCAGTGGACTTTCAACTCAAGTTGGTACGACCTTCTAATGCAGTTACCCATGTGGAACCCGAGGGCTTACAGTGACTTGCTTTTATGTGTAAGATGATGTCATATAGTTCTTTGCTATCATTACTGTTTCGTGTATATCTTTGACGTACTTCTATGAAAATAAGCAGTTTGCACACTACTGGTCCTGTTATCTTTGTAATTATTTCTTTTCACTCAGTGCAACTACATTAGAACGGAGGAGTCTTTTAACACTTGCCTCCCACTGACGAGTACAGTGATCACCACAAGATATGTTGATGTGTTCAAAAAAATATTTCTGGAAACATTTTCTAAGTAAACCATGTTTTCATTGTCTAATAAACTATCAATTCGTTTTCCTCCACTTCTTTTAGTTGCATCTGCTGTATTATGTTTGTATAATGTTGCTTGTGAAGAAAAAACAAACAAGCCTGAATATATTAAATGAATACAGCAATTAAAAATTATTATTTGCATGTGTGTATTGGCTTAAAATTTCAATTGCCCCTCGAACATTTTTCTTAGCTATAATGCAATAGTCTCACTGTTCGTGCATAACGCTTAATGAATCACACGGTGCAAAAATGTTTAGAATCCGTTAAGTCCGAGCAGCGACTCTAATTTTACTTCTTTGGTACCAGCAAGTACAGTGAAAGCTATGCAGGGAGGGGGATGACATGGAGACAAGGACATGCAACCCTTCATCAGTGCATGTCACGACCTTGAGCACTTCTCTTTTCTGTTAAAATGTTCAACTCAGTTTGAGTGTGATTTCGAGCATTAGCACGTGGTGCCATCTCATGGTAGCCATGGTAACTATAGAGCTCACGATGCTCGAATCAGCCCACAGCTGTAGACTTTGAATATATGACACAGTAATTTGCATACAGGGCATCATTTAGAGAGAAAAGGGAGCAATTTATAGCTGACTTCGAGAATTAATTCTGAATTTCAGGTCACATGCTGTGTTATAATGCTTGGCTTGCTTGTTCTTGGAAACTTCAAACCTTGAAAAACAGCGTTTTCTGACCATGCTCAAAAAGTGCCGTGGGCCCCTTTGAGTAGTCAAAGCTTGTATTCTTGTTACAATAGAACGGTGCAAAAGATGAGACAAAGTATTGCTGCATTATTCAATGATACAATTGGTGCAGTGTAGTATATTGTCTTTTGTTACCTATTCAGAGTTTTCTATCGGTAATCCCCACAAACAAACCCATTTGTGCCTTCGACTTAGTTCTGTACATTTGTGAATATACGTGTATGCACTGAGAATCCCTTACCTGCCGTGTTAGCAAAGCAAGCTGAGATGTTTCACTGATGAGCATGAGGTGGTGGATTCAATTCACAGCCACAGCAGTGGCATTCAATTAGGAGCAAGGTGTCTAACATACAACCCCAGATGGTCAAGCTTAACCTCCCCCCTTCCCCCCCAAGGTGCAAAAAGTCTGAACTCCTACTTTGAACCCCCCTTAAAACATTTCAAGGCATGCAACTATCTGGCAATAAAATGTGCATGTTCAATTATGTATGTTATATTTGAAATGTTGCAACAGTTGTTTTTTATTACTACAGCTGTAAGCTTGCAATAAAGTGCCTACTGATGTATTCATGATGACCCCATTACCATACCTGCTGCTTACAGGTTGAATAAAAATTAGTAGGTCATGCGCATCATGCGGTATATATCTATTGTCTTCTGTTTGAGTGCAGATGGTAGCCAACACCAAAGGTATAACTTGTCAGCTAGCTCTTTAGACAAGCGGGTGACCTAGAGAGATTCTGCTTCAATTTCAATTGGTGAGGAACTTGCAACAAAATACCATCTACTTCAGTTTCTGTACGGAGAAGCATAGCCACTGTTCCGACTGTTATAATTCCGCCCAGCTTACAAAACGCGGTGCGCGGCCCTTGGCCGGAGCCCTGTTTCCCAGTTATATGGAGCTCAGGGGCGATCAATTACCGCATGGTCGCTAGAGGGGCGTGACGTGTGTTTGTGCGTGCGTGCCAATAGAGCGGTGACGCTTACTCACCTAACGTGTGCGCCAGGAATTGGTTCACCGCGCACACCAGCCACACCCACGGCGGCACCGGTGGGGCCTCGGGGTGCAGGTCGCTCGACGCGTAGAAGGCGAAGTCGTAGTAGGACAGCAGGCCCACGTTAACCAGAGTTAGCACGAACCCCGACATCGTGAGCACGTTGGGGGCCACCCCACGCGGCACGAGCTGCGTCGCGGGCCATGATCGTCGCGTAAATGCGTGCGTCCTTCGAAGACGTTTCGCAATGCGTCCCTTCTTACCTTGACTGCTTGGTCCCAGAACGGGTGCATCACGTAGTTGCTCAGCGGGCTGGTATCCTTGCACGTGTACTGCACAGAGGACACAAAAACGTTGACCGGGCGCCGCATCACCGATAAGCACGAGTAGGATCTCAAACAGCCGCCCTTTCGAAACCCCGCTCCACACTCGAGGCACACACAGGGCTAAACATGGCCTGCCTCTAGTTAGACTAAGCAGGATATCGACACGTTTGGGAAGGCTGGAACACGGCAGCTGGGCTTCCAGGTTGGCTCAAGGCAGGGAGCTTCGCGTGATCGTACCACATCGGAAGACAACCTGGCTCGGCGGTAGCACCTTACCTCGTAGTTTTCGAAGCCCTTGAGCTCTTCTTCCGACAGGTACTTCATGTTTACTTGTGACCGAGTTTGCTTGGTACTTAGTGATGACTTATTAATCTAAGCATTTATGATGTGAGACTAGAATTCACTGCGAACACACACGAGCGGTGCCTCTCTTGCGCTTCCTCGCCGCCCGAAAGTGCAAGGAGGAATGGTGGGGAGAAAGCATGGGAGAAAGTGAGAGGAAATGGAAACCGCGCCGATCCCTGGAGGCATGAGAGAAGTCACATGAGAGAGGAATGACCCAGTTAGCGTCGAGATAACAAATGCAATGATCGCGAGAAGATGGCATCACTAACGACTTTAAAAAAATATATCAAATGCTCCTCGGTAAGAGTCGTATGAGCATTACGCCTGCTCGATCGTTTGATTAGTTAGAGCACAACCTACTCTACTCTTGACCTGCCCATAAAACTTTTCTCCAGCGCCTACTTTCTAGTTCATACATTTTGCCGCTAGGGCCATAACCTAACAACGACGTAGCGCTAGTCGGCATCTGCTTGCTGACGTCATCTTTACGGTTTGTGGTCAAATTTGAACCAACAAAACACTCATAGTGCGTATTAATTAGGCACAATTTAAAATTATTCAGAAATAAATATACTAAAGATCATTGAATTTTTTTAATTCAACTGGACGCGACAACACACAGGTTGTCCTACACCCTTTAAATCTACAGGTTCCCACGTTTGTCAACCAGTGTTCTATCAATATTAAGCGAACTAAACAGCTTACTTGACCAGTAATCTAAGTGAAAAAATACGCACATATATGCCGGCAGTTTATCACAGAATGCAGTCATTCTTATTCCAGCGCCGTCAAAGCAACCGTACAGTAGCAGACGAACAGGTTATAGGTAGCGCCACTAATGGTGAGCGGTTGAACGAGAGCGGGAACACGCGTTTCCATAGGAACCCTGCTATCTGAGCAGGTCAGGAGTACAGTAGGTCGTGAGTTAGAGTAACTGTGAAAAGGAGTTTCTTGTAGTAAATTGATTAGAGAAGTGGCGGCACCTAGTAAAGAAGACGAGAAAGTTGCAGGTATATACCATGACCTACTACACTCCTGACCTGTTCAGATAGCGGGGTTCCTATGGGAGCGCGTGTCCCCGCTCTCGTTCAATCGCTCGCCGTAGGTGGCGCTACCTATAACCTGTTCGTCTGCTACTTTACGGCTGTTTGGACGGCGCTAGAGTAAGAACGGCTGCATTCCGTGATGAACAGCCGGCATATATGTGACTATTTTTTCACTTAGATGACTGGTCAAGTAAGCTGTTCAGTGTGACGAAAAATTTATTGCACACTGGTGGACAAATGCGAGAATCCGTAGACTTACATAGTGTAGGACAGCATATGTGATGTTGCGTCCATTTAATTGCAAAGAATTTGTGAATGACTTTTGAAATACTTGTTTCAAAATTATTTTTCATTAGTGCATAATAATTACGCAATATGAGTGCTCTGTTGGCCGAAATATGACCACGAACACTGAAGCTGACGTCAGCGAACAGGTGCTGACTAGCGCCACAGTGCTCGTAGGTGACGGCCCTAGCGGCAGAAGGTATGAACTAGAACGTGGGCGCTGGAAGAGGTGCTCTCTGGGCAGGTCAGGAGTGTAGTAGGTCATGGTATATACATGGCCTATGAGATAACAAGCACGCAATTGCCGTCTTGGAGGACACGGTATATAAAATTATGGATACAAAGATGAAGTGCGTGAGTGGTGGTGTAACTTGTATGCCACATAATCTAGCTGGTGGTGCGTGCACAGTGACGACCAGCACACCATAGTGACATAACGTAACAGCGCTTAGCTATTTATGAGCCTTATGAGCGAAACAATTCATTTCATTTGTTGGTTTCTCTGTCACTCAGTTGCACACACACACACACAAAAAAAATCTACCGATTGTAGCGTTACCTATCATAAAACAATACAACTGACTTGCATAAACAAATATCTGCTTGATTGTTTTGTTTTATATCGGCATATGACGCCAATATCTCTAGTTTTGAGAATATGAGCGCGAGAGATAACGGGACTGCTGAGGTTTGGGTTTCGCAACTGATAAGTTCAGCGAGCGTGCGCGCATTTGCAAACAAACACCACTGCGCCGCTGGCATGGAAGAAACTAGTTTCCGTTGCGCTTTCCTGCTGAGTGCAAGGTCTACTGCTGCGGCAAGGAAAATGAGCACGGTATCGTAGATGATCGGATCAGACAAGAACCTGTGTTTGTCGGCTACGCAACGAGCTGAGAAGTGCGCGTTACCGCGGTGTCGTCTCTGGTATATGCTGTGGGGCTTCGTGGCCCGCGGGTAGCACTTTTCCCCGAGGAGGAAATGCCTAGGTGAGCGGCTGCTGCTGCAGCAACCCAGGTGGTTGCCGGCGGCGGTCGCCGTTGCTTAACCGAGCCACCGCCGCGGCGTCCAGGTGAGCTCCATGGAGGCGCTGAATTTGCTGCACTGGGTATCGGACATCGACTACTTCAACTGGCTCGTCTGGCTCTTCACCCCTGTGGCAGTTGAGTGCTTCGTGTTAACGCGCGTGCAAATGTAGCGTTCGCATGCCGTCTAGAAGACACGCGGCATTTTCCCGCGCGAACGAACTGCGCTGTTTCGCGCAGCGAACGGCTGCTGGTTGACCGCGTTCGCTCGGTCTCGATTGCACGGATGATTCAGGCCGGTGATTTGAGCTACCACTCGGCACGTTTTTCATAGGCATGCGTGCGCATATGTATATTTTTTCCTGGCACCGTGTGGCGTTGTCTCGGGTGGTTTAAGTGGATCGCATGCTGTGCTGCAGGTGGCCTTCTTGCTCCCGACGCTCGTCATCTTGCTGCTGTACATTTCCATACTCTTCCTGCACATCTACCGCTACCGACGTCCCCTGAGAGACGCGTACGCCCGGCACTTTTGGGACGGCGCTCGGTACACCCTGGCGCTGCTGTGGTCGGGCCACGGCCGCGTCTGGCACGGTGAGCGAGTACATGCAACCACCGAACAAGTGCGTCCAAAACTGAAAAATATGGAGTCGTGCCTAGAGAGGCCGCCGATTACTAACACGAGGCGTCCACTCGCATGCATTGCACACCCCAAGATGACGGTCACAAAATGATGTAGGCATGTGGTGCCTTGTCTTGTCGGCATGCTCGAGCAAGAAAATGCCTGCAGAATAAGTTCAGCACAAAGTGCCTCTATATATTACGCAGCATCAAGTTGTTCCCGGAACAGTATGAACCTCATTTTCACTTGTATGCTTACGCGTGGATAATCAGAACTATATTGCACGTGGTTCATTGCATCAATGGCTTGTCGGCACATCTGCTCTCTTGGTTTTAACACAATGGCGAAATACATAATACTTGGGCATGTATTAGCTGTTGATAACAAAACTGTATGCAGAATCTGTGAACGAATTCAAGTGTGTTCAACTCGTATTGTGATCTAACAGGTTCTGCCAGCCCTCTGCAATGGTCATAATGCACTTTTACACTTCTGTTGTGAAGTGAATGGCCAAGCAATTAAACCCCGTGTTCTTTTGCTGACAGGTTTGGTGTTCCAAAAGATATGCAGCACATTGTGAACGATGCGTTCACATTCATTTGCTTAACGTATACTCACTTCTGCTTGCCCCACTTGATTTAGGTTATGAGGTCCAAGGAATGGAGAACATCCCAGACACTGGTGGAGCACTAATCGTCTACTACCATGGTGCATTGCCACTCGACTATTACTACCTTCTGGCCAGCTGCCTGTTACACAAGCGTCGCCTCATCAGGGCTGTTGGTGACCGCTTCCTGTTCATGGTGCCAGGTGTGTGCCTACACTGTAGTGAAACCAGCGTTGAGGTTTACGTAACACACTTAAGGCTGATAGCTCCTAATATTCTATCTACTTGAACCCCTTCAAGGGCATTTCATGGAGGCCGGTATGCCACAGGTCATTTTTAGTGCGGAGCACTTCAGACGGCTGATGGCGACAAAAAGCATAGAATGAACAAATAAAATCATGCCACGATTGCACCTTAGGCTGTTGTATGCTGTTATTGTCGCTTAGCGTAATGCAGGCAAAACTACATATAGCATAGCCAGCTGTAGCATATTAAGTGCATGCTCGTGCTAAAAGAGAAATCTGATTCCTCAAGTGCCTTGGTGTTGATATAATATGTCGACATTACTACTATGGCCAGGGAAACACGACAGCACAAACCAAGTATATAAAAGATTGAAGAGGAAGCAAGTAAGAAGTAGAATGAGAAAGGAAAAAATATAGGAAAAAAAGTTGAAGTACAGAAAAATTGGAAAATAAAGTAAGAAAGACAGGAGGAAAAAAGGGAAAACCGAAGAGTAACAATGAAGGCTGCCTTAATTTTGACTATCCCCTTTAGCAGCAGTGCGTACAAATGTACATATGAACAATGGAGGTGCGTCATGCACTGAACCCTTCTTCAAATGGTTTGAAGTGAAATGTTTCTATTTGTACTGACTTCCGGTCATTCAACTTCATTGTGTTTCTCTCACAAGTAGTTTACCAATGGGTCATACAACACACAGCACAAGAAGTTTTGCCGAGTGCATTGTGGGTCATCATTTCGTCAGTCTTTAACATAAGAAAAGTATTCTCCTGGATGTGTATATCCTTTACAACAAAAATAATTTTTCTGCGTTCATGTCATAAAGTTATCGCAGCCGCAACAAGAGATAAATGCACGCAACTTTGCAGCCGTATATGGAGAGCGCAGGCCATGGCCCACTGGCGACTCATGAAAACGAACGAGTAGCCTCCACTGAATTGCAATTCTTTGTAACTGAACTGGCTGGTAGTTGGTTTCTGAAGTCAATATTTTTACTTGTTTATAATGAACCTTTTGTAGGTTTCTGCATTTTTGTATGGTCTGCATTTTATGGCTTATTCCCATCTACTAGCCCTGTTTGCATCACCAAGTTAGTTGCCGATTCCGAAAGAACCGTTTTGGTCCAAAAATGACTGCTTTGCCTGAGCCACTTACTGCTCAAATTTTCGGTCTCACAACTGCAGTATCAAACCTCTGAACCAATCAGATTAGCAGTTACAAGACATCAGTTTATTTTGCAAGGCAATCTCGATGCAAGCAGACGTGACTTGCTGTGACGACAGGTACAGGTCTGTCAGCTTGAGTCGCTTTTTTTTTCACCAGTCAGAAATGGTCCGGCACTACCGTAAAACCCCAAGCAAGTGCCGCCTTCTTTTGGGGGAGAAGGGAGAAATTTTCAATATTCCTCAATGTTTACTGTTTTGAAATCTATGAGTGCATGCATATTCAAAAAAAATTTATTAGGACCACGGGTGTGTTTTTTTTTTACAGCAACAGTTATGAAATCACAAGAGCCATCTTTGGCGCTGTAGTTGCCCGCCGCTGGCTGTAACAGTTACCGCTCGATACAAGATAGACAGAGAGAAAAGAAAAGAAGGAAATAAAAAATATTCGGGATGGACTGGGTTTTGAACCTGCGTCCTCTCTGTTGTAATCGTGTATTCTACCACAGAGCCATGCCAGTGCTCGAAACCCCCTTGCAAAAAGACTTTATACAGGTGCTATGTTGGAAAGGAGACACGTTGACATGTGTAATATAGTGTGGTGGAAGAGTAAAGTAAACCAAGTGTGGCTCAATGCGAGTTACGTTACCAAACGTCCAGCAATACACATTCAGCAATACACATTGTGTAACTAGTGGGTCATTGAATGCGTCCAACCCAGCTCGGCAAAATTGTTTGTCAGTAGCCACTGCATCAGCAGAGTGCACATAATGCCTTTCAATTGTGTAGTGGGTACCTCGCTTCTCTGAAAAGTAGCCCCCAAGAAAGTTTACTTTAAAAATTCCACTTTTCCAGCTCTCGCTGTGACTGTGCTGCGCTTTCCACACAGGCCTGGTGTTTTTTTTTTAATTCTTAGTAGCTTTTTCTCCGCCATCTTTAATTTTGCTCCATGACCGGGCAAGCATACTCCTTCCAAATCTTTTCAGAATACCTTTCACTGTAGGAATGGCGCTTGCCTGGGATTTCACGGTAGTTGGTGTGATTAATTCCCAGTTTTTGCAAGGTTTAGCAAGCATTAACTGTTTCCTTTAACACTGCTGAATTCCGCAGCTCTCAATCGCGACTGCTTGACGCAGGGTTCAAGATCTTGACTGAGGTGTTCAAAGTGAGCCCTGGCACCGTGCAGAGCTGTGCCCAGGTTATGCGTGATGGCAACCTCCTCGCCATTGCCCCCGGAGGTGTGCTCGAGGCACAGTTTGGAGACGAGCGGTATCGCCTGCTCTGGAAGAAACGGCTTGGATTCGCCAAGGCAGCCATAGAGGCTAGAGTGCCCATCGTGCCCGTCTTCACCGAGAACATCCGTGAAGCCTTCCGAACAGTCGCCTTTGGCCGCGGTACTGCTTGTGCATGCATCGTATTAAGAAGGGAATCGAAGCACATACTTTTACGCCATAGTTGTAGGGGAATATTTTGCCACTGAAAGGAACACACTGCAAAACAAGTTTAGGACAAGGAGGGAGATGCACACACAGTGCTGACTTGCAGCACTTATTTCATAGGAAGGGAAGGATGAACTTTTATGTGCATGCCACTTACAATGCACCACAACCAGGGAAGATGAATTTTAACTGAAGTATTCATGGCCTGCTTACGATAATATTTTGAGATGAGAATACATTTGAAGGAGTACTGATGCACATGCTATCGTAACTTTCTGATGAAGTCAACCACACTGATTTCATGTGTCAACCAAAAATTATGCCTAACCAGGACCTTGCTTCTTTCCAAGGGTGCACAACCACAGTCGGGACAATGGATACCCAAGTGGCCTTGGACCATGTTGTACACAGTGTTGTGGTGCTTTCTTAGTCACTTAAGCCCTGCCAGTCTGTCCCACATATTTCTTCCCGCAGAAGAATCGCGTATACCTTAGCAGTGATACAGGGCGCGAACTGCTGTTTCACAGAGCAGCCACTTCAAGGAAACTTGCAAATTTTTAACAGTTTTTCAAAGTGGAAAACAGTGGCGTATGCTAAAGATTGCGTAGAAGTGTTGCCAGTCAGTGCTGTGCGTGCGTCGACCTGCCTTGTACCAGTCTTCTTTTACGCTGTGTTCACTCCAATGTCAAACCAACATGCTTCAACACTTATTTTGTCACAACCTTGTGCTGGCCATATGTGTTCAACACAGTTCCACCTACATATAAGGGCGATGAACTTCATAACGTTAACATACAGCCATGAGAGACATCATCAAATTCATGCTTAATCAGAAATAGATTGTAGTACACAAATATAAATGTGACATATTCAATTGCAAAAGATACCTTTCCACTTGAGCTCTTGGTGAGCTTTTGCATTTGCCAGTGACGCTTAGATACTGTGACCTTTGCAGGGGTACTGACACAAAAATTTTGGCCTCTTTATTTTTTTGCTGCGAATGCATAACTGGAGACCTGCTTGTCATAGCATGTCAAATCATTTGCTGTAGTGCATGACAGAATTAATGACAGGTACCTCATTCTGAATGTACATACTGTTAAAACAGTAGTTCTTTTAGTCTCCAAAGAAGTTATTTGCTGACTGCTTAAGCCATAGAAACTTCCTATGCTCAATGGTTAGAGCATAAAGCAAGCATTTTTTGCTGCTGACGTGTTAAACACTCCCCAAAACTCAATGTGGCTGATGCCACCATATGCCCCAAAAGGTCTTACTCCATTATGCAGGAGTGGCTTTATGCACACATATTTATATTGGAATGGACAAATATGTCAATATACAGCGTATCCCTAACAATCTCGTCACAATGTCTTCAGTCATCTGCTGTAAATGGACTGTGTACTTTGAATAGAAGACGACCCAAACTGTCTCTCTGCTACGTACTTCTGTGCTTCAGGCATATGCAGTTTGTATCACTTGCAGAAATGAAATGAAAGCAGCTTGTCAATGATGTGTTAAACCAATGCAATTCTTACCATACCTGCAAGGAGTGGACTAGGTAAAAACGCCATGCCAACGAGCTTTTACGGTACAGCATGTGCACAGCACTGATGGAATTAGCTTTGCTGGCAATGCACTAAGCACCAATAGTTGGGGACAGTTTGTTGAAACGATGCCCGTTTTCAGTTGGTAGTAAATAATTGTACAGATGTGCACACATGCATTGGGAAGTCGAGCAGTGTGTTCCCCATCATAATGTTTCTTGGCATTGCTCTTGTGCAGTATCATGCCATCGTGTAAAACCCAGAATTTTTTCTTCAGTGCTTTGGTGCATAAAAGACTGAGACCTTCTTGTCAGTGCTTTATGTAACAGTTAATGTGGCTTTTGACTTGTTTTTTTTTTGTTTGTTTGAAGCGGCATGTTGGTAGATGCACTTTTGTACTTGGTAGTCAATGTGTTCTACAATTTAGTGCCTAGCTGTCTCATTCCTGGCACATCGTTTAAGTTTTGCTCAAGAAAATATCGGTGCCACTATTAACTATTTTGCTCTGTCAACTTTTTACTAAGCTTTTCAAGAGAACTACACATTTCATATTATGAAAGACTACAGCGCACATATATGGGTACATAAAAGCGACACAGAAGGAAGAACACACGAAGACATAGTGCCATGCCTTAAGCCTTCCTTTGTCCCCCTCTATGTGTGCTGTGGTTTTTCATGATGTAACACCAACTAGTCCACCTACCTATCCTTGTGCTGCAAGGCAGGCAACTTGGTGGTTTCAGATCAGAATTGCATTTTAAGAAGTCAATGACTGCTAGCAGTATATATAATGTTCTAGATCCACTTGAAGTTTTATTCAAGAAGAAGACTGCTTTGAAAGCAGTCTTCTTCTGCTTGAAGACTGCTTATGAAGACTGCTTTGAAACAAGATTTTTGCACTGCAGAACAAGTTTGTTTATTTGCACGTCTTGAAAATTGTGAGAGCATCAATATCGTTCTGCAGGACGGCCTCTAAATGAAGGGGGGTGGGGGTGTTCTCCTGCTGGCACAGGTCTGTTCAAGTGGCTATATGACAAGACAAGGCTTCCCATTGTACCAATATACGGAGGGTTTCCTGTCAAATTGAGGTAAATGCCTAGCGAAATACTATAGTTGAATTGGTGACCCTTATAACCATCACACCCTTGCTGCAGAACCATTATTGGGCCTCCTATTCCGTTTGACCCCAATGCATCACCTCAGGAGCTCGCTCACAAGGTGAGTGGCCCAACGCTTCGTCGATTAATTGGCTAGACAAAGAGCAATTGCACCAACTGAAATTACAGTTTGCTGCATCTTATGCGACATGCACGCTGAACTTGCCATTGCATTCATACCTCCACTTTAAGGGCTCCTAGCATTCAAATAAAAAAAGTTCAGCTACTCCAACAGTTCTGGGAAATTCTGGTGCGAAATTCAAATAAAAATTATCTACACTAAACTGTACAGATAAGAGTATTCAATGCATTCATCTCGGAGCACTGCTCTCGCATCATTTCGTCCCAAATTTTCACAATTAACTTAACAACTGCACTAGAATTTCCCGTCATGTTGGAAGTCTTCACAACAACATAAAAATGCATCAAATCCCACATCTATGCAAAAAAGTGAAAGTGGGAGATGAGCACCACACTGTGTAAACAGGCATATAAGTTAAACAAATCAGCTTAGCTCACTGACAATGCCAATGAGTTTTTATATCGGGCCAATTGTGGGGCAATTTTTTTTCAGTGCCGTTAAGTTCCGTACTGGCACAGTGCGAGGCCGTTCCCACTTTTTACAGCATCATCTGCCACACGTCAAATCTTGCAGGCGGCCAGTGCCGTGGAGGCCCTCATACAGCAGCACCAGGAGATTCCAGGCAGCATAGTGCGGGCCCTGGCACAGCGCTTCAGCAGGACCTGAGGGCACGGCTAATGCGTATGGCGGCAGCAGCCAGAGACAGTTCAGAGCTATCGCGGTGTGGGCTTTCGTCGGATGGCCTTGCGAATGCGACGCTGCTGTGTGGTGCCGCCGCTGCCGCTGGTGGCGTTGAATGGGTTCTCGGAATCCGGCCTGCGTGGGCCAGGGACCAACCAACACACAACACCGTCAACGAAGATACACTCCAGTTTACGGAGGCAGCACTAACGCTGCCCGCTAGAGATGCAGGCAATTGAGTCGAGCCTGCTGCTCTCCTCAGCTTGCAAGCCAAGCTCAGGCAAAGAATGCAAACTCAATGTACAGTGCAGGGAGTATGAACAGCTCTGAAGAGGAACACTGAATTTTCATAGGCAGTCTATTGTACATTTTTGAGAAAAGCAGTTCTAATAGATGGCAAGCAGAGCCACAAGTGGAGCTTTTAATAAAACATCGAGCTCGCATTCCATCACTTTTGTCCACTGTCTGTCTATATATGACTTAGGCCCATATTTTGCATTTTCCTTATGTGTCTTGTGCCTCTAGTACATTTTATAAAATAAATAGATCAGTATTCACAAAAAATTCACACCATCTTCCCAGAGGGAACCCTGATGGGATGCGAAGCAACAGCATTGCGCACAGGTGGCATCACGGGTTGAACGAAGCTAACGCGAGTGCTGCGGTCAGCGCTGGCTGGCGTAGGTGTCGTTTCTTCTCAGTGGACACTGGTGCTAGACTGGAGCTGGCGCGCGTTTTGCCTCGACTACCACGGCCTAGGGATCGGTGAAGTGCATGCTGACAGTTTTCTGCATACATTCAATTTCGATGTGCTCTCGAGCGTTGCAAAGCGGCGGAGAGGGTGAGGCGACAGCTACAGACATGTTTCAACATGTACGTTAGGCGCGCATCAGGTTTATTGGGCGTGAACCAATGAGTCGGTGGTTATGGTAGTGGCAGGCGTTGTGAGCGAATGGACGAGGCGAGAGCTTTGGGTGCTGCGGTGGGCGTGCAGCAGGCAAGGGAGAGAGTTACGTCAGTGTGCACTGCGAGGGGAGCGTGACGTCAACGTGCAGCGAAGGGGGCGCGTTCGTACAGACGCACATACGTAACCACAGGAGTCAAAGAGCCGCTTCGCACCTAATACATCTTGATCTTTCTGTTCTGTCGTTAATTATATTCCTTGATAGTATGGGCATTTTTGTATTTCAGTAAGCATGTACCAACTAGCCCAACAAAAACTTTTAAACATATTGTAGTTCTCTTTCACCTTATTACCATTTTTGCACCGTTAACATAAGCACATTGCACAGAAATTTAGGGAAAAAGAAAGCAGAGCGGATCAGGGAACAAACCAACGTTGAGGATATCATAGCTAAATCAAGAAGAAAAAATGGACATGGGCCGGGAATGTAGCGCTGAAGCAGGATAATCGCTGGCCAATAAGGATAACTGACTGGATTCCGATTCCTAGAGGAAGCAAGCAGGTTAGGGGGAGACAGAAAGTTAGGTGGGCAGATCATATTAGGAAGTTTGCGGGTAAAAGTGGCAGCAGCAAGCACAGGACAGAGTAGACTGCCGAAACATGGGAGAGGCCTTTGTCCTGCAGTGGACGTAGTCACGTGGATCATGATTATGATGGCTTATGTAATTAAGTACACTCCATAAACAAAAATTTGATATGGAACTGCTGCTTAAATGGAACAAATATATGATATGATTGGTTTAGTACCCGCCCTTTACACGCCTGTTAATTTCTTGGCAAACGGAACATGTTCTGTCCCCTTTATAATTAAAGGTGCCCTATTGCCTCATGAATTCAACGCCACGAAAATTGCAAGAATCCGCCCAGAACGAGCGGAGCTACAAAGATTGGTCGCATGCTGCAATCGCGTTCTCTCGTCTTGACGAAAGCGCTGGAAACTAAGCAAGGAGGGATGGCAGGGGCCAGGAAAAAATATGTCACGTGACCTTGAGTACCTTCTTCAAAGGCGCAGCTTTTTCAGTGTGACCGCACGCACACGCATGAAGTCGTGGCCTCCCGCGGTGATCTCTGTAACTACTGAGCGCGCAGTGTTCAAATCGGCCAATGACTGATAGATGGGCTTTGAGTTATTTTTGAGCAGCCTCTTCAGTCATTTGTTGAAAGAAGAGAAAATAATTTTTACCTGACTTTGATAATTTGTATTGAATTCCAGGCCACGTGCTGCGCTATAATATTTGGCTCGCGTGTTGCCGGGAGCCTCTACTACCGATCGGCAGCGTTTTTGACCATGCTAAAAAAGTGTTGCAGGGCTCCATTAACGAGAGAGCCTATTTATAATGGTTCACACAGTCTATGAGGCATAATGTTCTTAAGTTTTACATAGGTTATGATAAATTTTGTCAAAGGCACCAACTGGTATTCTCTCGCTTGAACTCTGAATAGCAGGAACATTTCTGCATGTTGCCTCTAGTCAAAATGCAGCCTATCCGCACTGCTCAGAATCAAACCCCACACAAAGTGCCACATACAGAAAAAAAGCCCGACACGATGAGCAAGACCAATCGAAGGTTTGTTCGTGAAACGCATAGTTTCCTATAAATCCACTAGACGAAACTCTGGCACTAGTGTCTATGTGAGTTGCAACGCACGGCGCTTCAGCAAGCATGGGAATGATGGGTAGTTTGTGGATTGGTCTAATTTTTGTACTCTTTGGCTCTGGTTGGCTTTGCATGGCTTGAAGTTGCTTAGTCACGAAACAAAAATCAGTAAATTTTCAGCAGATACATTTTACTACAATAACTTTTTAGGCTTACTATTTAAAATCGGGTCACGAAGTTAAAAAGGGTTTGTTCTTTCCTTCAAAACAAAACTGAAACACAGCAATAAACAAAGCCAAGTGCGATAGGCCTGCAAGTATCAAGACCGGGCAAATCCTTGCACCACTACCCATCATTCCCATGGTCGCTGAACAATCGCAGCGCCAGAGTCCCCTCTAGTTAATTTTGGGAAGCTCTGTGGTGAAAAGCACCAATTGGAAAATGAGGCTTACCCGGGGAAAAGTGGTGAAGGTGACATGCCGAACTGCATGGGGGGAGTCTGTCCAAATGGGGCTGCGCCAAAAGGTTCAAGGGTTGGCTGCTGTTGCTGTGGCTGCTGCTGCAGAGACGTGGCCGGCTGGCTGGGCTGCACCATTGGAACAAAAATGCATCATTTAAAGCTGTGAAGACGGTCAACTCTGTTTGCGTCTTAGTATCTAAACAAGGGGTTCTCAAAATTAGTTCAGCGAGCCCATTTATAAATTTTCCCTGGTTCCCAACCCGCCCATTCAACTCAGATGGCGATCCTGAGGGGTGATCGATCCAGGGAACCTCCATTATCAGCGCCAGAGCGTCAAAAGGCACATCTCGGTGCGTAACGGAAACATCCCGGTACATAACGGAAACGTGTGAGCTGCACAGTAAATTTTGCCAGCAGTTTGTAGCCAGCCAGACTCCGAAAATGAAACGCATGGTGGCTCAGCTCTCGGAAGGGGGGGGGCTTATATTACCACCATGTGCATTTCGACTATTCGAAGATAGGTGCTGCTATGCTTAGGCTCTGCGCCTCTGCTACTCTCGTTTGTCCACCACCACCGTTGGCCCCGCATGTACTGCGCACTATGCTTAGCCCTCTAGATACGATTGTCCGTCATTCAACATGAGCAAGATGGCCAACCAGAGCTTACTCTTAGAGTTTTTTGCAGTTCAGATTTTGAATACGAGTTTATTGAAAATAGAAATGAAAATAAGCTCGCCAGTTTGTGTGTGTGTTCCTTGGCACTTAACATAGCATAAAAATATGGATATAGGTTGAACCGGAATATAGGTCTACCCTCCCTTCTTTGGATCTCCGAAAAATAAATATTAAACAATCAAAGTATCGCGGCGCACCCTTACCTTAATAAATACGCGACAAAACCAGCTGCACTGTGGTGATGTTTTTATTTATTTCGACACTAATCTTGTGTAGTTAAACGCTAGAAGGCCGAAAAACTGCTATCACTCAGATTCATCCGAACTTTAGTCCGACATCTGTTTCTCACTAGTTATGTTCCAGAGTGCATTGTCCTCCGTTCTATTTAATGCATTGCTAACGCAGCATTTGCGGAAAGACTTGCGCACCATCTCTTGCGGAAGAGCTTTCCAAGCTGATGACACCCAGCCACAAATGGTCGCGAGCGGCAGGACGTTGTATACCAACCAGCGGTGGTCTTGGGATTGTTGCCCAGCATCTACTCATTGTAGAGCCAGCGCCTCCTAGAAAAAATTATGCCTGTGACATGAGCCACAAAAGCGCTGCTCTACCCTTCCACTTTTCCTCCTTTTCATACGACCGACCTGGTACAGTTGCTAGATCCTCTTGCGGCAATTCCTTGCAACCTGAAGGAGCACCGTTGGTAACTCAAGCAGATGACACGACGGGCGTCTGCAGGAAGAATGCTGGTGTTGCCGAAAGCAACAGAGGAGTTGATCAAACTAGAGCGTGATGAAACGCATCTCGAAGGCATTAGCAACGTGGCACGGTCAACAAGTAGACGTTACCGCATAAAAAATAGGCATCGAGAAAAATAAACGCATGAGAAAAAGTTACAACGCCCGTTCTTGGCGAGCTTGTCTTGCTTTTATTTCATGCGTTCATAAAAAAGTGATGCATTTTCGAGCCAGTATGTTCACCCTACCAAGAAATCCAGTTTCGCAACATGCCCAAATGCTTGCCGAGCCTCAGGAAAAAGTTGCACATACCTTCGGAGGGCTATTTGAGTGACTTGAGACGATTTTGAGAGATGACCAGGCGTCAACACGTAATAGTGCTCGAAACCCCTGTCGCGAAAAGCTGCAGCTGAGCTTCCTACCACGAAATGACTGGTGTTTGCTGAACTGACGCTCCTCCAAGGGGATTCACGAATGCGCAACCAGCCAACCGTACGATGCAGCCAGCTGCGCCGCTTTATCAACACAATGTTGCCTAACATCGTCACTTCTGCTGGCTTCGGCGGTTACTGTCGTTAACACCACCACACAGCGCCCGCTGGAAACGTGTGGCAGCGTTCCTCTATGGTAAAGCTGGCGCAATCCAGGCATAATTTGACTTACGAGATTGGCATTTGCATTCTCAAAGAATGCGGCTGTTTTTTCAAACCGTGGATTCAGCGATCTAACGCGCCTGTTGCGCTAGTGTAATGGAGCGACTTTCACGATTGACGGCGTAAATGTGTCACTTCATGCGTTACCATTTCAAGCTTACGGTCTTTTGTACTAGTTTGTGTGGTGTCTCAGCTGTTCGCATGTTTTTGCGGTGCTTTGTGGTGTTGCATGCCATGACCATGGCGCACAACGGGAAGAGAACAGACTGCCTTGGCGTATGTGACAAAACTGAAGATCATTCGACATGTCAAAGAAGGAGAAAAGAAGCAGGCGATTGCTGAAGCTTTCAAAATACCGCACAGCATGTTGAGAACAGTCCTCACTCAGAAAAATAATTTGGAGAAACACGACGAGAAGCATGCGCACGCACGGTGTATTCAATCTGTGGCATTCGAACATGTCGAAGAATGTCGTCTCAATTGGTTCGTAGATGTAAGGGCTCAGGATATTCTGGTGTTGAGGCCAATGCTGCAGCAAAAGGCCAGGGACTTCCGAGTCATCCTTGATATTATATATTTAGGTGCCAGTGCCGGGCTGCTGCAAACGATTTAAGAACTGCTACGACATTGTTGAAAAAACCGTCTTGGGTTAGAGCAGGTCTGAGAACACTGCACCGATCTACAAGTGGCTCAAAAAAGAGTGACCTCAGATTTGCTTGAGGTACCAACCAAGAGACATTTTTAATGCTGTTTGATTATTAATGTTTGAAGCAAACATGCATGGTTTGACAAAGCTTCGTACATTTGCGACCAGCAAATTTAAGACGCCCAACTGCACGAGGAACTGTCGCGACCTCCCAGTCACCTACGCTTCGAACCGAATGTCATGGATGACACGTGAGCTGTTCGAAAAATGGTTGAGAGACTGGGATGGGGAGCTTGAATATAAGGGCACGAAAGTGTGCTTCCGTGTCAACAACTGCTCGGCACACTAGCGGATGTTGAGGTGAGCGACATTCAGCTCCAGTTTCTGCCACCATAACACCACCTCGAAGCTCCAGCCCCTTGATCAAGGCATCATCTGTGCTTTTAAGGGGGGACGTGCCTTTCGGAACGAACTTTCTTGTTTCTGGTTAGATCTTGATGAAAATTGGCACAGAGACTAAGAATGACCTCATAATGCTTCCATAAAAATTTCAAGATGATATCATGAAAACTTTCTGAGAAACAAATAATTTCATTACTGGACCTCGTGGAGCGGCTGGAGAGTTTAAAAAATTACATAGAAAGTTGGTAAGCACTGTGTGCAGAGGTGAATGTATGCTGTAGGGGGCTGCGTTTTCAAAATAATTTTTTTGCAACACTAAAATTTGTAGTTCATGTTTTCTCCACTGATACTTCAATGAGCACATTTGCACTACAAATAAGAAACCCTACCAAAAATTTTTAAAAGGCTAAATTTTAAAAATAAGAACGCAGCCCCCTGAAGCACAGTTCAAGGAGCATTACAAAAAAAAAAAAAACAGAATCAAAATCTGTCAAGTAGTTGCGAAGATATCTGCTCCACGAGCTGAGCAACATGCCAAAAAAACAGTATTGAGAAAACGAGGTTCAAAGTCATGAGTCACAATTTACATGCCTAATAGGCACCAGGGTTGTAGTCCTTAGTGTCCTTTGCAGTGCGGTGTCATCCACGTCCCGTCGTACACCACCGTGACATTCTTGGTGGGTGTTCCCTCCATTTGGCTGTACAGCATTGCGAACGGCTGCAACAGCGTCACAAAACACACGTGCCACGGCTGCTGCGCCAGCAGGCCGAAATTCCCCCTTGAGATGCCTTTGAAAAGTCTTGTGGTGAATTCCCCTATGTGATACATTCATCACAGACCAAAAATCACTGAGTGCAGCTGATCCCTTTCCAATAGTTTTTATAGCTTGCATGGCCCAAATATTTACTTCAAATGACTTACTGTTTTCCATTCGCGGCGACGACCACGCATTTTTCGCGTCCGCGCCGCAAGCAGTGCAGGTGAGCACTATCTTTACCGCTAACCCGTGCTTAGTTCCGTGCTTCATCTTGAGTCCCGGCTCTTTGCACTGCGGGCACAGGGCACTGCCAAACAGACCATTCAGGGCCGCGCGTTGCACGAGGAAAAACTCATCTTCGTCTTCCGTTTAGATGTCGCTCTCGTCCCCTTGGTCCATCAGTGACATCTTGCGCTCCGTCGCAGACACTGCTCTTAGGGACTCCTGGACAGCCGCGGCGCGTTTGCGAGATGCCTCCGCTGACACGAAACGAGGCTCTAATCGGGCCCGAATCGTGCTACTGGTGGTGCTGGTAGACAGCCTCGCATCCTCGCGCGAAGTACTTGGCTGAGCATCCGCGATGTCTACATCCTCGCGCAAAGTGCTAGGCTGGGCATCCGCGATGAATACATCCTCGTGCGAAGTGCTAGGCTGGGCATCCACGATGTCTGCAGCCTGCGCAGAACGACGAACGGATGTTTCCTCAGACAGCACAAAGCACTGCTCCACAGGCATATGAACAGTTTCGTCGATGCTCGCGGACGATGCTCTGTGCGTGCTTGTGCTCGGCTGCGAGTCCTCGTCGTGCCGCACGCCGTCGTCGCTGCTCGCAGAAGTTGCCGGACTGAATTTCTTTTACACGATCGGCGGCATTCGGCTTACGAGCACCAAATCGCTGCGCAGTCTTGCGGTTCTTCTTGAACGATCGCCGGTCCATGATCGCATGCGGGAACCGATCTCAAAACTGCAATGCGCCAAACTGGATAACGTTTTTCTCCTTTCACGAGCGCCGGTCTTATCGCAGCGCGATGCGATCTCGAAACCACGCCGCGACGAGCTGAAAACAAATGCAGTAAGCGGCCCGTCAGCGCTGTCAGCGCGCAGAGCAGACGACCTTTGCGCCGATTGCTACAAGCGACTGCACGAAACCACGCCGCAACGAGTTGAAAACAAATGCAGTAAGCGGCCCGTCAGCGCTGTCAGCGCGTAGAGCAGACGAACTTTGCGCCGATTGCTACAAGCGACCGCACGGGCGACCAATGCGGAGCCGCCGTACAGTCACGTGATGTGCGTCGCCAATCGGAAACTGTTGTGATACCTTTACACTTTGGCTTGCTGTGGGCTTGCTCTTGCCTGGTTCAGCCGGCCGAGGCGGCAAATTTGAAACGGAAGAATCGCGCTATCCATAGAGACAAAGATGGCGGCGCTGGGTTGCGTGTTTGCGGAGATATAGCGGTTCGAAAAACGCCGATTTTTTCGCAATTTCCGTGAAATTCATCGCCACCCTAGCTTCGATAAAAATTTTTTACGTCATTTCTACGCTGTTTTCAGGGACGAAACTTCGAAATTAGATAGAAAAGGGGTCACAGAATGTGAAAATGAGATTTTCAGAAAATCGATTTTTTGGCCAAATTTCGCGATGCCAAAGCTGCGTCCCCCCTTAAAGTGATATGCAAGTGAAGGCTTAACGAGCCGCTGCTCATTCAACTTTGCATGAATGAGGAGGTTAAAATCAATTTGTTAGGCGCAATAAGGAATGCTGAAAGCTGCATGGGAGAGAAGGAATAAATGGAACAATTGCTAACTATTTCCAACACGCTAGCCTCATTGTTGGCGCTGAGGAAGTTGAGGAGCCTACTGAAGGGCCCACTGAAAATGGTTTCGTTGAGGGCTTTGAAGAGGTTCACAAGTCCAGAAATGTGGAGCGATTTCTCACGGTTGGTAGGCCACGTCTTGAACACACTGACACTGGATGACTTCGTTGGCGACGACGACACGTCAGAGCCGGTTGCCGAACTGAATGATGTGGAAATGGCTGCTGAGGTAACACGCCAGCAACTCAGAAATGTAGCCACGGAAGTTGAAGCTGCCCGAAAACATTCCTCTGCTAACTTCTGGTGAACCCCAATTGGTCGAAATTTTCCGGAGCCCTCCACTACGGCGTCTCTCATAATCATATGGTGGTTTTGGGACGTTGAACACCACAAACCAACTTCTAGTAAGGCTGTGGCTGGTTCGTTCCTGGCGAGTCGCTACTGTTGCGCAATAGAAGACGCCGGGCTCAAGTTAGTGGAATGCCTTGAGAGCAAGGCATAACACGACATGCAGCCAGACTACACTGCACAGGTTCTTCCGCCCCAATAAATGTATTTTTGTTCAAGTAGGTGTCTCCATTTTTTGTCAAGCAGCAGATCCGCTCACGCTAGACTATGGCAATTTCTTGGTGCAAGTTTTTATAGCGAATTTCGGCTACAGCAAACTATTTCGTGGAGTTCGCTATAACGAGGTTCAACTGTATTAACTATCAGGAAGTGGACTTCAGTGTTTTGGAGCAGCTCAGGGAGCAGGAATAATGCTGTTTTGAAGCAGCTTTCATACAGTAAAAGGGGAGCTTTGCAACAGTTTCCGAGCACTGAAAGGCGAGTTTTGGAGCAACGCAAGTTAGTTGGGACCAGCTTACTATACTTGCAACCTGCGCGCATGCGTCTGTGTAAAACACGCTCATTTCATAGCGTGAAACGAAAAATATATATATATTCTGGGTGGTATAAACATGGAGCTATTTCTTTACGAAAATGTATCTACTACAAGAAGTCTCACTAGCCAACTCTATGTCGCTAGCCTCTGCAGCATTGCACCTGATGTGTGAAACGTAGTGTAGATGATCGCGGCGCACTTCGCTTGGTGGCAGTTCGTTATCCCAATGCTAATTAAACACACCACTCTGCTCGTCTTTGCTCCATGTGGAGCAAAGTGGGGATGAGCAATTCACACAGCAAATTAGCGCGCATGGCACAGCGAGCCGCCTGGCTGTGACAGTGTAGGCAGCATAGGCGCCGCGATGCACGCAACTAATCATGAGATAATCAGAGTCTACACGACCTCTTTGTGTTTCAATGAAATTGCCAGTTGTCGCTTGGTATCATATGTCACAGTAAAGTAGCGCAAATATGTATTGCAGAAAGCCAATAGTGTCCGTTGTGTTGCTATTTCAGTCGCTGTGTATCCTGCACTCTGTAATAGTTTTGAAATGCTCCTTGGCGTTGACACTGAGTGCGATAAAACAATCATGCAAAAGTGCCAGCCCCATATAATCTTTTCCGCACTCTGGCAAAAAGTAAAAAAAAAAAAGACTTTCTGGATGGTACTTTGGGTGACGCGCTGTGGTACTGTATTCCTTTATTTGTGGCGATAGGGCACATCAGTAGATGCACATTTGCATTAGTAAATGTGCACTGCCGTTCAGTGCATGATCGTGCCGCGTTGTCAGCTGGCACTAATCATCAAGGTTTCACAGTATTACTAGATAATTAACAATTACTCATTTGGTGCCAGCACTTTTGCGGGGAAATGACATCAGAGAGCCCCACGAATCAACCGAATTACGTGATCGAACTCCGCTGGATATGAATGCGCCTGCGTCCTTGGTGTTGTCAATGCTCAGTGTTGCTCTCGATGATAATAAACAGCTAGATTTGGCTGTTAACACTTTCAAATAACAATTATTCAGAAAATTTCCGTTTATGCACAGCCTGGCACAGCACTTCAACTTTGAACAATGTATGAACAAGGAATGTTGTTTTAGCTAGAATAGATAGCTTAACAAAGTAACCTTGCTAAAATGTTAGCTACAGCAACATTCCTTACTCATTTTGAGCATCGTAAGCTTTTATCATGGAGCTAACTTCTACACAGTCTTTTAGAAAATTGTTCCTTATTATGCCTATGTTTGTTTAAATGTTTTACTTTAATGTCTCCTCTGCATCTGGTAGCCTGCATCTGCTACAGGTCAATGTGATTATTAAGCTATCCATTAAGCATTTCCAACAAGGCTGCAGTCACCTGAGCTCCAAAGCGGAAGACACCACCCGAGGTTGGGCCAGTGCTGCCAAACTGGAAGGTCACTGGTGGTGCGGCTGTCGGTGGCCGAAAAACGAACGTTGACTGGGAGGGAACAGTTGCAGCAGGCACCCCAAATCCAGTACTAGGCGTTTGCTGTTGCATACCAAAGCCACCTGGCAAAGGAACAAAAACCAGTTATAGTTTGTCCCCAAGCTTCCCGGTGTTTGCAGATTAAAAGATCTGAACTCTGGGCAGGTTAGAAATCAATACAGTAAAACACACACAATTTAGACTTCATGGGACCGGAGAGAATGTCCGAATTGCAAGAGTACGAACAAAACACTTCAACAATGTCTTCTACACCATCAGACATTTATTTCTTAAAAAGTTTGTGATCGCAGTTTGCTTCACGAACGCAATGTGCAACGAAGTCACAATTTTGCGAAGTTCCTGCAGGTGGCTTAGTACGCGTACACTGTCCGAGGAAAGCATGCGTATGTCCTCCAAAACGGCCAACGCATGCGCAGCCCTTGTCATAGTGTGGCGTGGACGCTCGTCACCATCACTTACGCCCTCTTCAGCCGATTCCCCATTTACAGCCCAAGACTTTGGTGACAATATCGCTGTCGGTCACGGTGCCGGCCATGGCAACATCGCTGTCAATTGCGAAGTAATCGCCCAGGGGCACATCAGCTGGCATGATGCTCACATAGCGGCCATCTTGCTCTTCGCCTGATTCCTCATTGGCCACCACTCCCAGATCAGCAGCGCCGTGCATGAAGCCGTTATGCCTGAAGCAGTTTGCGACTACTGCAGGCGGTGTGTTGTTCCACACGTATGTCAGCATCTGGATTGCGCTTAGCAGGCTTACGTTGTACTGCTTGCCTGACTTCATGCAGAGCAACAGTCCGCTCGAGTACCTGCCGTCGATAGCGGCTTTTCATGAACTGTACGATTCCGTGGTCCATCCGTTTGCAGGGACGCAAATGTGTTAGGAGGCAGGAATAGCAATTTAATGTTCTCGAGCCCGGACACCTTCGTGTGCGCACTACAGTTGCCTAGCACGAACAACACCTTTCAAGCCTTGGCCGCAAAGCGGCAGTCGAGCTGATGCAGCGAGGCTTGAAAGAGTTCGGCAGCCTTTCTGTTGAACCGGTAGCCGCTTAATATTCTTAAAACATCTTAAAACGCGATTGTCTTGTCAGGCAGAGCCTTATAGAACAGCGCTGTCTCATCAGCATAGAAAATGTTGCACGGCTCGTTACGTAGAAAGGCACGCGGATAGTCCGGACTGCTAGTCCTGCACAACATTTTCGTCAACCGCACCTCTTTCACCACACACGTTGCAGAACACCAGCCCGTGTCGCTTTTTGAAGCGGTCGAACCAGCCTTCCGACGCACTGAAGGAGTCAATGTTCATGGTTACCGCGAACTTTTCTGCTTGTGCGCAGATAAGGGGGCCGCTCAAGGGCAAACGTGCATAGCGTGAAATGACAATCCAGCGCTACGGCACTTCTTCTAGCTTGGGATGCGCAGCTGTTCGAAGCCTCTTCCTTTGGTCACCAAACATGTCCCCTGTCATACGCTTACATATTCTGCTCTTCGCTCAGCGTGCTTTTCTTCACATCGAACTTTTCCCATCACTTCTTTTCGAGATGCTCCCGCTAGCAACGCCTTCAATATTTTCACCTTCACAGCCAAATCCTTTGCTTCATACTTCGCCCTCTTCGCTGCTAGAGTTGGGGCCGCAGGAGACGGAGGCGAAGCCATCCCAACGTCGCTCGCGCGATGGTCACGCGCACGTGCACGAAGTAGACAACACACACACACATACACACAAAAAAAAAAAACGCACGGTGATAAAAACGAAATGAAAACCGGCGAACTTTTCAAGAAACAGCAAGCAGTAAGACTGCAGATGGCAGTGATCACGAACGGATAAATAATTTAAAGCACACTAGAGGTGAGCAATCCAACCCGACCGTCACGCAGACGTGTTCGACACGCAAGAAAAAAGGAAAGGCGAATCCGTAGGTGGGCCGTTGCTGATGACAGTAGCGATGCACTGCCTTCCATTTTGGTTGTTTAAACCACTGTATTTTTTCGGGGGAGGGGAGGGGGGTGCCTCCAAGTTGTACTACCCATGGACGAAGTTTTGAATCTCAGTGGCCTGCAATCCGATCCCAAAGTTGCTTAGGTGCGCCGTCGATTTGGCCAGCAGAATCCGATGCTGCTTTCCTATCCTGACTCGACCGTGGTTGGGCGTTCGAATGAACCGAAGCACGGCCCAATTTGTCCGCATTAATGAGATTTTTCAGTCATAGATCAATGTACATTTTGGACTGGACCAGACGCCGTGGCCTAACTAACCGAAATTCCGAATCGATAGGGATCAAATTAACGAGATTTTACTGTATTGGAAATGAAAGCATACCTATAAGCCCAAGAATGCCGAATCCGGGAGATTTACGCAACAGCAAGGGGGTTGCCTCACTGAATTATTTGCCCAAGTTTTTTCTTTTTTTTTGCACATTTTTTGTATGAAGAAAAAAAACATCGCGAAAAAATACCAGGACGGGGGGAAATGGCAAGTGCAAACATAGACGTTGCGATCTTATAATAGCTTGTAATGGCCAAACACATGAGGGTAGGGTTTCCAGTAAGGCGAGAGTTTCAAGTGGGAGCGCGAACACTCCCGTAATTTCCCACCATCAAAACAACTAGCAAAATTTAATTCCGTGAAAACAACTCGCATATGTCTTCCTGGGACACACGTGAATGAATGGGATGCTGCAGCTGGCTGCCATGGCCCCGCCGCGGTGGTCTAGTGGCTAAGGTACTCGGCTGCTGACCCGCAGGTTGCGGGTTCGAATCCCTGGCTGCGGCGGCTGCATTTCCGATGGAGGCGGAAATGTTGTAGGCCCGTGTGCTCAGATTTGGGTGCACGTTAAAGAACCCCAGGTGGTCGAAATTTCCGGAGCCCTCCACTACGGCGTCTCTCATAATCAAATGGTGGTTTTGGGACGTTAAACCCCACATATCAATCAGTCAGCTGGCTGCCATGAAAGAGCGGGTCGAAGCTTTGCTCGCTACTAGATTCTTTTGACAGGAATGCCAAAACGCTTCTAGCCTTTTTTACGTATTTACTGCCTTCAGCTGCGTTAGCCGCATGCCTTCGGAGTTCGCAGATCACTAGTCATGTGACCGCAACCGTGATTTTGTGCGCGGTGATTGTGGCAAACGGTAGTTCCATTTTCAAACCACGTGCGCAGACAGCGCACGTGTCTACAAAACCAAGCCGTTTTATGCTATCTATGATCGCATCTGCCACGGTTTTGTCCACAAAGCTTGCGGAAAGCAGTATTGCTTTAACTGGTCGAGCGTCGGACGCGCGCACATTTTTGGAGTTCTGTCACTTGCGTCATCGCCATATATGATCGTGTTAAAAATCACCACGATTTCGTCCACAGCCATTGTGGCAATGACAAACACATGCACTGTAGAAGATGGTACGTACGCTAGTCGCACGCGTACTTCCAAAGCTTCGAGCACACTGCTCTAAGCCTTGGTCAGACGGTTTCGGTACTAAAGTTCGTATCACCCGCCTGCGATTAGGAAAAGTGTTCGGAACGTTCGAATTTTAGCCCGATGAACACAGTAAAATTTGGCTGGAGAATTTCACGAATTCAGATCTGACGTGTTTTCGCATTCCCGAGATTCTACTGTACCTTTAGATGAACGGCTCCTGAATTTGTTTATAATTAAATGCGGAGCGTTGGCGAAAAGCCTGGAGCGGATTGACCTGCATTTTTGTCAATGCAACCAGATCCCGCACACAAATGTGGATTTCCGGGAGATTTTCATGACGATTGTACAAACAGAAGAAACGGTCAAAATTCGGGAATCTCCTGGACAATCCAGAAGATTTGGTAGGTATGTGAAAGACAAAAAAATTGGACATGAAGGAATGAAAGATGCGGAGGGACGTCTATGACGCGCCGTTTATCTGCACCTTTTCATTCGTCTTTTAGCGCCCTTCATTTTCAGTTTGCAGATTACTAGGATACTGAAAATTTAAGCGAGAAAGAAAAAAAAATGAGTAAGTGTTACATAACAACCTTCAAGCCTATAAGTAAACAAATAAATATGTGTGTGTCTATGGACACACACATTTATGTACAAGTTCGCTGCAGGGAAAAAATGTCCTTATACAGAGAAGAATGGTGATGCGAAAGTATGAAGTCCAGTAAATTATTTTGAAATTCAAGTCATGTTTCGCATATGGCACCTACAGACATCAACAATAACGTGACATCAGGCTACAGTGTCAATTCTGATGACTTTGCACTCCAGTATAGCTAATTGGGACTACGTCAGGCACCAAGACATTCAATATGGCCGCCTGAAAATCGCCAAGGCAGCCCTGGAGCAGAGTGGCTGCAGAAATGTCACGACATTTTACACAAGCACGTGTCATGAAGCTAATCCCATGTTGTGTCATTAGGGTACAGTAGGAACCGAAACATCTTGTAATTACTTTTTCAGGGCGCTTAGCTCGTTCATTCTATGCAGAAAAAAATGCGCTAAAATAGAAAAGGACACCAAAAAGAAGGAATGCTAAACAGATCGAGAGCAAACTACCAATCCTTTTTTATTGACTGCAGAGCGTCAGTTAAATAAGCAAACCAAACATAGCTGTGCAGACGTGCCCAGCAACATCATATGCTAATGGATTTTATTCATCACAAAGAGCACTTCTCCACCATTTAATGGTACCGAGGCCTCACTAAGCAGATCCGAGTTTGCACTCGATCTAATTTTTCTGCACTTTTTCAGGGTGCACTCATGCTTACAAACATGTTTTCTAAGCTTCTAAGGGCACGGCCTTGCCTTACATTTGAATAAAAAAAAAACAATATTAATAAAAATAATAATAAAATAAGCTGGTATTTGTGCCACTACTGACACTACATTTCGCGGCCGAGACAACCTGCATGATCGATTCCCGTGAACAAACGTATAAAGCCAACATCCTATTTCTCAGCGCCCGAAATTCCAGACATGCCCGGTTTCTTGAACTCATATGTGGCACCATCAAGTTCCCCGTAATGTCAATGTCTCGAAAAGTCCGAAATTCCAGACGTTTATAGCTTTTGCCACCTGATTTTCGAACTTTTTACCACAAACCGCAGACTCAGTCACCATCGACGCCACCATTTTGGCTGTTCGGACCCTCGAACCCAATACGCCGCGGTTGCCGTACCCTTGAAACCGAAAAGGCCGCAATCCAGCGCACGCCAATCTGTTGCCAGCTGTAGCTTAGGCTGCATGGTGCTGTTATTACTGTTATGGTGCTGTGCAGCCTGTGTTCTGACAGCGGGAAAAGCTACGCTGTCGACCTATGGTCTGCCATCGGCATGCTTGCAGACTCGTGGAATGTTACGCAACAGACCCTCCGGAACTGTTTTCGTTACGCGTGCTTTATACTGGACGCTAAGATGGCCGTCTTGCCTGCAGAGGACAGCGTGTGCGACGAACTTCCACCCACGACAGGACATTGCTCTCAACGATCTGCACGTTGCCAGTGTTTTGATTCCAGCCAAGATAACCCTTGAGGGCTTCGCCAACGCTGACAAAAACCTTGAGCCACGGAGGATCCGACGACACCAAGATCGAAGAAACAGTGCCTACACAACAGACGAGCTTGGGGATGACAAGCGCACAGACACTGTCATCGGTGCACAACGACAGGATCGTATTAACTGAAATTGAGGCAGACACCATCGCGGCCAAGTGGAACGCCGCGCATACAAAAATAAGCGACCTTTTTTTTTTCTTTCTTTTTGCACATAAGTGTTTACAAATGTGGTATTACTGGACAAATCGGACTTTTTTCGTTTCTTTTTTTTTTTCAGGGCCACCTAAACGACGATGCATTGTAACGACACCCTGTACTCCTGCTGCAACCCTCTTCGTCATTGAAAAATACATATTAAAAAGTGTTTTCACTTGCATTCATTTTTCTGGACTGTCTGATTTTCCGGATGTTTTCACGGTCCCTTGAAAGTGTGGCAAATCGGACGTCGACTGCAAAATACCAACTGCGAACATAGCTTGGAAGGTATTCTTTATTGATGTTTGTGTGCGTGATAGGACACCACTCCCTCGAAAGTGACCACGATGACCTCCCTACTTCCCTCATGTCACCTCGCTGCAGTCAATACCGTATATACTCGCACAATGATCCCACTTTTTAAAAAAAAATTGACTCCCATTTCGGGATGCGATCATTATGCGGGGTAAATTTTCTGTGAAAAAATATTCTGAGCACCGGAAACGCAAAAAAGGCGCTAATAAGAATTCTTGCGGTAGCTATCATGAGCAAACCAAAAATAAAAGTAAATTAAGGTTTACCTTTGTAATAAAATGCATGCATTACGCAGAAGCTACATGCATGGCACACTGCCCTTTCATTTTTTACCTCTCTGACCCCCTAACGTTCATTCAGACTCTAAAGCATCACTGGCGTCAGTGTCGTCGCCGCACGATTTCTTGTCGGAACCAGCAGTGTCTTCATTGTCCCACAGAGGGTCATCTTCCGTTCCGTCGAGCGCGTTGGAAATGCCAGCAACAGTCCATTCCGCCGCATGAAGCGTGTCGTCCAGCCGGAACAGGCACGGAAATCCTTTGTGGCAATTCCCAGCCTCCAGGAAACTGAACGCCTGTGTCTGTATCATGTCTCATGACACTACATAACCGTCCTTGCGCATGTCCTTCACGTATTTGAGGACTGCCTTTTCAATGTCAGGGAACTTGCCAGATTTGGGTCCGCAGAAAGACAATCGCGTGCTGTTAGTAGCCATGAGCATGTCGCGCTGTTTTTTTTCAATATCGGATCCGTATTTCGTCGACGCCGAAATGTCTGCCGGCAGCGCGGTTGCCGTGCTCTAGCGCGTAGTCAAGCGCCTTCAGCTTGAACGCGGCAGTAAAGCTCGCATACCGCCCCATGGTGAAACGGCGCTTTAACAGACGATCACAAAGCACACCAAGAAAAAAAAAAATGTGGTCTCAGGAAAAAAAAAAAAACATTGCTACGGGATGAACACAGGCCGGCCAACAGGCGGCTGCCGCTGTAACAGTGCGGGATGTTAAAACAAACATGGCAGCTCACGGAGCGAAGCCATCGCATTTTTTTTTTTTCTTCTTTGCGTCAGTTCTGGAGGTTTTAAGTACGTCGAGCGCGTCAGAACAGTTTCTTCCATCTAAATGAGGAATGCTTTCATTTAAATCAGTAAATTTACAGCATTAGCATAGTGATGCCCGCTTTCAGATCACAGAAACAATAATAGACGCATTCAGCTAGACGTGGCACATGACATGCCGATGCGGTAAGTTTAGGGTGCGATCATTACGCGGGGGGAAAAAAAGTCGAATTTAGACGACAAAATTTAGGGGTGCGATCGTTATGCGAGTGCGATCATTACATGAGTAAATATGGTACAACAAGCTACGATGATGTCATAGCTGCCATTCTTCTTTGTGCTATGTTTGCTGCAGCAGGCAATTATGTGGAGGTAGCTCGCGAGTCTGTGACAGTGGCACACGCATTGAATGTTTTGTGTTTGGTGACATCTGTCCAGTTTCCTGTTCGAACGACTGATGTGTATCGCACGAAATGCGTCACAGTTTTGTGAGCCAATGTGGTCTTGCGTTTCACATGCTAGATGGCGATAGTTGCACCCAGCGGCTTGTCATTTTTGAAGCTCTCTAAAACCGAAACTGACTGTTTGGTAATGGGGAGCTTGTAATTAATTGTCTGTTGCACACAGCACTAAACGATGTACTGTCTTATGACAAATGGGCCCCAAGCAACACATCGTAGCAACAAAACGCGAGGCTAAAATTTGTGTCAGTGCCCTTTAAGCTTGAAAACGTAGTCACTGCAAGTCACACTAAAATTCAGAATATGACAAATGGCACAAAAAAAGCCAAACAACTTCAAGGGGAGCCAACTCACTTGTCATGCTGGTGGCCGTGGGTGCTACTGCAGGTGCGGCAGCAGGCTTGAGAGGGTTGAGGGCACCAAAAGCAGGTGTGGGTGTAAGCCCCAATGCCAAATGCCGGCTGCTGTGCTGCCACATGTGGCTCTGGGGGCTTGTTTGCCAGAGTGCCAAAAGATGGCAGAGGGGTCGATGCACCGCTGGCAGGTTGGGGAAAAGCTGGCGACACAGGCTGGGAGCCAAATGAAAATGTCGCAGCGCTGGCATCACTCTTCTGGCCAAAGACAAACTGGGAACTTGGAAAGGCCGGCTTAGCAGGTTCCATGGTTGGTGCTGCTGCCGGCAGGGAAATGGCCGCATGCGCGGTAGTAGCTGGTGCTAGGAAGCCAGCCAGTTGTCCAGCAGTGGTAGTCTGGCTGCCTCCCGGATGCACAACAGACGGCTGCTGCACTGCCGCTGGGGGGGCTGACATTTCACTGGGCTTTGCTGCCAAGCCAAATAAAAACTGCTTTGGTGCTGTCTCTGCTGCTCCTGCTGTAGTTGCAGGCGTCCCGAAACTGAAAGGCTTAGTGGGAGTGTCGACAGTTGCACCTAATTTTGGTGTTGGCTCTACAGTGGCACCAAATTGAAACAGCTTAGACGGTTCGGTGGGACCCGATGGGTTGAGGAACTTGAAAGTCTTTGCAGGTGGTTGCTGTTCTTCGGAGGAACCAGGCCTGACACTCTTCGTAGAATCCTCTGCAGTGGCGCCAAACTTGAAGCCTCCAGTGGATGTCTCTGTCGAAGGGGTGGTGCCAAATGCAAACGGTTTTGCCGGTTCCTTGACAGTAGTGGACCCAAAAGTAAATTCTTTGCTTGGCTCTGCCATGTGGCCGAGTTTGAAGCCACCCGATGCACCTTCTGCAGAGTTGGCGACTGGGGATGGCTTGGCAGGCTCATCTGTGCTGGCACTGAACTTGAAAGACTTTGTAGAAGCTTCTGAGCCACTTCCAGTCTGAGGCAACTTGGCTTGCTCGTCTGTGGTGCAGCCAAACTTCAGAGGCTTCGAGGGCTGCTCTGAGGACGAACCGAAGTTGAACAGCTTAGCTGCTTCTTCTGTAGTTGTGTTTGGTTTGGCTTTCTTCGTTGGCTCCTCTGAACTAGCACCAAATGTAAATGACTTTGTCTGCCGTTCAGATGCCGTTGTGCCAAACTTAAATGACTTTGTTGCAGGCTCGTTAGTGGTGGTGCCAAATTTGAAAGGTGTAGCTTGCTCTTCAGTGTTCGAGCCAAACTTGAATGCCTTTGATGCTTCACTAGCTGACGAACCAAAATTGATGGCCTTTGATGGTTCCTCCGAGGACGAACCAAACTTGAAGTCCTTCATCGGTGCCACAGCAGTTGTAGAAGAAGGGGCACTTGTAACAGTGGTAGTGCTAGTAATGCCAAACTTGAAAGGTTTCCCTGCACTCTCCACAGAAGGAACAGCCTCGGATGGCTTCGCAGTGCCCGATGAAGGTATGCCAAACTTGAATTGCGCAGGTGCCGCAGCAAATGGCGCACCACCGAAACCGCTGGACTCGGAGGAAGGCAACTTGAAATTGAATGCTGCAGCAGCCGCTGTTCAGAGAAAAAGTAAAAAAAAAGTGATGGGAGTCACAAAATAAAATGAACAAAGACACAAAGAATGCAGCAAGAGTGGCAGCTGGAAACGTTTTACACATTTATCTTCTCTCCCCCCCCCCCCCTTTTTCACCTGCCACTCTAATACAATGCAGCTACGTTAATCAGATTAAAAAGGAAGAGAGACAAGAAAATGAAATATTCAAATGATGTTAAAAGGCTTGCAATGAAGGACACAGCATATGATAAAACAACCACCTGCGTTTCAGGCACTAGCATAGGCAGAGACTTGTGCGATAGCAACTCATAGAAAACAATGCTAATACAATGCTAAACAAGCTTTAGCACTCTCTTCCTGGTAACACTGACACCTTACCACTGAAATATTCCTGGCTGCCACTGGTGAGCTTATTACATGTAAGTACCTTCATTTTTAATCATTTATATTTTCGCATAAGTTGTTCTCCTTTAATAGCCATAAATTAAGGGGCAGATAATGTGTATATCAAAAGCGTGTAAATTCAATCCTCGCTGATTTGGAATATTGGATAACTCTAATGAGTGTTTCTAGCACTGTTCGTATACCTTAAAAACCAGAATATAAGTTAAACTTAAAAAAAAAGAAATCACGCAATGTAACGTCGACCCTCGTCTTGTATAGCGGTCATTGGCAGAAAAAAAAAACCGTCATCGCAACTATGGGCAGCTGAAGTCGAAAGCCTTCACTGCCATCGTGAGCATCAGCACCGGCATGGTTGCAGAACTATGCAAGGCTTACAGTGTTTAGCAACACAATTTTGCCTTGGTTATCTGCTGTCAGTCTGCTGTTTTTTGTTTTTCTATTTCCTTCAGAAAAATGGTAGTCGACGGCAGTTTACAATAGGCTTTAAGAAAAAAGTTATCGAGTATGCTGAAGTGCACGGCAACATTAGTGGCACAATGGGAATTCGGTGCATCGTTGAAAGGCGTTTGGTACTAGAGGAGCCAAAAGCAGTGCATCGCATCCTGCAGCCAAAAAAGTTTCGTAGGCGGACTGCACTGTATCCCGAACTGAAAACGCTACTCGCTAAATTTGTCTAAGAGCTGTGTGCAAGGTCGCTACCCGTAACAGGGGAGTGCATCCGCGTGAAAGCTCTCGAGGTTCTGTGCTCACGAGGGTGCAATTTAAGAGATCGCCATTGTGGGCGTGCCGATTTAAGAAGCGAATGGGCTTTGCGCTGAGGCTGCGCACTTCCGTCTTTCCGCAAAGGATGAAACGGAGCATAATGCACTCTGGGACGTTACTAGTGAAAAACAGACGTCGTCGGACTCAAGTTGGGATGAGTCTGAGTGACTGCGCTTTGTGGCCTTCTGGCGTTTACCTACAAAAGATTAGTGTCTAAATAAAAAGAAATGTCACCACAATGCAGCTGGTTGCGTCTCGTATTTACTAAGGTAACGGTGCGCCGCAATACTTTGCGATTTCGAAACAATTTTTTTTTTTTTTTGAAGATTCAAAGTTTGGGGGGTCGACCTATACTTCGGTCTTTACAGTACATATAGCTGCATTATGTCTTTTTTGTGGGCCCATGAGTAGCATGACCGTGAGTGGCACAAATAGAGGACCTTAAGCTGCACGCCAATCCGGGAAAAGTTACTGCAGACTGAAAATAAGAAAAATCCGATCCTTGAAGACTTCCTGACTTTCTTAAGCAACTCTGTGTATATTGAATTTGTCTAGGCAATAGCACTGCAAGTGAAGAGGTATCCAAAAGTGATATTAAAGCCAGTAAAACAGGCTCACGAAAGGTGACCAGTCAGAAGAATAAATCTTCCTTTCTTTGAAAGACGATTCCATGCAAGATCAAACAATGCACGGCCGGTTGAAATCTTACAATTATTTAAAATTTTATTATTTGTTGCTCGATGAGTGAAAAGAAATCCGCAATTGGTTTGCTGGGAAATTTTTTTTTTCCTGAGCATTGTAAATCAATAATGATGAAAAAGTTATGAGCCATGCTCATCTGCGCAGTTGTTTTTTCTGAGGTTACGAGTTACATGAAGTATAATATTTCCACATAAAATTTTTTTTAGCTAAATATACACATGTTTCGCTTGTGCTCAGTTATTTTCGGTTGGCCTGAGTAGTGAACATATTTTCATAAATGATTTTAAAATTGACTCAGGAAATGTCTTTTTGCCTACTTTGCAGGTCTATATTTTGAAAAGGGCGTATGACAAAGCGGTGAAAATTCCGCATTATGTTATCAACATGCTTACTTATCAAAATACCAAAGCTTTTATTAATATAACTTTACCACCTAAGTTCCTTTTTTTTTTAATACTGTTTCTTAAAATACTGTGTTCACGGAGAAGGGAGACAATTCACCCTGTGCCGAGGAAAGAGCAGGCAGTGCTGGCCAACGGCCGAGGATTCTCGCACGCGCAACAACGTGCTGCCGATGGTTGGTTCCTGACCAGGCACGTGTCGCACTCCCAGAGGGACCCACTGGCCGCCGCGGAAGGTGCAGCACCGGCCGTAGCACTGTTGGCTGACGACCGAGGAGTCTCGCACGCACAGCAGCGAGTTGCGCTGGTCTCGTTCCTCACCAGGCACGTGCCGCACTCCCAGCGGGGGGAGGTTGCCAGCAGCTACACTCGCAGGCGGTGGGGCCACAGGGGCAGGCACGGTTGAAGCGACACTAGTAGGAGCTGGTGCTGCTGGTTTGGGAGTGGACCCGGGACGCAGCGTCTCGCAGGCTTGGCAGCGGCTTGCAGAGGCCGGATTGGTGATCATGCACTCCGAACACGACCAGCTTCCGGCAGCTGGCTTGAAACGTGCCCACAGGTCTCCGCCACCTGGCCACAACAAAGAAGTTAAGGTTTAATGTCTTGAAAATCAAGAAGTTGGGGTTTAACAGTCCCAAACCACCAAATGATTATTGGAGAACACGTAGTGGACGATTCCAAAATTTTGACCACCTGGGGTTCTTAAACGTGCACCTAAATCTAAGCACGCAGGCCTCAAGCATTTTCGCTCCCATCTAACATGCGATTGCTGTGGCCGAGATTCGATACTGCAACCTGCGAGTCGGCAGCTGAGTATCTTAGCCACTAGGCCACCATGAGAGTGGCAACAAGGAAGCAGGTGCAGGAAATTAGTGCAGGGCAGACCTTCAACACCTTTCTGGCATAATCTGAAACCGCTGCTGGTCAACAAGTTATAATACAAAGCCGATCACTGTAGCACAGCAAACGGCCCTAGAATTTACAATTATTTCTAAAGTCACCTAGGCATTTTTCAATTTTTTTTCTACAAATGATGCCATCTACCCACATTTCACAGCAGTGGTTGATTTGAACACTTTCCTGACTGCCACCTACTAAAAATCTGTTCGTATATGTGTCAAATCCCTACGATATTGCTTCAAGGTGTTCAGTATTTTATTTTAAGGGGGCCGACTGGTCTTTGGGACCAAAAAGTGACAGAAAAATTCATTTTTTAAGATTGACATATTTGGTTTTTGCAAGTATTTTTCCATCTCTCTGCAAATTTTCACACAACAGAAAGTGGTAATTTTTTTGTAATGTCATTCTAACTGTCCAGATTCTTGGTGCTGTTAACATGCAGAGCCTGCGAAAAAATGGGAAACCGACTTCGAGGTTTCTTTTTAATTAGCCGACACCTATGTTTGAACCTCTGCTACGAACTTATGAGCACCTTTATGAGGATTGGCAAAACATGCGCATCATGATTGTTACTTTTTGAAGAAGCTGTGTTTTCAGATTTCTTTTTCATTTTTCTCAAAATAGTAAATTTACGACTGTTCAATTTTGAGGCCTTAATATCTCTGCAGCTAGGGCAGGTACAACAATAATTCTTTTTGCAATGGAAACCTGTATGTGTGTAGAGTGCAAGTATGGGAGCAGAATTTAGAGCCCAAGCCTTTTTAATTAATGACTCATCAAAATTGTAATACAATTGCAACTGCTTTTGAAAATGGATACTTCATTTTGCTGTAAAATAACCAAAAAGGCTTAAAAACAACTCTTGCAACTCTTGCATACTTTCAATCTATAGTCATTAGTCTATGTTGGCATATCTTAAAATATCGCTTTTAATTAGGCACTTTTTTTTCTATATTGAGGTGGCCTTAAACAATAGGAGGTGAACTTAAGCTATCTCAGGAACAAGATGAGTTACAGAAAAATCAATTAAATGTTTGAAATCAACGGAAAAAACTGCATAATTCTGTACAGTTTGATTAAGATCATTGAAGAAATAAACAGAAAGATGTCCAAGACCAGTCTGCCCTCTTAACAACAATAATGAGATAATTGTTGCATTTATGTGTGTTACAGTGACTCATCTTAATTAAGTTGTAATTACATATCTCTTTACCCTGAAGTCTTTGATACTTATTTTTGGCATAAACAAAATACAATATCAGGCTAGGAATAAAGTGAAAAATTCATTTTTTATTTATGTCCATTCTTAGAAAACGAAAATTCTGCTTTTCACATTGCTTGTAAAAATCAGCACGTCGCACGGCTCAACAAACGTGGTAGCGTCTTCAGAAAGGTAATCATATGTACCAATACACTGCAAAATGAAGTTGAACAAGGACAAATTTATATTGCAGAAGGTTCAATTCTCATGAAGTACAATATATCTTGCTCTATCTCAGCCTGTACTTGCTGCAAATAGCAAGAACGAGTGGTGTACACAATTGTGTACATAGCGTCTCAAAGGGTTAATACTGTGAGCTGCATAGTCATCGTGGCCATCGCAGCAGGCCACCACGTGCTCTCGCACTCGTCCCCAAAAAAATGACACATTCAAACAAACAAACAAAAAATGTGCTCAAGGTCATTACTGTGCACGTGACATAGCTTCTTTACCTCGTACCATCCTGCCTTGCTTAGTGGCTTACAGTGCGTTTGTCAATACGTGAGAAGAGAGAAAGCAATTACAACGTCGTATCTTGTGCATGGTCATTTGACAAAATGCTGATATGTTGCCACATCAGGGTAACTGTGTTTACTTTTTCAAGGTGCACTCCCGCTTGCCAACACATTTGCTGAGCTTTTGTGGGTTCGCCTTCTCGTTTGATGGGAAAAAAAAAGAAAACAAAAACAGAAAATTTCATTTAGTACCCCTAAGCCATCCCCCCCCCCCCCCCCCAATCCTACTCCACTTTACCTGAACTAACACCACAAGACACAAAGTGCTGCTAGAGGCTGCTAAGCTTGACAATGATTATCCAACCTTAAAAACAGCACATACGTACTCTTATCATAGAGCCATCACATCGAGTTAAGGACAATTGCAGTGAAGGGTCATCCCCTGAAGCTAATCTAGCAGTGTCCAGGGCCGCCCTCCTTGCTGACACAAGCGCTACATATCAGCTTCCTGCTTCTGGTGTTGCTAATACTAACATTGCTGTTGGCAGCGTTACACAACAGTAAGCATGCGACTGTTTAAGAAACATCTGTACATACATCTGTACTATCCTTAGCGTCATTTCATAATGTTTTGCTCCATAAAAGAGTTACAACACAGTCGCCTTCCCTCTACATGCTTCGCATAACATCAATTCCCAGGCTACGTAGGATTTGCCGAAATGTTCTTTGTCATTTCGAAAATTCCTTTGTAGGTTCATGCTTAAGGAGGGAACTCAGCACTATTTACCTCTGCTTGTATTCTTTTCGTGATCGTAAGACGCAGTAAAAGCCTTTAAAATAGATCATACTAAATCACCTAAGGTTTGACTTTACCTCCCTACTTTGCTCAGCCTCCTAAAGCTCATCAAGCCCACACCGGGCATGAAACTGCCGAGCGAGGAGAACACTTGCGAGCACCTTTTGTGGAACTGCTGCTGTCCTTGTCATTTTTGGCCGTGGCATTTCCGGGCTTTCTTGTGTCTCCAGACTTCTTGCTCTCTGGTACACTAACATTCGGCTCAGACTTGGTCAAAATGGCTTCTCCGGGTTTCTTGTGACTGTGGTCTAAATTAAATGGTCCAATTAAGCCATTGCAAACACACACAAGCACACATTTTCTGTATTTTGAGCGAATAAACAAGACAGCTTTACGAATCAGAAACTTCACCTTCTAAACACTGCTTCATCCAGAACTATCTACTTCACACAATAACCCATCACTGTTAAACAATGCTGAGAATTTTTTAGAGCTTTGCCCAAGAATCATCATGGCTGAATTAGTTTAGAAAACGTATGTGACAGCATACATACTGCCAGCCACAGAAACTGCTACACAAGGTACAGTAAAAGTCAGTGAATTCGACACTCATTAATTTGAAAAAATCGGATACTTCAGAAGTGTTGTCTGTAGACTTGTGCGAATAGTGAATTTGAGGTTCGAAGCGAATTTGAAGCGAATAGCGATTTCGATCAAATAATTTCAAATCAAATTTGAATGGTATGTATGACATATAAAAAAAGGAATATTTATCATGACCTAACTAACCTGCACAATATTTCTTTTGAATTGCAATAAGGGCTTTATGCAAATGCCATTTTTTTTCGTTCAAAGCCAGTCGAAACTACCTGAAGTAGTAGTTTCGGTAGGATGTGAGTGATAACCTATAAGATATTAAACGTCTTAAAATTTATTATACTTGGAGGATATAAGACATCATAACAAGCCTAATCAAATGAAGAATTGACTTGAGGAAAACATGTTCCTTTAAAAGGGGCCCTGCAACACCTTTTCAAGTAGTCCATGGAGCCAGTAAACGTGCTTATTGCCTCACAAATTTACCACCGCAAGGTTTCTAGAATCAGTCCAGTACGAGCGGAGCTCCAAATATTTGCCGCACGCTGCAATTGCATTTTCTTTTCTCGTGCACATGAAACAGCTGGAAGCTAAGAAGGAAGGAACGGCAAGGTGAAAAAGAATACGCCACATGCACCTCGTGACCTTGAGCACCTTTCTTTTTGCTTTTTTTTTTTTCAAATGCGCGGCTTTTCAGTGCGATCGCGCACGTACTCGTGGACAAGGGGCGACCTCCTGCGGCGGCCCTGGTATTGTGTGTCATGCTCAAATCAGCCAATAGCTGTTACGAGAGCCGTATATTCCTTCTTGGCTCCGGCAAGTGATTTTTTTTTTTTTTTGTCAATTGCCGTAGGAAGAAAGCAATTTTTAGCTTTGAAAACTCAATGTTAATTACAGGCCGCGTGCTGCGCTATAATGTTTGCCTCGCCTGTTCTCAGTAGCCTCGACTACTGGTCGACAGCATTTTCTGACCATGTTCAGGAAGTGTTGCAGGGCCCCTTTAAATTTAAAAAGGGGCTTCGTGGCAAAGCAAATTTTCCCCGGATAAGTGCTTTCACGGCTAAGCATGCCTACATTGCAGCGAAACCACCTTTACCAGCGATGACATGCGGATTAATATACACCTATCCGTTCATTGCAAATATTCGATAATTTAAATTTGAACAGAAGCAAATTCGAATATTCAACTATTCGTTCGAATATTCGCACAAGTCTAGTTGTCTGGTCCCGCTCAGCCAGCACATACATTTTTCAATGGCACCAAATTCTCGTTAATTCAGCTACATTTGGCCCAACCAGGTATTTGATTTTATGGTGCAAAAAATCTAAATAGCAAAAGAGGACATGGGGAAGGGCCCTCTGACACATTTTCTCTCTTGTGATTGTGTTTTTGCACCTTAAAATCAATTATGAACAAACACCAACTCACCCAACAAAAAGTTTTCTTAAGCCAATTCAGTTAATTCGGATGACCTTCGGAGCATGCCAAGCTAAAGCTGCAAATGTGCAATGCAAGGCAGCAAAAACGGTGTTAGTGGACAGCCAAAATCGCTGAGGGCTTCGGAAAGACATGGCCGCCATCCACAATCGCGTTGTTAGTACGTAATAAGATATGGGTTCAGGGCACATTTCGACTTAACATGCAGGCTCTCGAGCTGCGTTCACATATTGAACGAAGTCACAAAAAATATTGCGACTTTTTTACTGTTCTTATTTAAAGTAATTACTGGATTTAGTATTCCTTAAGAATATGAAAGTGCACTGATAGAACAAAGATTTGTTATACGTTTCCTAGATAATTCTGATAACTTGCCAACTTGGTAATTAAAAGAGCACTGATATCAAATTTGCTCATGTCAATATTTTTGGGTCAATAATCATCATCAATCGCCTAGTAGTGATTCACAACCAATAACGCAACTGATGAATAACTATCACGTTTATTGATTTATATCAACAGTATCTAGCAAGATTCAAGACTGCCTGCAATCCCACCATTTTTAGCGCTGGGAGCGCTACCAGTGACGCTACCTCGCGGTCACCATGAGACCACACAACAGCTGACCACTTCTTCCCAGAAAAGAGTGACGTGAGTCCATTCTGCCCCGCCAACATTTCGTCTGCTGATTGATTGATTGATTTGTGGGGTTTAACGTCCCAAAACCACCATATGATTATGAGAGACGCCGTAGTGGAGGACTCCGGAAATTTTGACCACCTGGGGTTCTTTAACGAGCACCCAAATCTGAACACACGGGCCAGCGACATTTCCGCCTCCATCGGAAATGCAGCCGCCGCAGCCGGGATTTGAACCCGCGACCTGCGGGTCAGCAGCCGAGTACCTTAGCCACTAGACAACCACGGCGGGGCGTACATTTCGTCTGCTAGGCGCATACATTCAGTCATGCCTTGTCACCAGCATTGCCGTCATCGGGGTCGAATACGACAGTCTGGAGCTTGGAATTGCTGCAATTGGCGCCGTCGTGAATTATTTTTGCTTTGATCAACCCTTTGCAGAACAGCGATTTCAAAATAAATGCCGTTCCAAGCAGCAATGAGGAGGTGCTCAAGGATGCATGCTTTGGCCACGCTCGCACGATGGCCACTTGTGCGGCTTGCACAGAATTCAGGTATATGCAGAGGTGTCAATGGAATAACAATATAGGAGAAGCACACCAGCGGAGAAACAGAATATGTTCCCTGCTGCCAGGTTCTTTTTTGCGACTCCAGATGGCCCCACCTATCCGGTCTCTCACAGTGGCAGCGTGAGTAGCCCAACGCAAGAAAGTCTCACAGATGCAAAGGAGTCTACAGATGAACTAAAATTCACTATTAACTGATACCTGCATGTTACTTGTTATCGTGTTGGCATGTAACATACGCATAATGAAAAGACACCCTCATTGCACTCTTTCCGCAGTTCCAACCAGACTACTGCAACTCACAATGATTCCCCGACGCTCTGACTGACTAGTACACGTTGAATTGTGCTCTGGTGGCTTGCATCTTGTTAATTTCATGAAATAATTCAAAGCGGTGCGACTATCAGACATAATGAGCGAGTACGTTTCCAGGCTTTGGCGCAACGATAAAAACACTCGGATCGTAGACGTCATGGCTACTAGCGCATCTTAACACAGGATGGTATGCGTGGAATGTATCACACCGAACCCATAGCACTAGTCTCGATGTTGAAGGGGCACTTCATTTTCTATTAAGCTATCGTATTGTCACGGGGTCGTGACGTGGCCGAAGACAGGAGACTTTGCGTTGGAATTTAACTGATTATTTGGGCGAACCTGTGCCCGGTAAACGGAAAGTCCGATTACAGTAGCAGTCTTGGACAGATAGCGGCGAACGGAGCGTCGGCCGTCGATCAACTACTGACAAGCGGCGAAGAGCGTCGGCATTTATACTCTTGCCATCGAATGTTCTAGCGTTATCGCTGGCGGTGGCACAGGTTCCAGAATAATCTGTACAGTTCGCAGAGTGGGCGTGATCTTATCGAAATGATCTACTAAAGTCCGGAAGCATCTCGAAAACTGCACGCGCGTTTTGTGCCGAGAATTGTGTAGTGTTTTGGGGCGATAACAAAACTTGAGAAATAGAACGTGGCAGTATGCTGTTTGCCGTCGAAATAAAATAACTTCCATTGCGACGGATGCGATGCAAATTTGGCCAAGAGGACCTACGCCCACAGAACAATCAAATGAAGGGCACATCTTGATTTTGAAATTTGATGTCAGTGCTCTTTTAAGGCAGTCTTTCTGGTCTCGTGAAATCCAAATGAGCATTTGCTGTAATGCAAAAAAAAAAAATTGCATCCAAATTCACCTGTTTTGTCACTCAGTGTTCCCTCCTTCTGTCTTTCGTCACCACGCGGCCCCCAAGGCTCAGAGAATTGATATACCTAGACACCATAAACGAAAAAGCAGCACCGTACCATGCTTTAGTAACACCTAAAGAAAAAAAGCAAAGTGAAAGTTTGACATTTTTTACCAGTGAAGCCTTCCTACAATAAAGTCACAACATAAAAGTCTGTCATATCTAGGAAGATAGCTATAAGCAAATAAGATATAGAGAGAAAATTGCAATAAGACCTGAGATAATGCAAGCATGATGTGACAAAGCAGTACAGCTTCTTAGGAGATATTGAACATCCAACAAAAAAACATGCTGCTATACAAAACAGGAAAAGCAATAAAATACCTACACAGAACACAGTGGGACACCAATGAAACCTGTTGGCTTCATGGTTGCCACTGGGCAAACTCTAAATGCAACGAGAAGCTATAAGTAGCCAAAGGTAACCATGCCAATTAATCCTCGCACCAATCATGTAGCCAAACATACAACAGTAATGGAGTCAAAAACAGATATCTGAATACCAAAATATTTGAAATATGTCTCAAAATACCAAAAAATTTCTTGAAACATTTTAAATCAAGAAATAGAATAGCAAAAGCTTTTTTCCTCATGCTTGGTGTCAAACTAAACATAAGCGGTAAATAAATAAGTAAATTATTATGCAATCACAGCTCTAAATTTATAACCAAATAGAACAGCAGCAATATCATTAAAGCGCCACTCACCAGGTTTGACAATTTTGAGCTGACAAGCGCAATGTGTACACGAGGCGTTCATGATCACGTCTGCTCAAATTCGGACCGCCATGCACCATGAAATGGGTCAAATTTTAAGATGAACGCTGCTCCCCCTCCCCTCTGCCGGTGTGCACCCGGAGAATGAAGGCATGTCGTGCGCGTATGAATGGCCCTACGTACACGGCAATGCAGTGATGTTGGTTCTCTACGTAGACGACTCTGCTGTGACGTTACACACAGTGGCACGTGACATGGCGAAAATTATTTAACACGGCATGCGTAGTTTATGTAATTTGTAGCTTGAAGAGATTAATAAAACTCTAGAAAAATAACAAGACGCAATAAGGGAATGTGAGCGTCTCTTTTCCATTTTTCTCCCGTGAATTGCGACTGAGGTGCGGGGCTAATGTGTCGGCGTTTCGCATGCGTTGGTGTCCTCGCGGTCAGCGCGAGCAGACGACCGCCGTGGAACGCTCCTACGCATTCGCGCACTCATTATGCTCATCTATTGTACCGCATCTAAGCCAGCGAAGACCACAAAATAACGCTGGTCAACAAAGCAATGCTGCTCGCGTGCTTGGGAATTGGACATGTTTGGGCACGTCCCACGCACGTCACGTCTTGATCGGATGCCGGAGAGGGTGGGGAGATACTCGGCTTGCGAAGGCTACGCAGAGGAGCGGCAAGGGTTTGGAGTTCGCCTCCTCTCATCCTCGTTTAGCGCCGCTTCTTTTTCTGCTCGTGATGAACCGATTCAATGTTTGTGGCAAAATAATCTTCGTCAGACACCCAACAACTTCCACTGTCTAACTAAAATTTGGTATGGGGCCTGGTGAGTGGCCCTTTCTTAGAATTGTCTCAACAAATATCCCTTTGAATCACTACAAACATAAAATATAGAATAAAGAGCCCAACTTTTCCCTTCTTGCTTGGTTTTCCAGTGACTTGTCGGTCATATTTATTTCAATGTACTCAATATTCTATTGCAAACATGGTAAAGTATTCATTAGGAATGTTAATATATCGATTTGAATTTTGCTGTAAATTTTACTTTAAGTACACCACTTTTTATTTAATCTTTTTATTTTATTTAAGCAAATGACTGACAACGCATCATGCCTGAAAAGGCAACTGAACCATTGCAAACGATGAGAATAGAACTGAAGATTGCATAACCTTTCATGTGCTGCTATGATCCTTTATAAGCAACTCATGATGTGCCATTATGCAAGAAGACATAATGGAGTATAAAATAAGACAATGTCTAACAAAGCTCACCTGGTCCCTCTGGGATTGTGCCACCAATGCAGCACTAGCGCTAGCCAATGGCTTTGGCTTGCTGAATGTGAACTCAGCACGACAGTGTGCACCAGCAGGGTTGGTGCTGGTGGGGATACTGCTGATTGGGCCAGATCTGACAAGGCTGGAGCTCACAAGGCTTGAACTGATAGGGCTGGAGCTGACATGGCTGGAGCTGACATGGCTGGAGCTTACAAGGTTGGTACCTAAGAAGCCAGTGTTTACAATGCCAGAACTGACAGATCCAGAGATGATGGTGCCAGAGCTGGTGGGGCCAGAGCTGACGGCACTAGAACTGAAGGCACTAGTGCTGACGGCACTAGGGCTGATGGCACTAGGGCCGACGGCACTAGGGCTGAAGGCACTAGAGTTCATGGTGCTAGAGTTGATTGGGCTAGAGCTTACAAGGCCAGAACTGATACTTCCACCACTTGTCTTGCCACTGCTGTTGCTTGTGATAGTGGTCGGTGTTGTTACTGGCTGTGTTTGTGGTGGATTGAGGTTGAAGGAGAATTTAGGAAGCTTCTGGATGGGTGGAAGGGGTACCGGAGGGGGGAGTTCTTCCTCTGATTCCAATGGTGGGCCACTCATCTGCAATGTAGGCATTCAAAAGAAGACATTGATTGGCAAATAGGGAGAACACAACTGGCCGCTCTACTTATTTAGGCGAATGTTTTGCACTAGTAAAGCATTTAAATAGGCATGATAGACTACAGTGAATACTGAACAATATCGATAACTAAATCGAGAGATTTCCAGCTTGCAGAGCTACATTACAACTTTCAAAAGAAGTAGCCTTTATCAAGTGCTTCATTGCCTGAGCTAATTTAGTTCCTCCTTTGTGTTGCTGTAACTGCCGTCACAGTGAAACGTCACTATAGGGACTAGCGAATATGGGTTAGTATTAGTTAATGTCTACCTTCAGTGGTGCTGGGTGGGCAGAGTGGATAACACGAACCATCTTTCCTCCTCCTGCCGCCCGATCAGATGCTGATCTGCAAGTGACATTGACAAGAATCTCAACTGGCTATCAAAAGCACAAAGCATTTTTCAAACCTCGGAAACATATTGTATCGAGTGAGTGCTACCAACAGATTTATTACTCAATAAACCCACCAACAAAACTGTAGTATGAGTGGGAGGTGTTAGAATGCTACTGTTATCCTTTCCCTTCTACGGTATACTGCCGTTCATTTCATTTTCATAGGGAGGCCTTGGAAGTGCATAATTCCAGCCAAGCCTTTGTACAGCAATTGTGACCTACTCCAACTGATTTGGATTACCAAGTCAATTACAGTAGAACCTTGGTGGCACAATCTTGGTTCATACGAATTTTAGGGCTATAAGAATTTTTCTGTAGTCCTAGCCAAAACTCATTAGCCTGCAGTGTAATGCAGTACACTTGTTACAAAACGATTTCCAGCCCTCGATGTTTGCTACGAACTTACGCTACCATCCAGGTATGAGCAGGTGCTGCTTGCTACTGTCGTGGAAGACATGGCAATTGCACGTGGGTGCAGAAACCCAAGCATGGACATGTGTGCCGCACTTCCATGTTGTCAGAATAGACCATCAGCAACATTGTACCCTCCCAAGACTGTGCATGCAAATATTGGATGCCTTAATGCACTTTCGCATTCAAGTTACAAATGGCAATGGTGTTTCACTTTTTCCTTTTTTCTGTGCTGCTGAGCTCGAGGCAGTGCCATTGTACTGTGTTAAAAAGTGTCTGCCACATCGATGCATAATAATAATAATAATTGTTGGGGTTTAACGTCCCAAAACCACCATATGATTATGAGAGACGCCACAGAAGAAAGCTCCAAAAATTTCGACCATATGGTGCTCTATAATGTGCACCTTAAATGTAAGCTTACAAGCCTCAAACATTATTGCCTCCATCAAAAATGTGTGCCACATAGATGCAAGCAATGCCCTTGCTATACGACATCCTATGAAAGGTGGCCAAGGATCAAAAGAGGAGGCAGACTGCCTTGGCGGAGGAACTAGGCCTTTGATTACAGAGGACGTGCACAACTACCAACTCTCTAGACTTTATTTATTTATTTATTTACATTTCACCTACATCGCCGTGAGGCATTACGTAGGGGAGGTACACATAATAATTTGACTACATAGTTTTCAATCGAAACAATAGATTCAACAAATAAAACAGCACTCAAAATATTTTAAGAGGAAAAAAAAAACACTCAAATATTGGTGAGTGAAAATAATGTCACAGTCATGCATTTGAAAACACGCACCGCCGTTGTTGGTCGTTGTAAGAGTTCGTCTTTACAGAAGAGGCCTGTTATGTAGTTCGTCTTAAGCGGATTTTTTGTCAGTGTCAGTCAGTGTCAAGTGCCAGTTAGCGGGACGGCAGCGGATGAATGTAGGAGTTGCGTTTATTACACGGGGGGGGATTTGATGACTGAAGTTGGGGGTGCTTAGTTTACTATGCGAGTGCGTTCATTACGAGAGCAAATACGGTAGTCCATCGATTTGTCTTGCTTGCGCACTGTCAAGTTCATCAAGTCGCCCAGTGATATTCCGTACTAAGCCGAAGAATTCCCATTCAGAGAAATAAAAATTCCCTATTTCGGGGATTTTTCCCTGCAAACATTGACGAAATTCCCAGGATATTTCCATGCACAACAGTAGTAATTTTCGCCCCATACACGCACACGCATACACTATAATTAATTACACTTGTCTGACGTATTGGCAACTTTTGAAATCATGAATAGCCCCTCCACTGCTGCCCAACAAAAACATAAATTTATTAATTTATATACTGTTAGTACATTGCACATTGTGGTCTTCAAGTCTAATACCAATAGCAGGGGCATAGCCAGGAGGTGGCACACCATGTACATGCCCCCCCCCTCCCCCCAAATATTTTTTTTGCCATAGCAGAGGGAGCAAAAAAATTGCTATTTTAAGAAGGTGCGCCTCCTGAAATCAAGGCGGTTCCCACGTGCAACGGTCGGCTTCCACTACCGGGATAGAGGGGTTAACGTCACTCCCGCTCTCCCAGTGCCGACGGACCGCGCGCGGAGAAGGGGAGAGTCATGTTGGGATATGAGAACGGCAGAAATGCCGCGAACAAAGCCCGCGCAATGATGGCAGGCTAGCCTCAATCCCCACCATCTGACATAACACTTTTGCCTTAATGATCATCATCATCATCATCAGTTTGACTACGTCCACTGCAGGACAAAGGCCTCTCCCATGTTCCGCCTTAATGATGATAATACTAATACAGTACAAAGGCCTCTCCTATGTTCCGTCTTAAAACGGGTTCATAAGCAAATGCATACGAGGTGCCCTCCTTATAAGAGACATCTATAAAATGCAGGAATTACTGCCTCGAGCATGCCTCTTATAGAGGGGTTTAACTTTAATGCCACAGAGAGCACATACCTACTACATGGAGGTTCCCAAGCAGAAGCCACTGAGTTTGGTTTGACGGTAGGAGCCACAGTCACGCTGCTTGTTTCAACACTGGGGGCCTCCGTTAGCCTTAGAGGGTATTGCTTGGGAGCATCAACTGAAGGCACTTCAGGTTTGCCAGTGTCCGCCCGAAGCACCTTTGTTTTGAGAGAATCAGCCCATGAGGATTCGGCAGCAGCGCTTTCCTTTCGAGCGACCTCCAGTCGGGAAGCTTCTGTCCGAGGCGGCACTATAGTTCGAACAGATGGCCTAGCTGCACTCCTGACCGGAGGCCCACCCTGCAAACGCAAAGGATAGGCAAAAATATTGTAGACAAGCGGGCATGTCAACCGTGCATGCTTTAAATGCAGCCTTAAAGACAGCAGAATATAAACTTTACAGTGCCCTTTTTCCCCCTTCCCCACCATCACAGTATAAGTGCCCTGCAAGGATGCAGTACAAATGATGGCAATATTTCAACTCTATCATAATACAGATGATCCCGGATATATCAAACTCTTATATACCGAATTGTTGGCTACATCGAACAGTTGAGAAATATCCTTGAATTTCCCATGCAAAAGTATAGGACTGGTGCACCTGTATATCGAACTTCTGCGCAGCGGGACCTCAGCTATATCGAATGCTGCGCCACGCTGAAGCCCAGAAAGAACACTTTTCCTAGCAAGTATTGATCAATTTTCGGCAGCATTCTAACAATTTCCTAATTCTTTTGGCACAAAGGTGACGAAAAAGCGATGTTATTCCATCTCGCTAATCAGGTTCGTTTCGCGGCACTTACGAGTGCACCGGTGTGTTTGATTCGCGATCTGCAGGTCCTAACCCGCAGGTGTGTTTTCCAAAAAGACCAATGGCCAAGGACACCAAAATGAGAATGCGAAGCGGCTCGGTGATCTCTCTGCAATTCTCACATTCCCATCCTAGTTTGCTAGCGCACAATAACCTGCGAGGCTGAAAAGTATAGCTTTTGAAATCCTCATGACGTATCTTTAGTGTTTTCAGTTTTAAAGCGCATGTCTCTGAGGCTACACTTTTTCTAGCTTTTCGCATAAAAAAAGTTGAAAGCAGCGGCTGCCAGATGCAAAGCCACAAGTGACATCGCCATTGCCAACATGTTGGCTGTGAGAACTCTGCGTTGTTGCGTCGCCTTTTGTGCCTTGTGAACTTGTCTACTTCTCGCCTCGTTCCTGATGAATCCTCATTCGGGAGTTGAACAGAACGTTGACCCGCATGTAGTGATAAAAATTATGACTGGCACTTGGAGCGACATCAAGTAAAGCACTATCGTAAACTTTCCTTGTAGGGCCAGGCAACGACTTCGGGTGCATCATAACCGCTGACAACGTCGTACGGTGCCTCAGTGAATTCTGTGACTTATCAGCATTTGCAGGCACCATCTCACGTAGCTGTTTCTGACTGCATCAATGCTGAAATCATGGCTGCCGTTGCCGGTGCTGCGAAAGTGTACCTGCGTGGTTATAAATAAACCAACTTTTTGTCGCACTACAAAGCTTGCATCGACATCGTGCGTTAATCAGCGCTGTTGTGGCTGAAGGAGCTGCATTCACTTATTTGAAAAGCTTCAATGATATTGACTATGACTGCAACTTGACGGCGCTCAAGGACAAGTTTCCGGGCTGTTTTTCATTCATAATAAAGTGCGGTAACTTGCAGTGTACACCTTGTTCTTCACCATACTGTAGGCGAATCGTTATCAGGGCGTCTACCAATTTGATATTTCCAAATTCGGTGACTTTTCCAGGTTTTCTATGATGATTAAAAGCAAATTCCATGACCACCACATCTGCAGGAGAAACTGTACACGGTAAGCAAGCCCTCGTGTGGTAAAAAAACAAAAAGACAGACACTCCATATAAGTAAACATAATTACCAGATGCACTCAGAATGTTCCAAGTGCGTGCGGTGAATGTGAAAAAAACATGTATATCTGGCCAAAATAAAACCCCTGAGCCAGGCAGTGAGCAGGTCAGCTGTTTGATGTTCGGAAGAACCAGGAAGCAAACACACAAGTTAAAAGGAAAGTTTGAAGGAGCCAGCGATAGTACGACATTGCAGTCATAGCTGCTAAGAAAACGCAGTAGTAGTGCCATCTCGCAGCATCTGTGCAAAATTAAGAGACGCGAGCCTGGCCGGTTCTGCCACTGGAGTATAATCTATTTTCCTACAATGGCTGTAGCCCACGCCTATTAGAAAGTGGACTGGATTGAAATAGATCTACCTAAACTGCCGTATTTACTAACTCTCAACTATTTCGTATGTGGATTGGATTAAATCTGATTCGACCTGCTTTGCTGTATTTATTATTGATTTGCATCGCCGCCTCATTTTCGCACCTCTAAAATATATTTTTCAAAAAGAACAACAACAACAAAAAAGAATAACTACTACTCTCGTATTCTGTGTACCTTGCCTTAGAAACGAGTAACGACAACATTTTAGGAACAGAGCCGTACTCCAAATATTTCTTTCTTTTTTTTTCTTTTCCCGTAGAGCACATGCATGTTTGTCTTTTATATCTCTGGGCTCTGATACTTGAGGTGCAACAAAAGCTGGGGAAAGTGTTCAAAGTGCCGCCGTATGAATATGTGGTTGCAAGAATGAATCTGTCTAGGTGCAACAGCTTCATTGATTCCACAGAAGAATTACGAATGTTGGCACGTTACCTTGATTTACATACTATTCTGTGGACATGACGCTGAAAAATAATTGCAGATTTACTTACACAATCTCACAAAACAAATAAAAAATTTTGCTGTAGTTACCCAAGTGCTACCCTCGAAACAAGAGCCACCAGCAATAAGTGTGTAGCTTAGGATGTTCGCTGTTGCATCAGCAATATTAATAATATTAATAATAATAATACAGTGGACTGGCGATAAACGAAACTCGCTTAAACAAGAATGCCTCATTCACAAAATTAAACGGGCTCATATGGCTGGATGTCTATGTGTTGCGCAGTAAAATTCATCAGTTAATCAAAACAGTGCTTATTAGTCGCCTAAGGTTAAATGGAACAAACTCTAAACACAGCATAGACTCGTTCAGGCCAAAGGTAGTCTCACAACCATGGCAACACCTCGAGACAAGCCAATCCAGTAGCCATTTTCACTTGAGGTACAGTGGCTGGAGTAGGAAAGTGTGATGAGCGGCAAGCGGCACCTACGGAGCGCACTGAAGCCTCCAAGGAGGAGCCGCGTGAGGGCGCGCGCAATCGTTTATACGTTGTTTGCACGTTTCAGACAGTTTCGTCGGGCGCGTTTGTCCTCGCTTTTTTTATTGCGGTGGCACTCTGACACCAATGCTTCTGTATGCACTTTCATGGCGCGAAAACATAGCAATTGCTTTTTCCTGGTGTTCACTACAGGCTACAAATCAGCTAAAAAGAAGCATGCGTTGTTCGGCGTTTTGAAGGACGAAGCTCTGTTAGCACAGTGGCGGAGAGCAATCACACGCGCTGACAGGTTGCTTCAAGAAAACTCTGCTGTGTGCGATCTGCACTTTGGCGAGAGGTACACGTCCTGGCAGCAATTCGAGCACTCTGTGATTGGCGAAATTGTCCGCATTGAAAGGGGTCGACACATGGGCGTGCTTGCCGTTCGGGGGGGGGGGGGGCAAAGGTTCATTGCAGTGCCCCTCCTTCCTATTAAATCAGTGTATGAGGCAGATTTTATGCCCCCCCCTTTAGATGACTAAAAGAGTGCCCCGCTGCCTAGTCAATGTATAGAACAGATTTAGCGCCCCCCTCCCAGGTGGCCAGCCCCCTTTGCCCCCCTCGTGCGGACGCCTATGGGTATGCCTTTTGGAGAAGCTCTTCGCATTTGTAGACGCCTTTGAAATCACTTTTTCAAAGTGGTTTAGCTACAATGAGCTTCACAGTGGCAGCTTGGAAGAGTTTGCGTCCGGCTTGAAAAACAAAAGTGGTCACACTGGGCTGCGCACAACATGGTCCGAGCCTCACCAATCAAGTAAACAAGTTTTTTCTGCTCATCCATTTGCGTTTTTACACAAAAGTACTCCACAAGGAGCGAGCATCGTCCCGTGAAAAGAGGAAGTACCTGAAGCTCAGGTGCATCACCTGGGCTTGCAGCCCCATGTTCTGTGGGGCGCTTGTGAACTATAAAACTTTTTTTTCTTGGGGATAAAAAAGGATGTGCGACAAATTATTAAGAATGCATTGTGGTAAACAGATAGTGAGTCACTACTCGGAAATGCGTTGAATGACCTGTGTGCAGAAAATACAAGGATTTCATCCAGATACCGCTCGTGATTCTCGTCACTGAGTATGACGTTTTGAATGATGGGGCTTTATTTACAGATTAGTGCTTGAGAAAATGATGGTTTGCCATGAAAAGTGTTGCAAGCAATGGCTCACAACTGAGTTCATCGTACATCTCTTCTACCACTTCACATCGATAAAATGTTTCAGTGCCGCCACGCACCCACTTTAGGCATCCTGCCGACCTGACAATATTTCAGTTCAGTCGTGCACCCGCATAGGCATCCTGTTTTCCAGAAGCAAATTAACATATATTCTCGGTCGCCATTTGAGGCCATGCACAAGCAAAAAAATATATTTTAAATGTTTCACATTGCCGGCGTGCGTGGTTGATTGCAGTCTCTACGCAGCGCATCGTCGCCTTGGGTGGCGTTGGATGGATGGATTGATATAGCTGTACCCTTTAGATCGGGCGGTGGCTAACGCCACCAAGCCGTAATACTTAGTGAACTAAAAACTAGATTTATTTTTTTTCCCTTTAAATAGTGAGGCTGGGGACTCTTACTTTGCAGTGAAGGGTTTAATTTTCACTCGTGCATTGACTTTAGCCACCAATCAGATAACCTCCTTCTAGTTAAGTCTACCCGCTTAAAGTCTATTTTGCCCTCCTTGTCTCTAAACCCCAGTGCTTTGAAAAACTCTGCGCCATCATCCTGAACTATAGGGTGAAGCCCTTTACAGAACATTATCAAGTGTTCGGCAATTTCCTCCTCCTCTCCACACGCACTGCATATTGTGTATACCCCTTCGTATTTGGCCCGATATGTCTTGGTTCGCAATACTCCCGTTCTCGCCTCAAACAGTAGAGAACTACCCCGAGTATTATCATAGATCCTTTCCTTGGCGATTTCCTGCTTAAAAATGTTCGATAGATCTCTAGTGCGAACTTCTTAATCATGCAGATTCTCTACATGTCGGTCTCCGTTTCCTTCACCTTCTTCTTAACGGATAGTTCTTTTTAGTTTGACCCCTTGCTGTTTTCTAGGTCTTTACCTGTCAATTTTCTGGTTCGCTTCCTCCATTTTGTATCGACATTCTTCATGTCCAAATAGCTGAAAACCTTCCTAGCCCAACACTTCTCCCCCATTTCTCTCAATCGCTTCTCAAATTTCATCTTGCTACTAGCTTCCCTGCCCTCAAATGATGTCCATCCCATATCACCTTGTACTCCCTGATTTGGTGTATTCCTGTGAGTTCCTAAGGCAAGCTTACCTATTCCACGTTGCTTAATTTCTAATCTTGCTTGAACTTCTGATATGATGCACAAGACCGCATTGCCAAACGTCAGACCAGGAACCATGACCCCTTTCCATATTCCTCTCACAACATCATACCTATTGTGATTCCACAGTGCCCTATTTTTCATCACTGCTGCATTCCTGTTACCTTTAGTCGTTACGTATATTTCGTGTTCCCTTAGGTACTCGGTCCCATTGCTTATCCATACGCCCAGATATTTGTATTTATCTGTTATCTCTAGCGTGACCTCCTGTATTCTAAGCTTACTACCTTCATTATCTTTAAAAATCATGACTGCTGATTTTTTCTTACTGAACCTGAAATCTAACCTATCTCCCTCATTATCGCAGATGTCCATCAATCTCTGCAAATCTTCCTTGTTGTCGGCAATTATCACCACATCATCTGCATACTTTTGTCGAGACGAGAGAAGAGAAAATGCAACTGCAGCATGCGACAAAGCTTTGTAACTGCAATCGCACTGGACATATTCTTAAAATTTTTGCGCCGGTGAATTCGTTGAATGGTTACTTGAAAAATATTTCAGGATCCATTTAAACCCTCGCCTTTAACTTGTTTAAAAATCAGCTTAAGAACTCTTGTGATAAAGAGCTCTCTAGATAGTGTGTCACAACACCCAGTGGTCCAACTACAATTAACAATGGGGCCTGGTAAGGGGCCATAAAGGAAGCCTGTTACATGTTGTACAGCTTACAATACTTGGACAAACCTGCGTTGGTGCCGGGGGATCTCTGTGGTGTAGAAGAGTCCAAGTTCGGCCGTCTGCTATTCTACTCCTAAGTGGCACACGCTTGGCCTCCTGCACAAGTGCAACCAAAATTTACAGAAACAGTAAGTCAGTCTAGAATGGTAAATTATCTCTTTAGAGACTTATTCTATTAGTTGCACCATAGGAAATAGTATTACTATAAGGAAAATGAAACTTTGATTTCATTCATTCTGCACTGGAAGCCCAGCACCACTTTGTCAGTGCACCGTCGAGCATTTCATTTACGCAGACAGCAAAGTCCCGCTACAACGAAAAACTTATGGTTCCTCGTCAGCAGCCCATAGCAGTCAATGCATAAATATTGTGACCACAATGAACACTTTTTCTTCTGGTGTCCCGCTTCAAAGAAATTTCACGATGCAATTCCAGGCTCAGATATTTATTGCTATACAGTAAACACAATCTTTAACATGCATTTTCAGAACCTGAAAATATGTTGACAAAGTCTAAAACACGTTGGCACCCGCAGAAACCACCTCTGTTTAGCAAGCAGGGACGCCGCCATTGCTTGATAGCGAAACTCAATTGCTCGATGCACCATTGTGTTGCCAGAACTAATCGGCTAATCACGAAAGCTACCCGCCTGTGAACTTGTGACGAGGCAGAAGACAGAAGCGCGTGACGAGTCTACCCCCGAAGATCCGTCGTCTCTGAAATTTCCATCAGCGCCTTATCTGACATTACCTCGGTGGTGACGACACAGTTGTCCGAAATTTAAAAAAAGTCATAGTTTCGACACAAGGGTGAAGCAATGAATGTGATAGCAACAACTTGTAACGTAAAGCCGAGAATGGCAAGCAGGTTGAAGCGGGCAGCACGCTGCTCATGCACAAATGACATAAAACAACACTCACAGAACAAGAGTGAACTAACAACATTTACCGCTCAACACTTATGGCACTGTTTAAACAAAAACGAGGCACGAAACATAATTACAGATACAGATATGAGTGCGAACTAACAAGTGCCCCAGTTGTTACTTTGCTGTGTTTGAGAAGCGTACTCTTTTTGCAAACGAGGCCTGTCCAGCGAGCGAGGTGATCTTTGTGCGCCCGGCAACTAAACGCAATGATTCTGGTCAAAGTCAAAGGCGCCCAATTCCCACTGAAAGATAAGCGCGCGCGCTTAAGCACCTATCGCCCATTCGTGAGGCAAAGTACAGGTTGGAGATAAGCATGCATCGGCACATCGTGACGAACTGGGTGCCCAGCGCTGGCAATTTTTTTTTTCCCCACGAGTTTTCATATACAGTCAAATCTCATTATTTCAAACACGCGTAATTCGAACTCACGATGAGGTCCCGTCAAAGCTAAGTGTATTCCAATGGGCGAAAACACCCGGTAATTCGAACGTCCAAGCACTTTTGATGGCTAATTCGAACATACCGCACTCCGAAAATGCTCTCAGCACCCCAACCGAACCCGCGAGGGCAGCTGCGACACCTTAACGCTGTCTGCGAAAGAAATGAGGAGGAAAAAAAAAGGCTGCGGTGGAATGTTTGCTCTCAAATGCCGATCTGCGATGTGCCCGTATCACACTTCTCCCTTTTCCATCCCTGCCACGTTGACACCCTTCTCCTTCCAACGCCGCGCGCGAAGAGACAGAGAAAAAAAGAAAGCCATCGCTGGGTTGAATGAATGTGGGGTTGAAGGAAGGAAAAAGTAGAGCGGGAGGCTCCGCTACGCAGCAGTCATTGTTGTCGTCTTTAGAAAGTGTTGGCGCTGGACATTTCTGCGCGCAACTTCTCTTGCCAGGAGAATGCTGAAGCCGAAGTAGAAGTGCTTTGCAAGCTGCATGTGAAATTGATTGACTTGCTGCAAGGCAAACGTGTACAGATGTGCATCACCGATTACTCCAATTATTAACGGATGTCTTGTGATTTGTGAATAAATGTAAGTCTTCTTAAACTTCCCCCTCGTGTGTTAGCTCAATGCACATGCTCTACTGCATGGAGAGCTCTCCGTTTATTTAGCTTTCATTAATTCGAACTTCTTTTAATTTGACCAAATTTTCGGGCCCCTTTGAGTTCAAATTATCGAGATTCGACTGTATATAGATGCAGCCGTCAGCAAATTTAACATGAACGCTCCGCCGTGTGTCCTGCAGAAGTGTGGTACACGGTAAATAACGGCGGCGACGGCAAAAAACCAGCCGAGACTGTTCATTAATAGCTATCGCAATAAAAAAGAAGTAAACTTGAACGTCGTCGGGGGCCACACCGTGCGCGCAGTGAATCTATGCACATGCTCACAGCATCGATCGAAAACGATGAGCGTATAACACAGACACCGATACTGCGGAAAACTATTCGGTAAAGTGCCCTCCATATGCAACGCAGCCCCAAATATATGACGCTAACTACTAAATGCGTTACACTGCCAACACGCAAAAGTAGTTTACTTGATTGTTTTTTTTCTTTTTCGTTGGGAGTGGGGCTGGAGGGCAACCGGGCATGTGCCTGCGGCGGCGAGAACTGCGCCAAGACCGGCTTGTGGGGTGCAGGCCCGCCTGCTCGCTTCGCGCTCACCCCCGCACAATCCTCGCTTTCGCCTCGTGCGTTGTGCACACCGCCGTCGCTTCGCGCTTCGTCGGTGGCGGGGCGGCTGTGGAAGATGCATGCTCGTCCCGAAATGCAGAGCAAAATTCCTAGATTGTCTGCAAGGTAAATTTTTTACATCAAGGTTGTCTTTCATTGTTACTTTGTTACATAGACATCGCAAATACATGTGTTTATAAGGAGCAACGGCGGGAATTAGAAAAACTTCATAATGTCGAAAAATTCATTATATGGAGTTTCGTTATAAGCAGGTTTAACTTTTATAATTTGTTCACTGCAAATACTTCCAAATTTTCGATGATTTTAATTTGAATCGAAGCAAATTCGAATATTCTCACAAGCCTTATATACACATTTATTCAACGCCCTCTAGGGGCCAGCCGATTGGATCTGAAACCTGAACTCAAACCACGACACCACACTTGCCTAAAAAAATGGGTACAGACCGCCTGAATAAGCCCATGGCACAACCTAGTGCCTCTGCAAGGAGGGTAAAGTAAACTACTCTTGCCAGTGGCAGCTAATGGCAGCATTTTGTCGTTGGAGGAGGTATGTTCATTCTCAGTTAAAAAAAAAAAAAAATCGAATCTAACACGCATCATTTTACCGATAACGAAGTCCAAAAATTGCCTGCACGTGAAAACGAAATTGAAACCGGATTACGAACCACAAGATTGCATAGAATGCCTTAGTGCACGAGTTAGCTGTGCACATTATAATTTGTTGGCTTGTGAAGTGCAGCTGGTGATCTCCTGCAGTTATTATGAACGTTGAGATAAGGTGAAACTAATTTTGTATGGTGGGAACAGCTGCCTCGCGCCCATATGCGAGCGCAAGCCTGTGACTGCATATGTCAACCAGGAAAAGTTTCGACAGACTGAAAACGTGAAAATATCAGCTTTTTAGCCTGCTGAAGCTACACTGCGTGCATAGAGCTTGACTAAGTAACGACCTTGGATACGTACGCGCACAATTGGGGCGTACGTAGAAGTGCATGGACATTTAAAATATAAATTTTCCATTTTAAGAAGACCATCCTGTCTCGCTCCAATTTCTAATCGTCAACCTAGGAGAACGCAAGTTCATATTTTGCACTCGTGAATATTTGAGCTATGTTTCATATGAGTAAATGCGATTCTTTCCTTCGGACGGCATGTGAAATTCGTCTTAAGATGTGGTGTCGGCGTAAAACTGCATTGTATTACTAAGGCTTTTGTTGCATTATTTCTATAAAGATTTTGCCAGGACCAAACCGATTCGTCGTAAAATGCAGGTCGTCACAAAACCGGGGGAAGTATAAAATCGAAGTTCCACTGTATTTGTATAATGTACTATATTCCTTGAACAGGTCGGGGGGGGGGGGGGGGGGGGGGATCACAGAATCTAATGTTCGGCCCACAGCGGGTCACGGGAGCCAGTGTTTTGTTTTGACAACTTATCTCTTCTTCCTCAAGGCAACAGCTGCCTACCTTGGTGCTTAAGCAACGTAAGCATCACAAGTAACACAAGTAAGCATCGCACCGTAACAGGAGTCGCCATCTTCTCCAGGGAGGCCAAGATCTGGCGAGTAGTGTTGCTGAGCCCAACAGTTGCTCCTCCTGGCTTCACACCTCGGGCCACGACTGGGACCTGAAGACAGAAGCAACAACTCACTTTTATGTCTTGGCTTCAGTCAGACTCCAAACAACTCAACCAGATTAAAAATACAAAAAGGCTGCACATAATAACTCAGCCAGGCACGCCAACCCTGTGATAATGTTACTGACACAACTTGACCATGACAAAACTGACAACTAAACAGAACTAAAGTGGACTGCATGACATCGCTCCAAAGGCACCATAGCATTCCGCCTAGGGCATACAGTTTCTCATAATAATACCTAGAACAAAACCTGGAATCATCACCTAAGCGGATTACTTAAGGGACATCGTTGCCATGATGGGAATGACTGTATATATATGTCTACAAGGCTTGTGTTGAGCAAGGTTTCAGCTAAAAAGCGGATACGGCTGTGCAAACAAGAGCTTCTCTTAAAACTTTTATAAGCAGATCTCATTCCTGCGTATTATATTCAAGAATCAAAGTTTACTCACTCTTACGGTATAAATAATTGACAAAAGAAAAAAAAACAGATAATCAACAGTGGCACAGTGAATGGTGGCCTTGTCTGCCTTCCAAGTTTAGCGGTGTTTGGTTACCTTTTAAGCACTGCAAAATTGTGCATCGAGGCAGAGGTTTCCAAAGTTACATAAAACTCAATTCTGTGCAATCATAAAAAATGAATAGCTTACTAGTCCCCATATTGCTTCAGTAAGAAATCAACCATTTGGACACAAGCAATGCACTGAAGCCAGATATGTCTTTTAAGTGTCTGGGCTATCTGTGAACAATGCATATCAGAGCAAAGAGCAAACTTTCTGAAGCCAGACACGTCTTCAAAATGTCTGGGCTATTTGTGAATGATGCAAATCAGAGCAAAGTCCGAATTTCACATATACCAGCACTACCGCAACGTAGAACAGCTTGCGGTGCTAGTTTTCCCTCCAGGTAAGTGTAGAAAACTGTATAGCTTGGGACACTTGTCATTACGCCTTTTTCACTATGTCCCAGATCAGGGTTCGTACTGGTTTCCAAAGAGAAAATTCATGGATATTCAAGGACTTTCCAGGACCTGTTGCAAGTTTTTCAAGGACTCAAAGTGGCATGTTAAGTTGGAATTCTTCACTCTAAAAATTTTCAAAAGTGACCAATTTCATTACACTTACAATATATGGATATCACAATTATAAAAAAAAAGAGCTTAGTATTAATAACTTCTCACACCCTCTCCATAGGGAGAGGGCACGATGTGATGTCGGAAAGTTATACACTGATGGGCTTCAACGCGCATGTGTAGTCAGGCCTTAAAAGGGGTTGTGCCCCAATATTTGTGGCTTGTGTGCTTTTTGCTGCAAGCTTTCATTATAGCTCCAATAAGCATGATACACACATCAAGATTCATTTATTCTCGCTATATAATTTGTCGCCTTTTTGATATAGACAACTTTCAGTTCCTGTTTGTGGGGATCGAGTTGTGCAGGTACATAGCAGTGTATCTGAATTAGTCTCGTAGTCACAGATCTGTGCACGCGTCATGCTGAGTATTGTCAGCTCTCGCACACATGTGCCACACAAGCACCTACAAAAAAATCTCTCCGCTACCTGCAGCAGCCGCAATGCTTTGCCGATATGTACGGGACGGAAGTCCGGAGGTCACTCAGCAGACTACAGATCTGGAGTGACGTCACTAGAACTTTAGTTGCCCTTCCTTTAGAGCTACATCAGCATTGGACGCACTTGCGATGGGCTTCGATTAGGAGAATGAGCATTTAGGTACACCTGGGAAGTGACTTAAGATATATTCTTAAACCCAGAAGGTGATTGCTATAGCCTTGAAATTTGATGGCACCACCCCATCAAGAGTGCTGGCTTGTGCCCAGTTGACACTCGCAGCTCATTGCTCAACAACCAAGAAGTAACAACAGTGACAGTGGTTAATTTACACTCATCCTGCGGATATATGTGTGTTCTTTTCTAGCACCATTCTTGGTTTGTTTAAGCAGCACGCTTCCAGTGTAGAGCCACGACAGTCGTTCATCAACACTCGTCCGGTGCGCTTTCTTCACGTGCGTCCTTCGTGCTTGAGCGGCGAGTTGCATGTATGGGGTTGCTTGCCCTTCTTCGTGTGACATTCTAATTTTTTCCTATCACATTCACTGCTTCACCCTCGCCACAAACCAACTTTTTTCACATGCCTTTTGCAAATTGAGATCGTGTGCACCCACGCCCCATTACTGCTTCATAAATAGAGAGTTTGACAGGCTCTTACACCAATGTACCACATTTAGGAGGTCGCAATGTCAATATGAGAGTGCACTGCTCAGGAAATTCAAGGATTTTCAAGGATGGCAAAAAATTCCAGGACTTTCATGGCCTTGAAAATGCATTTTTCATATTCAAGGGTTTTCAGAGATTTCAAGGACCTGCTACGAACCCTGCAGATGCCATGAAATATCTTTTCAACTAGGAGGCTTTACTTCGGGCAAAGCTGCTTGTCCCTGCCCTGACCAAAACCCTACCAAAACTAGAAACAGGGTAGCACAGGAAAATGAGAAAGGCAGATTATTGCGCTTGAAAGAACTGTGCAGCATTGCCATACGCTGTTTGGTCATGCCCAGAGAGGACAAGGCATCTTTCGAGAACTTACAGATTCGTAACTTCATCTAGTGCCCTAACAGACATTGGCTCCCGCACCTGGTAAGCCATTACTTTCAGTGATACCTTCACAAGATTGTCATTAGATGCTTCGGTTTCACTGAATGATAACATTGCCAGCCCACCGTACTAGCCCATAATCAGAATGCAAGACTGACATGGTCTATAAACACCTGAATGTTTTGTGAAAGTACAGCCTACAGCCAAAAATGATGATCAGAAAATTCAGACCTTGCTTCACCTCCTTTAAAACTCCACCACTGTGTTTTAGCAACTCTATGCTAGCCACTCCTCCATATTGCCACTGCTGGCCACAGCTAGCCCCGTGTCGGTATTCCCAATGATTAGTTATTTTAAACTGGCAGCCCTGGTTTTCCTCGAAAAAGCTTACCCACAGTGAATCACAATGTGTCGCAAAACCAAACCAAGCCGAATTCACTGTAGATACTAAACAGCAAAACAGCAGCATTTCTCAGCAGCTGCGAATTTTGCAGGCAAGACCATCACGCTAGTGGACATACGCAAACAAAGAAGCCATAATGTGCTTCATCGAAAACGAATTATTTTGCCTGCTTGCTCCTCAAAACCACGATGGACACTAAGTACACCAGCAGCAGCCAAGCTCGCCACCCAGCAACCTCGGATAACAATTTCACGCATCAGCTCCCCAAAACGAAAAACCCAGGAAGGTGCAATGACAATTTTTTTTCGCCTGCGGCTAGGCATAACTGATCATTATTGGACAGAAGATTGCCAAGCTTCAGTTCTAAAATTGGTACGTCGATATTCACGGCGCGCTGTCCCCATCTCGAAAGTATACCAAGCGATATGTGAACTCTAAAGTTATTAAATTTGGAATGTCCATGGTATAAATGTCTGTTGTAAAGGCATCCCTGACCATCTTGCTGGCCTCACATTTCAGTCAATTATATATCTGAATGTCCATTGTGCCTGAATCCATAGCAAACGAGTTCAACCAATGGAACAAATAGGAAGGTCGGCTTAACGATGCCAACTGGTATTCAGTATCTGAATGTCTGGTGAAAGCAGATCCGTAGTAACGAGATTATACTGTACTTTTGTCAACTGCATGCGCCAAAATATTTTTTTTTTAGAATACGTTACTTGTAGAATTTAAGAGCTGTAAACACAGATCTCTGAGATGATGCTTTGGCTTGTGAGAACTTGAAGAATGTCACGGGTGTTGTACTCGAAGTTTCAAGTGTGATGATTTGTAAAGTACAGTAAAACGTCGGTAATTCAAAGTCACTGGGACCGTGAGAAATCTTATAATTGAATAAATTTTTGAATTAACAGAAGATACAAAACAAAGATGCGAGAAATTTGAAATTACTAAAAGTATGATCAGGGCTAGTTATTTGCTGTGCTGGGTCGTTTGCGGCTCCAAGGGTTATGTTTTCAAGCAATACAAGGTCACAGTTTTGCGGTAAACAAGGAAGAACGCCAAGCCTCGCTGCTGCAATCGCAAAAAAAAAAAGAAAAAAAATTAAAATTAAGACATCTTCACTGCAACACAGTAGTGACACGCGGGTAGTGTGATGCAATCTTGTAAGCGTTCCCAATTCAGACGGAGGCGTCCCGTTCCATAAAGTCACACGCGATTGGCTTAATTAAGCTGTGACAAATGGCTGTGACGATCTATGTCACGTGAGTCAAAGTGTCACGTGTCTGTTTTCGTGCGTTTTTCGGACGGAGGTGAAGGAACGGTCGAAGAGACCGTCCAAAACGAAACGGATGAGTTGAAATGGCTGCGAGGCGGAATGGATTAGATTGAAATGTACCGTAAGCGCATCGCGCCTTTTCAGTATCCAGGCAATTTGAGAACATGGCATTTCTTTGTATGCCCCGGTTTTTCCTTCTCGCCTGTGCGACTTCTGCAGCCGAGCAGAGACGACGAAGCGAGGTAAATTATAGTTGACTGAAAAATACTTCCAACAATGCATTTGCTCTGTCTAAACAGTGCGTGTTATGTGCAACAAACAGCGTATAATGTGCCTCATGCACTTACGCTGTGGCGCAGTCCCTTCCTCTGTAGTCGTAGCCACCCCGTAATGTCTGTCCTTGTCCATTGTCGTAGACAGACAGACAGGAGGATTCCCGGTTTACCGATGAAACCATTTCAAGCTTCGCCCCACTTATCATTCCCTCCGTGGATATTCTGTGAAATCTGTTTCATATTTCGCGCAGTAGTGGTTACGGACACCAGGGGTGCCGGACAACTATGGCGGCGCACGCGACCCTTGTGTTATAACAGCTTTCTGTGTAAAAGCTGTCATCATCATGAATGTGTACGTGCCACAGAAATCGAGCAGATCCCATAACTCGCCACTGGTTCACTAAAAATGAAGAGGAC